TGTGACAGTGGACGCTGCTGGTCCGATGGCTCCACACCCGAAATGTGCCCCATCCGTGGATCAGGTGAGCCCAGAGTCGAGGTCTTCAGCTCAAACCAAACACATGGCCATTTCTCCCTGCACAGCTAAACAGAACAGTTTTCAACCTGGATTTGGACATTTTCAGAGTAGAAGACTGTCTCAGATGTTTTCAGACTCTTCCAGCTGCATACATCTGAAAGGCTATCTCCCCATGTTTAGTCCTGACTCTGGACACCAGCAGGAGGCCAGTCCCTGTGCTCCTCATAGTGCAAGTTTGTTCATATGGTACTAAAATGATTTTTGTGTGAGGCCATGGAGAGACTTGTACAAAGCAGAGCTGATCTAAACTCTATTCTCTGAGCTATTAAGCAGAAATATAGAAAGAAATATGACTGTAATTATAGAATTCTGTTTGACTTGTCTTCCTCAGAGGAGTACCAGAAAATGTGTCTGCAGCTCCCTGATGGGACAGGTGGGGTCATACCCGGCCGAGTCCCAGGTTCAGGTCCAGACGTCCCCGGGATATACCCCTACCCGGGGGGACCAGGGCAGACCCCAGTGGGACCAGGACAATATCCAGGAGGTCCAGGACAGACCCCAGTAGGACCAGGACAGTATCCAGGACAATATCCCCAGTACTCCGGACAGATCCCCATCCAAGTCCCAGGACAATATCCACAGTATCCAACACTACCTCTGCAGCCTCCACCAGGTAAACTTTTATTCATTCATTTATTTAGAAAACAGTACTTTGCCCCATTCTCTAGCCAGCTCATCTCTCTCCATCAATCCATCTATCTGTATATCTATCTATCTATCTATCTGTCTATACCTAGCTATCTCTCTCCATCAATCAATCTATCTATCGCTCTGTATCTAATTATCTCTCTTCATCTATCTTTCTATCTACAGTACATACTGTAGCTATCTATCTCTATCTAGCTAGCTAGCAATCTCTTATCTAACTATCTAGCGCTCTCTCTCTCCATCTAATGATCACAATGGCATAGATTTTATAACAGGCAGAAGCATGCTACAGTATTTATGCAGATGTCATCTACAGCAGCAATCTCCAAATATTCAATAGTTTTCTCCCTTCATGAGTGAGCTTCTGATTGTGACTGTGTTGTCCTCAGGCCCGGTCATCATCCAAACTCAGAACATCACCAACATGTGCCAGGCGTTCCGGAACCTGTGTCTGAACGGCAGGTGTGTCCCGGTCCCCAGCTCCGTCGGGTACAGGTGCGATTGCAACATGGGCTTCAGGCTGGACGGACGCGGAGAGTGCATCGGTGAGTCGCAGATGCAATGTGGCATACTCTAATTAAGTCAAACAGGATACAAAATACAATAGAATAGAAATAGAGAGATAGACTCACACACACAAGCACACATGCACACAGTTCGAACATAGGAAACACCATAATAACAAACACAGGAGATATTGGACCATCGGGAGCGGGATGACCACTGTCCATCACTGTCCTTAGACCCTCCTGCATAAGAAATAAAAACATAAAAAGTTGCCATGGACGAAAACAGACCGTAGAAGGAGTACTGAGGTTGTGCGGCGCAGGACTGAAGAGGCTCCCAGGCGGGGAGGGGGGTGCAGCCCACCAGTCTGGGAGACCAGTTAAAAGAGGCCGGGTTCAGGGGTCCCATCATCACACCATGGCCAACAGACAATGGGACAACGGGTGAATAGCAATGAACAGACCACAGCCTGAACTGACAATCTGTGAATGCACATTAGACCTTGACCCCGACACTGCTATCATATATTATGTTACAACATAACATAAGTAACATAAAACTAGAACATGGCCATAACCTGGTGCTTGTGTGTTTTTGTCCGTGTGTTTCAGACGACAATGAGTGTGAGAGGAGTCCCTGTGTTCATGGAGAATGTGTGAACACTCCGGGCTCCTACATCTGCCAGTGTCCGGCCGGGTTCCAGACCACCGCCACCAGGACTGAGTGCAAAGGTACCAGCCATAATCACTATAGCCACCCCACAATCATTAACTGGGAAAATAATAATAATAATAATATTTTTAATAGCATTGAATACATTGAGTTCTGTGAAAGATTCTGAAATGTTTAAGTCTAAAGAATATTGGAAACGCTATCAGGTGGAGTAGATCCAAGAAGAATTTGAGCTGAGTAGAGTTGAGTGGAGTAGAGCAGAGTACAGTAGAGCGGAGAGTAGAGTGGAAGCGGGACTTAAATTACATAAATGGAGTTTCTTCCACATTTCAAAGGTTCTCAGATGATCCATTTCTTGGATATGGTCCAGTTATCATTATATCACCATGTAAATAGATCGTCCATCAGAATGTCTTTTGTGAGTCATAGACAAAAGTTAATTGAAATGAAAGCGACTGGGCACAAACTGGGGTGCACAATAAGAGAAGAAACACAGATTATAACCCTTAAAGAAGACATAATGACATGTTTATGTTGACAGAAGCAACAAGCTTTATGGTTGGATCTCAGAGATTCACATGTGTTTCTGTAAATTCCTAACAGTAACTTTGCTCTACTGTAACACAAGCGTTTAATTCACATGGCACGGCTCCACAGAGCACTGACAGGAAATATTTGCCAATTCTCGTTGCCAGATCTGGACGAGTGCGTGGCGAATGGGCGCATCTGCAACAACGGGCGCTGTGTGAACACGGAGGGCAGCTTCCACTGTGTGTGCAACGCCGGCTTCGAGATCACCACAGACGGAAAGAACTGCCAAGGTCTGTCTGAACTTCAAACCAGATCAAACTGAGCTGAAGACTAATGTATGAGATACTAGTACTGCTGCACAACTCATCACTCGTTCACATGTTTAAAGACATCAGTTATAATGTCTGATGTGGTCTCCCTTTGTTTCTGGTCAAATGAAGAATTATCATTATCATTACAAGACACTATTGACAATTAATTTAACAAACTTTTTATTGGATTCATCAGAACAATAAAGGAAATGTGATAGTGTCTTAGAGATGTGTTTGCTGCTTTTATCAGGCATTGAGATTTTTACAGTACATTATTTCATTTTCAACACACAATAGATATTCAACATTTCAGATTATTGATAAGTGTCCAGAGGTTTGAGATTATATGGAAAGGGAATGTTTTTGAGCTTTATTTGTTTACACAGTAATACAAAGTGCTTTTCAAATAAGGGAAGTTCCATTACCTTCACCTGAGGGTAGGCTAGCTACTCGAGTATCTGGTCTACCTGGTTGTGTAATGGGAACACAACCAGGTATAGTAAAGTAGAGTAAAGCCGAGTAGAGTAGAGCCGTGTATAGCAGAGGTAGAGTAGGGTCAAGTAGGGCTGGTGGAAACAGGGCTGTAGAGATGACTTTTTACATTGAGTTGTTTGATCAAAAATACTTGTTTCATTTAGTTCATTATTATAGAATTTTCTGAGTCATAAAAACTCTTCTCAGCATGTTTAAGTCTATGTCTGCTTAAAAAAAACCCGATAATAAGCTTACTAAGTTACTAAATTACAACTATTATACAAATAAATCAGTTGTGTTTAATCAATGACGTTGCTCCATCCTTTAAAACGACTAAAACGCCTCTTCTTCCACAGACCAGGACGAGTGCCTGATCCGGAACATGTGTCTGAACGGCCTGTGCATAAACGACGACGGCAGCTTCAAGTGCATCTGTAAAGCCGGGTACCTGCTGGACTCGAGCGGGCGCATGTGTGTCGGTGGGTCCTCGAACGCATCACACACACTCTACGAAGCGTGTACAATCCACACCGACTGCATCATTACCTCGGTTTGGGGCCAAATGTTTCCTCTGACCCTCATTCTCAGCTTGTAACGGCAATACTCTCTGGCATGTAGCGAACACGCCTTTGCTCTCGCTTCGAAAATCCCCCCAAAATCTGTTGGAAAACCCCTGAGCGTCCTGGCAGAGCAGCTGTGCATGTGAGGAGAGGGGCCGCCTGCAGCTAGACTCTCAGACTAGCCTCCCATAAAATAGTGCATATTATGGATTTTCATGTTTTATTATAATCCAATTCAATGTACTTTTGTATAGCCCTAAACCACAGCAGCAGTCGTCGCAGAATGTTCTATAAATTTGTCGTTTCTGTAACAACGGATCAGAGAATCAAACCGTTCAAACACAGAAAATGCAATAATGACAAACACATAGAGGCATTGGTCCAAAGGGAGCGGGATGACCAATGTTCCTAAATGTCCTGGATCATCACTGTCCATAGACCATCCTGTATCGGCAAGGAACGATTAAAAAAAAGAGAAAAAATAAAAACAGGCTGTAGATCCAGGACTCTGGCTACATAACCAGGATTTAGGCTGTGCGATGCAGGATTGAAAAGGTTCTCAGGCGGGGAGGGGGGTCCATCCCACAAGTCCAGATCAGGGGAGACCAGTTCACAGGTGCAGGTGGAATAATGTGAAAGGTTAAGCATCTTGTGTTCCTCAGTATGATAAATGATTTCACACATAAAATCACGGGCGTCTGGCAGCAGTCTGGTTGAGTGGTTAGAGCTCAGTCCTCACTTCTAGAAGGTCGTGGGTTTGATTCGTGTGTGGATCCTGTGTGGAGATTGTGTGGAGTTTCTTCCCGATGGCGTGTTCCCTCCGCGCGCTCCGATTTCTCCCACCACACAAATTATACAACTGTGTGAATATAGTGAAAGAGGCAAACTCCACTCAGAAAGGCCCTGTTCCAACTGGGATTCGGACCCAGAACCTTCTTTCCAAAAAGCGATAGGGCAAACTCAGCCATCCTGCAGCCCTTTCTACCTTGTCTTATGGTTGTATAGAGGATGATTATTATCCCTGAATGTAAAAATACCCCTCCACTGTATGTCAGAGTGAGTCCAAAAGCCAAAACTCATATGGACAAAATGGAAAATCACTCGTAAACGTCGACGCAAGGACGTAATGTCAAAGTTTGAATCATGAATACATTAATTGAGCTAAATTAATAGCTGCTTCTTTTTTTTTTTTTTTAAAGCAATATGCCCTTTTGCCAACTTAGCTTAGGAGCCGCGGCCTTGATCTCACACTCGGCTCGGTTTTGCGGCCCAAAATAAACAAACAGGAGACGAGGGTGTGGAAATGTGTGCTGATGTATGCAGTCATTTGTGAAATAGGTTTTCTTAAGGGACTCGCGGTTTGAGTGTTTCTCTGTATCGTTCAACACACTCAGACAAAACAAATCATTACTTCAACGCTTTTCTCCATGCCAACAGTACGTTTTGGAGACAGAAGAAATGCACTTTAGGTTGAAAGCGTGGCAGTTTTTGGAGTCAGGATCCAGTTTTTTTGACCGCTGACTAATTAGCTGGGGAGAAATTCTATGTTATGGCTTTGAACTTGGATTGTTTTCCTTTAGGAGGTTCAGACGTAATACCATGTCTTAGTTAAGTTAACATGGATTTGATTAGAAAATAGATAAAAACCAATAGATTGCGGTGTAGTTGGGTATTTTAGAATTGGGTTAGGAGTCACATGGTCTCATACAGTAGTTAAATACAACAGACAATATAATGTGTATTTCAAAACCGGTACAACAGTTTTACGCAACAGAACAACACACACATAATAAGAAGGGTAACACTTACCTCTCTCTCAGCGATCCTTGGAACAAAAGCCGCGAAACCAAGCTTTCTATGCGATAACTGCTGGAGATACATAATGTTTTCACTGCACATAATGTGTATGTGACAATAATAATAAACTTGAACACACACACACACACACACACACATAGAGGAGAGACATGACAAGACAGGCCCAAACATTCCCTGACCCTACACCTCCCTGAGGGCATAAGATAACGCTCCGTGTACTTAAGCCATATTTGGATCACAATGCGGGGATGCAACAATGTTGGCGATACATTACTGTTTCTCCATCCAATAAATGCAAGGCAAGGCATGTGTATTTGTACTGTATATAGCACAGTTCACACACAAGACAACTCAATTAAGTGCTTAACAAAACAAAATAGAAACCATCACACCAGGCATAATCACAGTACATTAAAAAGACAAAAATACAATCCTTCAGTTGAAGCCTGTTTCACATTTTCAGGATAACTGTTCCAGATTTGAACTGTATAAATGAGCATATTAAACATTTCCTCCGCCCTGTTTGTGCATCAGACATCGACGAATGTGAGACTCCCGGGATGTGCATGAATGGACACTGCGTGAACACCGAGGGCTCCTTCCGGTGTGAGTGTATGGCGGGCATGGCGGTGGGACTGGACGGCCGTGTCTGCGTGGGTGAGTATTTAATGATTTATTAATTATGTTGGTTGGGACAGTAAATGTTACCGCTGCAATCCAGAGATCATTGTCACCTCTCTGGATTAAAGCCTTGGACTAATATGCATCCCACAAACACACATTCACCCTGAACTATTGTACATGAATTTATCAATCAATCAATCAATCAACCTTTATTTATAGAGCGCTTTTCCTCCACAGGGTAACATAAAGTACTTCACAGCCCATATCACATCAGGTGTAAATCATCACAACCAAATAAACAATTATCTAAATAAACTAAAACATTACAATCGGCATTAAAAAACTCACCATTAAAATTGAAATCACAACCTAAACACAACCTTTAGTGGTATGAATGGAAACAATATTAAATAGTCAAAAATATCAAACTACAGGGTTTAGATGAGCTCACACCCAGAAGCATCTCACTGTAATACATGCCATTTCTATGTTATGAAGAAGATTTGAAATTGTATTTGAACAAATGACTTTTTCTCAGGCTGCACATTTTGAAACAATTGACGGAAATAGAGATTTATTTAGGATTTACAAAGGACATCATTATTCATTCACTGCTTTACAAAATACAAATGAATGGATAGCAGATTCTCACCTTGTTTTCACAGATCTCTCTTTGTGTCCAGAGTTGTTTCCCACATTTCCCCATTACTGCAAATGCTCATAGTTTGTTGATTTGCTTTCTCTGCCTTTGCCAGGGTGATATCAGCACCCAACAACGCACAAAAGTCTCCCTCAATCCACACAGCAACAACCGTTTATTTGTGCTCATGTTTTTTATTGTATCCACTCCTGCTCCTCTCCAGCCTAATTTCTTGCCTGGATTCTCACACACTGTTTTGATTTTGTCATTTGGGCCAGACACGCACATGCGCAGCTCTTGTTATGGGGGATACAGACGAGGCCAATGCGTCCGGCCGCTCTTTGGGGCAGTGACCAAGTCCGAGTGCTGCTGTGCCAACCCGGAGTATGCCTACGGGGAGCCGTGCCAGCCGTGTCCACCGCAGAGCTCTCGTGAGAAAACTTCAACTCAAACACTCCCACATCCATGCACACACACACACCACTTCAAATTTAAAACACATTGGTTAAATAGGAAAGGAAACGGTCATATCTAATGGAATGGAAGTCGAAGGGATGAAGGGGGAGTTTTTGCCTCTTACCGAGAAGGGAAAAATATAACTGGGCAGAAGTAAGTGCAATGATGTATAGGGGAAAATCATGGATGTATTATAGCATGTGGATAGGCTGCTGCTTAACTCGTCTCCATGTGGACAAGGGGCCGCCTGTGGTACTGCAGCTTAAATCTACGTGGGGGGAATGGAGCTTTTCCCATAGACCTCAATGTTAACTGAAACAGCTTGTCCTCAGCTGACTGAGAACCTAAAGCTTAACAAACAAACTTTTTTTCCTCTCGTCCTGCTTCCTGATCAGCGGGGCACTGATTGGGCAGAACCCTGTCTGGTCTCTCTTTAATCTCTCTCTGGTCTCTGTCTGGTCTCTGTCTAGTCTCTCTCTGGTGGGCATTCAAAAGTACTAATAACCATTCATCATATGCACCTTAGATTTCTGACCATTTTAATGTTTTTTCAACATAGCGCAGTATACATTACGAGCAAATGTGACATAAGCCATTAATAATGTTGAGAAGTTCATGTTTCATTTAGATTTTTAAAAACACTAAATTAAAATCTACGTCTGTCTGTGTTTTCCAGCTGAGTTTCTGGCTTTGTGTCCGAGTGGAGGAGGCATCACTGGTGATGGGAGAGGTGAGAAAAAACAGATAATAGATTATAGATTAGTCAAATAAGTGATATATCGATGTGTTTGTGAATATTCTGTTCTCAGATATTAATGAGTGTGCCCTGGACCCCGACCTTTGCCAGAACGGAGTGTGTGAGAACCTGATGAGGACCTACAAATGCACCTGTAACGAAGGCTTCGAGGTCGATCAGACTGGGAAGAACTGTATCGGTGAGTGTTTTTGATTATCACCAGACTATTAGTTTTATAAAAGGCGTTTGTAAGAAAGTCATTTTTACTGTTTGCGAGGTCTAAACATTGCTGTAATGTCCTGAATGACCAACACTAATGTGAGTTTCTCCTCAGACATCGATGAGTGTCTGATGAACCGGCGTCTGTGTGAGAACGGTCTCTGCAGAAACACTCCCGGCAGCTTCACCTGCCAGTGTCCCAAAGGATACCGCTTCGACTCGGAAACCGACGTCTGCGAAGGTCACATCCAGTCTCATTTTCATTACATTGTACTCATAGATTCATCTTAAAGTATTTCTATGTATTTTATTGATTCTGTACTTTGAATAGGGACAATACACATTCACCAACATTGCTGTAAATGTGTCAGTATTAGCTAACAGCTAGTTTCCAACTGTTCCAGATGGAACAAAGATTTCAACACGTAACTTCCAGAGCAGTCAATTTGACAGCTTTTAGCCTTGGAATAATTTGAGTAATTATTTAGCATGCATATGTTTGTTCTTCATAACGTTGTGAATTTGAATTTATATGTGAGTAGTTCTACCTTAACTACTCACACAGTCATTTTGACAGTTACATTCAGCCGAGTCAGCTTGGTTTTCCACCAGAGAAGATGCAGTACTAGCTACCATAGCAAAGCAATCTATATTTGATAGCCTTTTAACCAGTTTTAGCACTTATTGAAAGATAACGACATTAAAAGAGAGTTTTCCTCCAGATTTATCTAACGTTTAGATAAATCTGGAGGAAAACTGGTGCACTGCAAAAACCACATATTTGATATAATGTAATATATTTTATTTGTATTGCACAGTTCATACACAAGGCAACTTTAAGTGCTTATTAAACAAGATAGAAACAATCACACAAGGAATTAAAATCATTAATAATCACAGTTTGTTAAAATGAGTGAAGATACAATCCTTCAGCTGTATTCACAGCTAAACAAAGCTGTTTTTAAACTGGATTTGAACAATGTCAGAGTGGAAGCCTGTCTCACATTTTCAGGAAGATTATTGTTAAAAGTAATGTAACTGTATTTCAGATGTGGACGAGTGTGAGTCCAGTCCTTGCATCAACGGAGACTGCGTCAACAGCCTGGGCTCGTTCGTCTGCCTCTGCTCCGTGGGCAGCTCCCTGGACAACTCCAAGTTAGAATGTATCGGTGAGACACACTTACACCACTTTGATGATTGACCTGTTGATCCTGTGATGGGAGAGAGGTGTAGGGTCGGAGAGTGTTTGGGCCTGTGTGTTGTCATAGTGTGTGTGTGTGTGTGTGTGTGTGTGTGGCATGTGTTTGTGTGGGTGTGTTTGTTTTTGTTTTTTTCTGTCTTTTCTGTGGTAGTGCCAGCCATATTACTGTATGTACTGTACAGTGGTGTGTTTTGGAATTATACTGCATGATATTATTACAGCATGGTTTTGGGTGCCGTGTGTGTGTGTGGGTGTGTGTGTGTGTGTGTGTGTGTGTGTGTGTGTGTGTGTGTGCGTGTGTATCATGAGGCATGTGCAATGGGGTTGGAATCAAATACATGTAAGCCAATGCTTCTTCCAACCCCCTTTTGAACCATGTACTTGATATTTGTCCATTATATTGATTATGTAAAAGTGTGTTGTGCTGGTTCAAATTAAAAAATTCAATCTAACCATGAATGCCAAGACATTGCCAAAGTAAGGACAATGTTAATGAGTAAAGATGATGTTTTTCTCCCAGAGACGACCAAAAGCACCTGTTGGCTGAAGATCATCAACAATCGCTGTGAAGTGAACATCAACGGAGGAACTCTGAAGTCGCACTGCTGCTCGACGCTGGGGGAGGCCTGGGGAAGCCCCTGCGCCAAGTGTGAAAAAGGTCCAACATTACACAGAATATACTTAAAATATACTTCTGAATTATCTGTAGACTTATTATGTTGTTTCAAAGAAAAACTGGTGAATAGTAATGAATAGACAACAGCTGACGTTATAATGAAGATAGATAAACTAGGAAAGGATTGTGCTGTTTCCAAACTTCTCTCAGCTACAAGAGCGGACCTCGCAACGAGGAAAACTGTTCTCTATGTGCTCTGTGCTGTTAAAAATATTTACACTATTTTCTTCACAATTACAGACCCAATCTGTGGAAAGGGCTACGGCAGAGTCCGAGGGAACACCTGCGAAGGTGAGTTTATGCATTAACTTTATACAGTTGGGCTTGAAAGTGGTGATATATTTTAGAGATCCTGAACACAAACACTTCCCACACTCATTGTTAGTCGTTGTGTGAAGTCCTATATTTTGTAAATATTATCATGTTTTCTATTTTCAAATGATTTCATTGAATTGCTTTTAGGAAATCTCAAACATACAGTTCATGCAAGGCAGTTATAAAATCATGATTTGATTTTGATCAACAGACCCATGATGGACAGAGTGTAATTCTGGATACACACAGCCATTATGGACCTGGAATAATCAAAGCCAATTTAGCCATGACAATGAGATGTACTGAATGAGTCAGAGAAATGCAATAAGAACAAACACTCAGCGTGTGGTTTGTGAAAGAGAAGTCTTCTGCAGGCATCTCAGACAGCACAGGTTGGGCTGTCTGAGCTCACAGTATTTCAGAAGTTCCTTATAGACTCTTATGTTCACCCCCAACTTCACTAGTTTCTTCTTTTGGCTCCAGATGAAAAATTTACATGTTTTGCTGCTGAAAACATGCATTTTTGTGAATTCCTTCCGGTCTGCAAATATCTTTCAGACCCGGCTGTATAATCCACCCTGAGCTGTGCAAGTTCTGACACACGCAAAGATAAATGCATCAGTCATAATCTTTGTAAAACATATAATCAAAGTACTATCTGCCTCTGAGAGTAAAGTGTATTTTTTCATATGATTCACACTGCTGCATTACTGTGGAGTCCATGGACATTAGAAACACATGTCGAATTTCTTCTTCGTAGGAGCAGTAGTAGTAGTTAATTTATTTCTTTGTTCATTACAAAATCTTAGGTCACATGTTTTTAAATAACTTATACATTTTGCGATAAGAAAAAAAAACTACACCGTGTATATTAAGAATTTTAGTGCTAAATTTTCCGTGACCGAAAGAGGTTTAGGTTGAAGACTTATCCTGCCTCACCCTTACTACAACTGTGATGTCCAAAGATGGGAAGAAACTGACACAGTGTACAGTTTGACACATTGTACAGTTTCTCATACAACGACGGAAACATGTAGCACAAAACTGAAACAATTCGTTATGCATGACGTTTTGTTATATTCTGATATACATTTCTCCATGACCCAGTGAACTCCTGTTGATGTTTCAGACGTGGACGAGTGTGAGATTTTCCCAGGCGTCTGCACAAACGGCAAATGCGTGAACACTCAGGGCTCCTTCTTCTGCCAGTGCCCCCCGGGGATGACGGTGGACATGAGTGGCAGGATGTGTATCGGTACGTGGTCCTCTTCATTACACACACAGTTGTTGAGTGATAATAGAGTACACAAACATAATAAGGTGATGAATGAGTAGTTTATTGTCCGGAGGCTGTGTCTGTGTTAACCTGGTGTTGTTCTGTTCTGGTCTTTTAGTCCTGTTAAAGCGCTATTTGGGTTTTCCACTCGTTTATGATGTGTGCGGCATCTAACTATCTGTACGTATGAAAATAGATGGGTGGAAGTATGTTTAAAGCAGCTGATAAGAAGAATGGGTCTTCATTGCAAATTGGTTGTACACTCTATTGTTTCACTTGTCGATTGTGTCCACAAAATTTAATTCCCAACACATTTCCTCCAAAAAAAATACTTAATTTTGTGGGAAGTTCAGTTATTATATAATGAATCAAAAATGTATGTTTTGAATCACAAAGTCATTAGTATTGGCCATAATCAGTGAAAAAAACAAGCAATCCAACAAACACATACTTCCACACTGTTTATTTGAAGTTCTTCCAGTTTTTAAACTCAATTTATTTCACTTTGCTTTTGCCAAAAGTTTATTTGCACGCTTGACACATGTGGCTGGATAAGACCAGCTATAATTTAATCCTCATTCCTGAGAAATTCCCTTTAATTTAGGATTTTCAACAAACTTTTGGGTGTGACTGACTGTGGCTAAAAATCTGGATAATATCTGGTCAAAACAAGTGCATTTTTTTTCTTGTATCTTTGGGGAAATAAACTTAAAATCCTGCCACACTCTTACGAATACATTATTTTTATTTACTGCCTCAATGACTCTGATAAGTCTTCAGTGGTGACACTGCGCTGCTGGTACCAGTCTCCTCTGTGGAGACACTGGTCTTGTTTCCCCTTGTCTCTGTTTCTTGTTCTAGTGTGGACCTGGAGTCTGATTAGAGAAAATATATTGATTTTACAAATTACTGTCCTATTATTGAATTTGTTGCAGATGCTACTATAGTATCATTGCTTTGACTGAGGCTGCTCTGACAACACTTTGTTTGTTAATAAAGTTAATCTCTTTGTTGATGTAAAATGTGTTTTATTTATATGTATTTACATGTTCTAACCAGAATAATAAACCAAGGGATTTGGATTTCCTGCTTTATTTGATGGGAGAAATCATTGTAAACTAAACGGTGGGCTGTTCTGCCAACACTATTATCACCCTCTCCTGATCCCAATGTGTTTCTCTGCTCAGCTTACGTGTTGTTTTACAGAACTGCAATTTTTTTATATTAGAAGTGAAGTTGTTGAAAAGACTTTGTGTCAGAGAGTTGGAATGAGATAACTGGTGTTAAAGAGATAGAGACATATTATTCAAAATCGACCAAGCTTTTATGGAAAAGAAAGGAAAGTTTATTTGTTTGGTGCACGACCAAACAAAACAATCACACAAGGCATTAAAAGCATAGATAATCACAGTGCATTAAAAAAGAGTGAAGATACAATCCTTCCGTTATATGCGCAGCTAAACAGAATCATACATTTTGAACAGAGGAAATGCAATAATAACAAACACTTACAGGAGCCATTGGTCTACAGGCCGCGGAATCACCAATGTCCATAAATGTCTCGGAAAATGATTCTCCGGAACATTTAAGGATGGGACGCGTCAACTAATGGCTGAATAAATGTAATTAATACATAAAAATCATAGTATTACTTGTTTTTGTAAGTTTAAAATCTTCTCAGGCCCAGTCTTGTTTCCTGTCCTTTATAGTAGTAGTAGTAGTAGTAGTAGTAGTAGTAGTAGTAGCAGTATTTTTATTTGAGCAGTTTTACAATGTATTTTATGTATAATATATAATAATTCAAGAAAAAAAACAGAAATCCAACAGTCTTTAGTTGGACTTGCTCTCACTTCTGTAATCACCACAGTTTCCTCTCTCCTTCAGACTTGCGCACAGAGCATTGTTACCTGTCCCACGACGACGAGCGCTGCGCGGCCCCCATCCCGGGGAAGCACCGCGTGGACGCCTGCTGCTGCTCCGTGGGCGTGGCCTGGGGTCCGGAATGTGACGAGTGTCCGGAGAAGGGGAGCGCCCAGTACAGCCAGCTCTGTCCCAGGGGCCCGGGCTTCTCCCACCGTGGGGACTTTATCAATGGGAGGCCATTTCTGAAAGGTAACCAAGACGAAGCAAAGATTGTATCTTACTGTATGTGTGTAAAAGCTGACTTTTGCCTGACTTTTTTCATTATTTATAGACATTGTCTCAACAGAAAGTGTTGTGAACAGATCAGACCACTACATGTTAGCATCTTAACAATCGGACTCCCAGAATTCTGACTGCTCCCATTTGAATCAATGGAATTCTGAAAAATTTCCCTTAAAGCTATTTAGTTTTCCAACTAATGTTTTACTTATACCTCCATTGATAAGTGCTAAAGCTGGTTAATATCAATTAGAATACAGCAAAAACAAGGCTTATCAAATGCAAACCTGCCGACAACTAAAAAGACAACCAAAAATGTACATAATTGGAGTACTTACACTTACAAATCTAAAATCCAACAAATTGACCGCTCTTTTGGGGCAATTTTTCAGAATGCCAGTGGTTTTAATGGCAGCAGTCAAAATGATGGCCCTGGGAGTTCTAGTGTTTGTTTCAGTCAAATGCATCAGTAAAAGCCATATTCCCAGGACTTTGGTTGAATGAAACACGGTGTCACAGTGATACGAGCGTTGGTCTGGCCTCTCACTGCAGCTCTGTGTGTTTCAGATGTGAACGAGTGCAGAATGATCTCCACACTCTGCTCCAACGGACGCTGCAGAAACACCATCGGCAGCTTCAGATGTCGCTGTGACAACGGGTACGCGCTGGACTCCGATGAGAGGAACTGCACGGGTGAGCACTGGCGACACTGGGTTTGGTCCAGTTTGGGCCACTTTATTTTATCAGACATATCCAGGGGCCGACAACACAGATAGTAAAACGTCTTTGACTGGATCGAGTTTTACAATGAGGTTTGTTCAGTCTGTAGATTCCCACTGACAGAAGTTTAATGGTGTTTACTATCTCACCAGCTCCAGTACATTAGCATCATATATGAGATAAACAACTAGATTGCCATTGTACTAAGCTTCACCACAAGGGATCGTGTATCTATTTAGCTGAAGATGAAGTTAGCTGGATGACACTTTTATACTTGTGTTTATGATCTAACAGGCTAGTTTGTGTGAGCAACAGAGGGCCAGAAAACGTAACACAGAGGGCTGAAGTAGTAATCAACCAATATGAGAAATTCTTTTTAATTATTATAGATGTTTTAGTAATATTTTATTTAAAAAGGTGTGTGTAAAAACTACTGTAGGCCCTAAATGCTGCCCTTTTGAGATCTCACAAACGGCCAGCAGTTGTGCTTATTATGTCAAACATTTAACTCTTCTGCTAACACAACAACAAAAACCCTATTTTGAGATGATTCAAGTCAAATCCACATCACCACAGATTTCAGCTTCAGATTGGCATTAATCAGTGGCAGCAAGAAGTTTAGTGGCATTTTTAGCAGCCACAGAAAATGCACTGAAAATGCCACTAAAATATAGCTTACAGTGAAAACGCACTGAAAATGCCAGTAGTAGAAATTTTAGCAGCTGCCAGTGCCGTTAATGCAGATACATCAAATTTTCTATATATCTCTTTGTGGGCTCTTGGTCAAAACTAAGTAAAAAAATGTATGTTAAATTACAAAAATAATCTGCTTGTTGGTGGCCTTTTGTTCTATAGTTGCTTCAAGATTTAAATAGACATTATATATGAAGTACTGGGAGTTTTGGCACAATTTGAAGGTCCCTGTTATTCGGAACAGGTGCACAACAAGGACAAAATGATTCTACCAAATTGAAGTGGATTATCACACTGTCAAAATTGTATGTAATTTTTTTTTAACCGATAAACAAATCCCATACTTTTCCTTAACTTTTAATGTCAGAGCTAAAGCCTATAAGCCCTCGGCATGCCTGTTCCCGTCCAAATCAGTTCCTGTTGGACTTAATACCACCTAAAAACAGGTTGCATTTTCTCATCAGCTGCACAAACTAAACATCTGTCTCAATCTCACCAGTCTTAACCAGCTCCACTCTTTCCGACTGTTTCTGCCAAGTCTCATTACAATAAAATGGAAAGGACATTGCCTCCTCGTAGCTGGTTGAGTCTAATAGGAACCAGGCTTGTTGGAACTCCTCCACTATGTTTGGTTTTAGTCACTGCAGCTATACTAAAGTCTGCAGAGATTACTTTCAAACGGCTGAGAAATGGCTATTAATTTGGTGATGTTAGCTTCCAGTGTTTTACTTTCTGATTCAAGTTTGTGTCTTTGCTGAATGGATTTTAATACCAAACCTTTGACTTAATTGTGGCTAATGAGAATTGTCATAAAAGTAAACATTTAACTGCACGTTACCATGAGGTGGAATGACAAAAGGAACCCAAAAGCAGCACTGAAAATACAGTATAGTTTAATTAAATAAAACCAAATCCAGAGTAACAAAAAAACATAAAAATCCAGGACTAAAAACAAGCCAGGAACAAACGTGGATAAATAATTGTGGGGCCGCACCAGGAAGGTTTTTGATTGAAAATACATGTTGTCCACATAAAGGCTGCAGGTTTCTATGTTGTAATGTAGCAGATAGACGACAATGACAAGGTGTTTAACTGATTAACCGTTAGCTTCCTACTAAAACTAGATGTAGTCCAAGTAATAACGCCATAAACTCTTCTCTGCCAACTTTACCACAATAATAATACCAAAATTAGCCGTTTTATAGAATAACTAGAACAAAATTGCTTGTAGTCTGGAAATTATGGCAAAGACACATGACGGAGCAAACAATCAATGGGACAGGAAGGAGGACTCAAAAAGGCAAGACAATGTTCAGGATAAAAGTCCACACCATGGCATTTGCGTTTTGTGTAATCACTGTGTTTTTGGATTTCAACGGACATCCAGATTATATGTTGTTTTTACTCACACTTGTTTATTCTCTTTGAAGACATCGACGAGTGCCGCATTTCTCCGGATCTCTGCGGTCAGGGCAGATGCATCAACACGGCCGGGGACTTCGAGTGCGAGTGCTTTGAAGGATATGAAAGCGGCTTCATGATGATGAAAAACTGCATGGGTGAGTGCGAGATGTGTGTAACATGTTTACAAATGTGAGTTTAATGAGAGGAATTAGGGACAGACCCTTCTATCCACAACATGTTAGGGTGAAATTTATGGAGAATCTAAAACAGGCAGCGGCAAACCTCTCCTCCTGAGGTCCATATTGGTATATCTGCCTGCTGTCGGGGCCAGGACCTATTTTCCAAAGCTTTTCACATAAACAATAAGAGCGGTGTCATATGGGCTTGTTCATAATAAAGGGTACTAAAGTGTGACAAAAAGCCGAAAATGTGATTGTAGTAATCAGAAGATATATTAGGGTTTTTCAAATACCTCTTGTCCATAGTTGCTAGAAGATAACTGTTTTATACATTAGTCAAATGTTCTATGGCGGCTCTGTTTATCTGTAACGGATGTGATCCTTTGATGGAATGAGCTGCAGAAGTTTGTTACATATTTTCAGAAGTTTAATTTTTGGGAAAAAAATTGACAGAAATCTTCACAGCCGTGACACATTTTTCAAGGGTTATTTAAATTTGTATTGATTATTTTTCAATTATGATTCCTTTTTAAATTAAGTGATTTACTTTAGTAAAGTTTGAGGCTAATCTATTTTTTCAAAATATTGCCAAAAAATGTTTAGTTTATCTTTTCTTTTGATTTTATCCAAAATGTTTCTTTTATATATCTCTTGTTTGAAATCTTTTTTCTAATCTATGATATTGTAATTGTATTGTAGTTTTGGTTTTATAACCTTTTAAAGTCCAGATACGATGATTGACACTTTACTGTGTGAACACACTCATATTCCAGCGAGTGCATTGATGAATTTGAACTTCCCAGAAAAAGGAAGAAAACAGGTAAAGGAAAGATTAAAGTACACTGCAGGCTGAGTTTCACAGGCTACAGAGAGAGGGGGCTGTCACGGAGAGCTTGCTTTGACCAGCGCTGAATGACTCCCGCTTCGAAGCATCGCGCGCAGCACAGGGGGATTTTATAGTCTCTATACAATATTTATAAATTGAAAAGGGCTCTGGGCCTGATAGAAAAATCCAAACTGGCCAACGGTCCGGGCTAAAGTACAGTATGGCATTTTCCTAAGCTCAAACATTTTATTGAAAGGAAACCCAATCTTCTCTCAAAAACAAAGCAGAAAAGTGGAGGATTTAAGTACACGTATAGGACTATGCTTTTTAAAATGCTCAACCCACTTGCCTGTGAAAGTAGTCCCTTTTAAAACTGCCCTTTGCTGCTTGTTAAAGTCCAAATATCTTAAGTGCATGGTGCTTTGCCAGCTCATAAACATTTGTAAGAGTGGGGGAAACCCGGTACACACTCCACCCCACAAGCCTCACTCCCTTTTGGGCTGTAAGCCGTGGATGAGGTGCCTCTCCAAACGCACCAGGCCAGGAATCCACTGTTTGGACTGACTGACGTAATCCTGAATTTACAGTCATTTGTGCAGAGAAGCTCGGAGCGTTCCAGCCTGATTTATTGAAGCCCCCGTGGTGCGTTCAATGACCTGAGTGTTCAGACCACATGTGGCCTCCATCACTCTGTAAAACTGCCCCATCTCTCCCTGATAAGATAATTGAGTTGAATTAGCGAGTTGACCTTTAAAACCACCAACATACAATGAACCACAAACAGACCGTAAAACTGAGAAACAACTTCTGTGTAAAAGTGCTACACAGGTTGGAGTGGGCGAGAGTGACAAAACATAATATCCTGAACTTTGTGTGTGTTTTTATAATAAGATTCAACAATGATACAGCGTTCCATTTGAATAGTGGTAAAACATTGGGATTAACATAACATAGAATTAACAAAAAACAAGTAAATTATGTAACAGTATGCAATATGTTGGTGGTCCAAGAAAGTCATAAGTTATGGTTATAATTACAGCCACCCAGAGTCTGTGACACATGTAGCTCCTAAGCTTTGATTACACGTGCAATCCACCTTCTGGGGTTTAGATGGCACTAGTGCAATCTCTGCGTAATACGTGTGACTACTTACTTTTGTATCTGCTTTCATCCAAACGGGTTGTGCATTTTTTTTCTGTTTTCTTTTTCATCTTAGTTTGTAAAGTCCAGATAATGAACATAAACATGATTTGTGTGTCTTTCTCTCGCAGATATCGACGAGTGTGAGAGGAACCCCCTGCTGTGTCGAGGAGGAGAATGTGTGAACAATGAGGGCAGCTTCCAGTGCGTCTGCCCCGATGGCCATGAGATCTCACCGGACGGATCCGCCTGTCTGGGTGAGCGATGAAAATAATGTTTAAATGTTTAGCAAGAAATACAACGTCAATCTTTGCAGTTGATCCGTCTTTTAGGCACAGGGTCCTTATTCAGGTTTAATAGTTCAGTCTCCCATAAAATGTTTTTTGTCATGTTTGTTCTGCATGTAATATATGGGTCGGTCCAGTTAACTTTATGTAATGACATTTTAGCAGAGGTCAGAGTTCACAAGTGACTAGTGAGTGAACAAGACAGTGATTTAGCCACTGTATCTGTTGTGCTGAAGAGGGAGCAGTGCCTGCAGTCAGAGCTGTTTCTGATTGTTCTGGTGAAGATGGAGTTGAGCCATAAGGCAAAGCTCTTGATTTACCACACAGTCTCCATTCCCTCCTTCAGCTCCAGACCTGACGCCATTCATTCTAATATGAGAAATTAAAACTAGTTTTTAAAAATGTAAGTCCTTCAAATTAGTTCTGGGAGTTTCAAAATAGTCAAATATAATAATAGATTTTGCTCTAGATAGATTCTCTTTGGTGTTCTGCACGTACTGTATGTGTATGTATGTAGTATTTCAGCTGTTTTACGGACCACATTCCTCTGTAACTCAGAGACGAAATTGTTTGGTTCCATCTTTACCCAGCGATCGTTTGTTTACTCATGTTGTGGTGCAGTTCGGTCCACGCCTCATCTGGAGCGTCAGCCTGAAGTTCAATCCAGCCGAATTTAGTGGTTTCTGGTGTAATCCTTTGGTTTCTGTGGTGCTCTGTTAAACTGTTTATGGGCACGCTCACTACTGAATCCTAATACTGTCATTATGGGGGAGGGGCGGGGCTAAACATCACCTAATAGCCAATAAATAGGGAAAATGTGTGTCACTTTCTCTCCTTAAACTGAACTTCACTTTGATTTATAGGTTTTGTGGTCATGTTTTCAGAGTGCAACACACTGTAGGCTATTGTTTTGTGACTTTTAAATCTTTCTACAACAATATTGGCAACTAGAACTCCCAGAACAGACATTTTCACTATTCCTGTTCAAACCAATGGAATTCCGAGTCATTTTGTATATTGTTATTTGTGTTTTATGAATTAGATCACCATTTGGATTTCAACTTTCGGGGATGAACTATGCAATGCTCTGCTTAAGCCAATCTCAATCTTTCTCCTGCCTCATTGCTTATCACATGTGTTCCCTTGTGTTAGATCATAACTGTTTGTTGGTTCCACAGACATAAACGAGTGTGAGCTGAGCGACAGGCTTTGCAAACACGGACAGTGCGTGAACATGGTTGGACGATACCAGTGCACCTGCGACACCGGCTACAAGTCCACCGAGAACCGACTGGAGTGCGTGGGTAAGTTTCCCAACACATTCAACCTAAAGTCCCCCACAGATTTGACTTTGATTGGTCATATTGAGTGTGTCGTAGATACGTTTAATAGTTTTACATAAGTGAAAGCTCAGCGTGTGACCAAAGTTTACAAGACAAATTGATCAACCAACCCTGACCCAAATGCTGCAGAGTCAGACACTATACGTATATGAAGCCAAACAGGATGTACACTTGTAAACCTGAGCAAATTCTGGACACAAAGAAAATTTGGGGTCTGGAGGAGTCGATCTTACACCACTTCTGCCTAACATAGACCAGTGCAAACTGTGGGCTGGGGGTCACATGCGGTCAAATCACGCTTCTATGTGTTCCCCCCGAACCTTTCTCAGCTGTTAGTTAGTAGAAAAGCACCAATAAAAGTAGAATAATCTTTGTCAATGAAAAAAAAAATCAGTTTTTTAGAGAATTTAATTAGAGATATTTAATTCTGTTTGATTTTATTTGTCTTTCTTATTTGTTCTTTTTGTTTATGTTTGCTCTGTGTTTTTGTTTTGCTTATGTCTTGTTCCTTAATGTGTGTATGTGTCTGTCATGATGTGATTGTCCTTTATATCATATACATATATATATTTCTTAATCCCGAGAAAATGTACTAAACTAGTTTAATTTAATAGTATTTGTTAGTCTAACTTTAGTACGTCTCTATAAGTATCACAATAATAAATCTTTTTTCTTTCATTCTCAGATATCGATGAGTGCACAATAGAAAATGGCGGCTGTGAGTCGTTCTGCACAAACTCGGAGGGGAGCTACGAGTGCAGCTGTCGCAGTGGATACGCCCTGATGCCCGACCTCCGCAGCTGCACTGGTCAGTAAAGATTATTATGTACATTTAAATGGCCCTTTTGATATGTCTCATACTAAAAGCATTGCTGCTTCAGGGTTATTTTACTGATAATGCTGGAAAGGTCATTTATTACAAAATGTTGATCTTTTTGTGGTCTTTATTGGACGTTGTTAAAACTGGAGTACTTTTTTTTACCTTAAATATGTCCCTTTAGAATGCTGTCTTCATCTAAGTGAGGGTGGTCTGTCTGACAAAGCGGATTTAAAGATGTGACAGAGGCTAAAAAATGTTTTGCGAGGAGCTAGTATTGCCAAATGGAAGAAGTTTTGTATGAAATTCTCTCCACTTTCACAGAGTCCAGTTACAGGGTGCAGTTTAAAGTTGTTTTAAAAGCTGTAAGTTTGTTTTCTGTTTTCTTTTTCTCGCTCGGGCACTTCAATGACAATACGGAAAGAATGTGTAGAGTTTGCATGTTCTCCCGGTTTCTGTTTAGGTTTCCTCCGGGTGCTACGGAAATGACTGGTACAACAAAACTAAAGAGTTTTGTGTGACCTTGGTCTGTGAAATGTGCTATATGAATAAAGATTACTTACTAATTAAATATGTTATTAGTCTCCCAAGGGTAAATAAAAAAGAGCACACAGAGAAGCTAAGACATTCAGGACAAGACACAGTTTGAGTTAAAAAATAACATATGACTTCATATTTGCGAATGAGTGCTCGAATTTCCTGGAACCATATTTATTGATGCTTCCCTCTTATCAAATCATCACATTTTTTAACCATCAAACCAATAGGCTTTTCTCGCCGTTAGCCATTTAGCTCGAAACTCTCGGCTCTGTTTTGTTTGGACAGCCCTGTGGCGCAGAACAACCTGAATTATCGAGCGAAGATTCCTTGTTGACAGAGCGATGGTCACATGATCTGTGTTCAAAGCTTTCTCTGGGACGACACATAGACAGTCAGATGGGGTTTCAGTTACATTCACAGACAGTAGAATCTTGCGCAGTGAAGGCTGAGGAGACCAGAGAGTGTTGAGTACTCGGACAGCTCGTGTTTGGATGCTTTTGGGTGTTTTGATGTGGTTTTTGTTCCTCCAATTAGTGGAGACATATGTACGGGCCGCGTTGGTCCCTGTGAGAGTTTGTTATGGGCGGTGGTGAGCGATCAAGGAGGAATCTGCACGTGAGTGAATGTGGAGATGTTTGAAGCATTTTCTATTGTTGGATTAAGTCATGCTTTATTGCCCCTGTAGGGTAATGTGCCCACTGCGTTTGACCCTTCTTTCCTTGCCACTAGGGCCTCTGTCAGGAGCAGTGGTCGATCTAGTGCAGAGAGAGAGACCCGAGAGAGGGACCAGAGAGAGGGACCAAAGAGGGAGATGAGAGACTAGAAAGAGAGAGATTATAGAGAGATCCGAGAGAGACCAGAGAGATAAATTATAGAGACAGACTAGAGAGAGTGACCGTAGTAGAGCACTGGGAGACCCATTGCCAGACATTGATGCTCATCTTGGTCAGGACCAGAGCTGGATGATTTTGCCCATTGTTAAAAAAAAATTACGGAAACCGGAGCACCCAAAGGAAACCTATGCAGACACTGGGAAAACATGCAAACTGCACTCCTAAAGGGTTCTGACCTGGATATCAGAATGGTATACCTGTCAAGATTAAAGATTCATGTAGGTCTTAGAGTAGAAGCTTATCAAGACAAAGACTCCATTAGAATGATAGTTATTGGTATGTTGAATATATTGTAGCTGCATGATTAGACAATTAGACCTAGCCGACAAATGACAAGGAATTATTATATATTTATTGCATTTGAGCAGGAAGGGTTACAGATTCAACCCTTCGGCAGAAATACTGCAAGAGGGAGTTTAATAGAGATTATGAGAACCCCTAGAAGCCTAAAACATTGTGGTGAAGGAAGATGAGGTGATAACCTCACTCCACTGATGAGGCGGGGACAGGGAGGAGGAGGGTTGCTGTATGAACAGAAGCTTGATGTGAGGGATGAGATGCTCTGTGCCAATGCAGCTGTGAAGTGATGCCAATGAGCACAGGTGTGACTGAAGCTGAGGCTGATGGTGATAAGTTCAGATGCACGTTTGTAGCAGAGTGAGGACTCAGTCTGGAGAGAGTGAGCACTGAGAACCGTGTGTCCCAGTCTTTCAGTCTGAATGTCCTTTTTAACGATACGATTGGGTAACAATACAATATGTAATTTATTGATCAGCCTCATCTATGATGGATGTGTTCGCCTGGTTTATTAAGATTTGGGGGCTTATTAGGCATGGTGAGTGGACAGAAGTGGAGTAGTGGTCTGCTCTTGAACTTCCCAAAAGGAATAACCTTTAAACTTGCACATTTAAAGTACTGTATGGTGAAGTCTTGCAATGAGACCTGCTGAAATGTCAACTCTAATCTGCCTTCACCCTTGCATCAAAGTCTGTCTTTCTCTTTCTTACATTACCTAATCTCCTCTTGTCTTTGATGTTTTCTCTTTCAGACATTGATGAGTGTGAGGAGAGTCCGGACATTTGTGACGGAGGCCAGTGCACCAACACTCCAGGGACCTTCCAGTGCCTCTGCTTCGACGGCTTCATGGCGTCTGAGGACATGAAGAGCTGTCTGGGTAAAAAAAACACTCTTTTGTTTCATTTATTTTAATTCAATGTATTTGTGAATAGCCCTTAAATCACAGCAGCAGTCAAACAAAGGAAATACAAACACATAGGAGCCATTGGTCCATAGAGAGTTGGCTGACCACTGTTATAAATGTTGATTAATGTCCATATATTTTCTTTAATGTCCCACAAGCAGTAAGAATACAGAGCACAGCTTTAACTCTTATATATTCTTTAGCTTAATTATTAACTTATGATACACTCTAAGAACCAAAATATACATACAGTAAGTGATGGTAAACCTTGAAAGCACCAGCCCGACTTCAACAACACTTCTACAAATGCAAGAAACCGGTCCAGTTATGGCCAACACCAACAAACCTATTGTTATCCCAGTTCAAGTCAGGTCAATTTGTGCGAGTCCAAAAAACAAAAAAAAAGGCTAATAAACTTAGCTGTAATGGTTTGTTTGTTCGTTTTATTGTGTGCGCAAGAATCCCAGCTGCCCAAGTTACTTTTGACATTTTCTGATTTATATAAACATTTTTTTATACATATTTCTAAACAATGCAGCACCCTAAGGACTGCACGCCTTCTTGAGATGCTTTATTGCAGCCAGCGGCCTGGAGCACGCCACTGGCTAAAGGTTATCCAAGAAGTGAGTCATGAGAAAGAGGCTACACGAGTCAGATCAAAGTGTTTATGTGAGAAAGAAATGCTTAAAGTTGTTGTCGATTTACGGCAGATGAGAGAAACTGAAAGGAATTCGTGACATTTAGAAGCTGCTCCAAAACATGACAACAGCGAAGGACTGACTCCAAAAGAGGTTTTATAGATTTATCTTTTACCCTTTGATTTCTGTGCTCTACAAATCTGTTTTTAATAGTTCAATTCAACACTCTTGAATCGTAATCATACCGCAGCAAGTAACCAAACCAAATGAAAACAAAGAAGTTATCCTTTCCACAACAGCATTACAACAAGACGAAACAGCAATTGTTTTGTCTTTTACAATTTGTAAAATTGTAAACACGAATTGTTTTATTCTTGTACAAATTTACACACACTACAAACACTTGGCTCCACTCTGTATGGGAGCGTTTCCACCGACCCTGTTTCAATGGTACCAGGTACTTTTTTTAGTCCGTTTTGGCACTGGTTCTATCCACACCAAGCTGGCCCTAAAGTGTTCTAAGTGACATTAACTGACCAGAGTGATGCTGGAAGCCATGGTTACCAAGGAATATCCATGGATAGTGGTTTGTTGTGGGAAGGTTGATGGAATACGTTCGTTTCCAGACACACAAGCAACCAGATAGAGTAGAGTAGAGTAGAGTAGACTAGAGTAGACTAGAGTAGACTAGACTAGAGTAGACTAGAGTAGACTAGAGTAGACTAGAGTAGAGTAGACTAGAGTAGACTAGAGTAGACTAGAGTAGACTAGAGTAGACTAGACTAGAGTAGACTAGAGTAGACTAGAGTAGAGTAGAGTAGGACTAGAGTAGGACTAGAGTAGGACTAGAGTAGGACTAGAGTAGACTAGAGTAGGACTAGAGTAGGACTAGAGTAGGACTAGAGTAGGACTAGAGTAGGACTAGAGTAGACTAGAGGGGGTCGCTACCTCCATGTTGCCGTAAAGATGTTGCTTCTTTGCTTGGAATGTACTGCATGAAATGATAGATAGATACTTTATTGATCCCCTGTAGGAGGAATTCAGGTGTCCAGTAGCAGCAAAAATAAAATTGATCATTCTAAAAACACAATAACAGTAATAATCAGCAACAGCCCTTAAGGTCACAGCAGCACAGGTGGAATAGCCTCTGGGTGGAGCAGGACAGGTCACAGCAGGATAGGTGGAGTAGCCTCTGGGTGGAGCAGGACAGGTCACAGCAGCAGAGGTGGAGTAGCCTCTGGGTGGAGCAGGAAAGGTCAAAAGGTGGAGTACCCGCTTGAGACCCTTTTCTCTGCTCTAGTCCAAAGTAAAATGCTAAATGCTGCTTTAACATTTTTCAAAAATGTAGCATTCCTCCAGTGGATTTTCACCTGATCCGCTTGGTTCGGACCAGGAATCCTCTCTGCTCCAGTCTGGACCAGTGTAAAACTGAACACTGTACTGCAGCAACATCTCAGGCAGAAAAAAGCAAACAAAATAAAAATTGATTAAGCACAAAACAACAACTGTTTTAGAGCTACTTAGGACTTGCAGCCGTTTCCAGGCGCATCCCCGAATGTACCGCATTGTCTAAAACATAAAAAAAAAACATTCACATTTACACAAAACCTCCATATCTACAAATATTCAATGTGATTTATTTTTGTTTTTTGCCCTTAAACACTACAGCGGTCATCTCAGAGTTGTCGATTTTCCAACAACTATCAGAGAATCAAAAAGTTTCAATAACAATAGTAACAAACACATAGGAGCCATTGGTCCATATGACAACATAAAGCTATTCTTGGCTGTGAAGAAACAGAAAGACACAGGCCAAAATAATCTGTGTCTTAAAAAATATTGGAGAGTTTGATTTGCGTGATGCACAAACTGGAAACTTTTGGTCCAAATAAAACATCTCTCACATCTGGTGTTTGTTCCTTTCTCCGATCTGTTATTCTGTGGTTGTTTTTATGTGGATTCTCGCTCACAAACCTGATTCTTTGAGTGAAACCAGAGCTAATTGATTTGGTAGATTTTCCCAATAACAACACAAAGCATGTGTTGTTCAAAGTCCTGACAGGTCTAAATAAACTACATTTTATGAGAACATGTATTTTAGTGTTTTTAATTAGCTTTTATTTATGACTCTCATATTTTTACTTTTATAACCACTGCTTAAGTTATCTATGTCTCCTATTTTGTACCTTTTTACTTAATCCACCAAATTATGGCATTATCAATCAATTCAAGAGACAACTCTCTTAAACTTAAACATTGTCTTGCATTTGTCCTTTAACAACTGACAAACTAGGAATCTGTTTGGGCATATGGGGCAAGATAAACAGGAGGCAAGTTTTTTGCATAAAACTATTCATACACAAGGAAACTCAAATATTCACAGCACATTAAAGAGAGGGAAAATACAATCATTCAGTCATATACACAAATAAACAGAACTTTGAACATTGATTTGAACTTCATCAGCGAAGAAGCCTGTCTCACATTTTCAGGAAGATGGTTCCAGATTTTGCTACATAAATCGGGACACCCTGGGTATTACACTAGTAAAACATATTACTACATAACTTAATGTTTTTACTCAATAAAATCACATACAGAAATAGATACATACATTACTTGTATTCTCAATGAGGTGTTTTATTGAAAATACTCCATCACCATATTCACATTTTTGCTAAAGCCCGGCTAATCAACCACATCACCCCTGTCCTACAGCTGCTCCACCTCCCATCATCCACTGCATTCTAAACCAAATTCAGTTCACAATTTGAAAGCAATCCACAACCTCCACCTTCATCTCTCTCTCCTCCATCTCAGATAAGATGAGATAAGATAAGATAGACTTTATTGATCTCACACAGGAGACATTTACATGTCACATTTGTCATGGATAGAATCACTCAGATTTGTGCAAAAGACAGAGGTGCGCAAACATGCACACCTGCATGTTTCCCTCCTCTCCTCCAGCTCCATATTTTCATATTACTCAATGCATTGCTCCCGGTCAAATACATATATTCAATTCAAATAATAGTAATAGTAGTCATAGTAGTAATCACTTAATCCAAATCCAGTTTATGGTGAAGTGAGGAGACCCAGCTGTACATTGTGTGCATTACATTCCGATATCTTACTTCCTTGTTCTTTCCAATGTGTCCAGATGTGAACGAGTGCGAGCTGAACCCAAACATCTGCCTCAGCGGAAACTGCGAAAACACTAAAGGCTCCTTCATCTGCCACTGCGACATGGGCTACTCAGTGAGGAAAGGCTCCACCGGCTGCACAGGTAAAGACTGCCTTTCCACTCTGTATCCACTTTGTATCCACTCTATATACACTCTGTATCCACTCTGTATCTACACTGTATCCACTCTGTATCCACTCTGTATCCACTCTATATACACTCTGTATCCACTCTGTATCTACACTGTATCCACTCTGTATCCACTCTATATCCACTCTATATACACCCTGTATCCACTCTGTATCCACTCTGTATACACCTTGTATCCACTCTGTATCCACTCTGTATCCACTCTGTATCCACTCTATATCCACTCTGTATCCACTCTGTATCCACTCTGTATCCACTCTTTATCCACTCTATATACACTCTATATCCACTCTGTATACACTCTGTATCCACTCTGTATCCACTATGTATCCACTCTATATACACTCTGTATCCACTCTGTATCCACTCTGTATACACTCTGTATCCACTCTATATCCACTCTATATACACTCTGTATCCACTCTGTATCCACTCTGTATCCACTCTATATACACTCTGTATCCACTCTGTATCCACTCTATATACACTCTGTATCCACTCTGTATCCACTCTGTATACACTCTGTATCCACTCTATATCCACTCTATATACACTCTGTATCCACTCTGTATCCACTCTCTGTATCCACTCTGTATCCACTCTATATACACTCTGTATCCACTCTGTATCCACTCTATATACACTCTGTATCCACTCTATATCCACTCTATATACACCCTGTATCCACTCTGTATACACCTTGTATCCACTCTGTATCCACTCTATATCCACTCTGTATCCACTCTATATCCACTCCGTATCCACTCTATATACACTCTGTATCCACTCTATATACACTCTGTATCCACTCTATATCCACTCTGTATCCACTCTGTATCCACTCTATATATACACCCTGTATCCACTCTGTATCCACTCTATATCCACTCCGTATCCACTCTATATGAACTCTATATCCACTCTGTATCCACTCTATATATACACCCTGTATCCACTCTGTATCCACTCTGTATCCACTCTATATACACTCTGTATCCACTCTATATACACTCTGTATCCACTCTATATACACTCTGTATCCACTCTGTATCCACTCTATATACACTCTGTATCCACTCTATATCCACTCTATATACACCCTGTATCCACTCTGTATCCACTCTGTATACACCTTGTATCCACTCTGTATCCACTCTATATCCACTCTGTATCCACTCTATATATACACCCTGTATCCACTCTGTATCCACTCTATATCCACTCTATATGAACTCTGTATCCACTCTGTATCCACTCTATATCCACTCTGTATCCACTCTATATATACACCCTGTATCCACTCTGTATCCACTCTGTATCCACTCTGTATCCACTCTGTAGCTACACTGTATCCACTCTGTATCCACTCTGTATCCACTCTGTATCCACTCTATATACACTCTGTATCCACTCTGTATCCACTCTATATACACTCTGTATCCACTCTGTCTCCACTCTATATACACTCTGTATCCACTCTGTATCCACTCTGTATCCACTCTGTATCCACTCTATATACACTCTGCATCCACTCTATATACACTCTGTATCCACTCTGTATCCACTCTATATCCACTCTGTAGCTACACTGTATCCACTCTGTATCCACTCTGTATCCACTCTGTATCCACTCTGTATCCACTCTATATCCACTCTGTAGCTACACTGTATCCACTCTGTATCCACTCTGTATCCACTCTGTAGCTACACTGTATCCACTCTGTATCCACTCTGTCTATTCACACAACACCAAGACACCTATGGATTAACACTCGGACTCCTACAATTATGAAACTATAGAATTCCTAGAACTGTCATTTTGGACTGCTCCCATTCAAACCAATGGAATTCTGAGAAATTGAATAAAACGATAGAGTGACAGGTGCAACCAATCACAGTGCAGTTTATCAACCTCAATATCGCAAAACATATTACATTGAAATTGTCATAGTTATGTGATAAAAGTCACTCAATTAATTTTCCTTAAAGCCTTATTTTTGTGCTGAAATAACTATATTCTCTTGGAAGCGATTAGAAGGAATTATAGTCTTAGGAAACTTGTGATGAAGAGGAGAATTATGATGAAAGTGTACTCAAAAGTGTAGCATTTTGGAATATATTTGACCATCAATGAAACCCCCAAACATCTGCTATTTTTGAGGTTATTTTGTCTTTACAAGCTGATAGAATCACACAATTCTGGGTAATGGCACCGCTTAGAAGGACTTATAGTCAAGAAAAGAATTACAACTAATATGTAATCAGGCGGAAGGACCTTTTGACCAATTTTCATTTCTGTAGAGTAGCTCCCATAGGTCGGGTTAAATCAACCATAGTTACGAGCGACTTCAGACAGTTTTTGTGTCACATGAACATATCCTTTTCCTCAGAAGCTCATGTTGAATTAGTCACAATTCCTCCAAACACAAACACACTTTACTGACCCAAGCAGCAGCAGCAGCAGCAGAGATGAGATCACTGTATCCATGTGTCAAACTCATGCATCTCGGTGGAGTTTGTTTGGTTCAATGACGCGATGGTTGGAAGAGCTCTGAGCGCGTCACCTCCTGTTCGGCCAAAACTCAACCTCATGCTCTCACAATTATCTAGTCCACACAGAAACAACAGTATCACTGCCTATTCATTGCATTGGAATTCATGGTGTTGTAGGAGATAAGTGTGCTGTCACTGTCACAAGGAGCAAACTGAGGAAGGAGACAAAAAGCAGCAACGCAAAACTGTATGATTTAATAATAAAATTAACCTGAAACACAAAAACTCAGAGACAAAGACTTAGTGCCGGTGTTCTGTCGAGTTGTGCCGCTCTCAGCTGTGCCGTCTCACGGCAGCCGAAGCAAACCAAGATGGCGGTCCGTGAATAGCTTTAAAAGTTATAATACGAACGAAGTAAGACACGAATGTCACTTTTAATGCCATTTGAGGCGAGATGTTGCTGGTTCTGTGTTGTCACATGTGGGTTTTAAGTCAAAGTTTCATGTAGAGTTTAGTTTATGCAGTCAACTGCGCCTGTGAAACCACACTGCTGCTGTGTGATAGCAGTCCGTGGCTGCTGACGTAGGCTAATGCCACGTCCTGTGGCAACTCTACAGCTTACAACTGGTCTCTCGGGTTCATAATGGAAATAATAAATTTAATTGAATGCATGTATCGTACTGTATTTAATATGATTAACAATAGTGTGTTCAAACGAAATATTTAATTAGATCGAGTTTTTCCCCATTTTCCATATCAACATGTTCAGACCAGTTGTAAGCCGGTCTGAACACTGCTGCTACTGCTACTGCTACTGCTGCAGTGTAGTTTCACAGGAGCAGTTGACTGCTTAAACTAAACTTTACACAAAACTTTGACTCTTAAAACCCACATGTGACAACACAGAACCATCAACATCTCGCCTCAAATTGCATTAAAAGTGACATTTGTGTCTTACTTCGTTTGTATTTTAACTTTTAAAGCAATTCACGGTCCGCCATCTTGGTTTGCTTCGGCTGCCGTGAGACGCTCATGCGCAGGTTTGCATTACATCATTAACAGCTGAGCGGCACAACTCGACAGAACACCGGCAACAACACAGAGACACATTCGGGTGGGGCTGACGATATTTACCAAATTAATCACATATTTTTCAAATGTCTCTTGAATTCATTATTTGAATAGTCTTATCATCATGGAAAGTGGATAGGCTTGGACTGGGACCTGACCTTGCGTCATCTGCAGTAGTTTGTTAAATGTTTTGTCAGATTCACATGATGGAAACTATAACAGTCTGCTTTTTCATGAAGATTGCCAAATTGATAGTGCAATAAAAATGATGATAGTGCTTTCTTGATAGATGACATGAAAGATACATGTACATGTTAATTCATTATCGCAAAAAAAACCACAAAATCAAATTTCTTGGAAATGCAGGTATACTTTATAATACACTAGTCCTCTCAGACATTATAGGTCACTTTGGAAAAGTTCACTCAAGGATTTTCTGTCCCGTAACTGTTCATTTCCTCAATCTCACACTCAATCAGGCTCCAAATCTCATTAAACATACATACAGTATACTCCTTGTTTTCAGAGAGCCCGAGCCGCACTAAAACAGCCAGATCTGATTCACAACTCTGGTATTTGAACTGCGAATACCGAGGAATCTGGACGCTCAGACTGGCTGCACGTCTTCTGACAAACTAGAAGACAAAAGCTCCCACTCTTTCGCAAAAAGCCAGACTTCCAGAGCGTTCACGTGAAAAGACACAATATTTTTTGTCACTGGGAAATGGGTTTATGAGATCATGTTGGTATGTGCCTGTGCTACTTCCCGCATGTGCAAGAGTCAGATTCAAGACAGATGTTGAGGATTCTTCATGTCAATTCAAATGAGGAAATGCATTGTGGGTTTGTCTGATAATACATTTCAACTGTAGAGTGGGATAGGCGTTAGCATTGTCAGAGATTTTAATGGGGATAGATGAAAGCTATGTTTGCCTAAACCTGATGATTGCTTACTGTGAAGTCTGAATGGGTTTGATTGTCAATTGTTAAAATATTGTTCCCTTTAAATCCATCCACGCTAATATCAGTAACAAACATGTAGCTTCAACCCTTCTCTACTCTACTAGGCTCTACTCTACCCAATTGTTGGGGGTAGAGAAGAGCCCTTTTGAAACAGAGATACTGCCCACACACAAGTTTTGGTAAGAGAAATTAAATTTCTTTGCAAGCAGTGGTTATAAAGAACATATTTTGGGAGACAAAATCTAAAAAATATACAGTTTTACATTCTAAACTAAGTAGATACTCTTATTTGTCCTTTAGATTAGTCAAAATAATCCAGAATATGTTTTCTGTGAGGGTTAATTGGCTTCCTATATCGACATAAACAACAAAAATCATTGCTGCTGCTTTCAATGGTATTCAGGGATTGGCGTGACTTTCACCTGTAGAAGTAACTACGTTTTCATTCATGCTGTAGGGGTGAGGAATCTAAAATCCACTCACAAGTCAAAATTAACAACCATTCTGTATATCCAGTAACTGATAGAAGTCTGCGTTGGTTATTTTCATCCAATGGTTGTACAGATTGAACAAAGTTATCATAATCCCCACTAATCCACAGTAATCAAAGATGCAAGTAGAGGCCGGTGCGCTCTGTGAAAGGTCTGCCATGTTCGTCTCTTCTAATCTCCTTGTTCATGCGTTCCATATTGAGCTGTTTTAGGGCGGCTCGTGACACCAGCTGTAACCGCAGACACACTTCTCTCACGCGTTTTATTTCTATTTCCACTTGACTTTTCATGTTTGTGTCCTTAATCAGAGACCTAACAAGAGATCTCACAGCGTCCCTGTAATCTGTGCGTGTTCATTTGCTCTCAGCCTCACATTAAACCTCTGATCCGATGTCTCAAAAGGAAAAGCAGTAAAGAAAGGTCTTATCTGTAATCGAGTTCAAATCACAGCCTCCAGAGACAGCAGTGTGACAGATCCAGCAACAGATATCAATTAGTAGAAAACACATCTCCTCTTGCAAAAAGAAAGATATTCTACGGTTTTAAAGGAGACATATAATGAGAATGGACTTTTTGTGCTTTTACCATGTTGCAACATTGTCCACTCATCCAAAATAAACCCGGAGATGTTTTTTGATCCATCTACGCTAGGTGTTGGTATCTTTCAGAGCCAGAAAACTACAATATGTAGTGTATTTTATTTAACTTATTTTTGTATAAAGCTAAATCACAACCGCAGTATTCTTAGAAAAATTTGTCAGTCCACCAACAGCAGATCAGAGAATCAAACAGTTTGAACACATGAAATGCAATGATAAAAAATCACAAACAAAATTAACAATAAAGTCTTATAATTCTTTTGAATGACAATGTTGCTATTATTAAATCTTGACAAACAGACAGCGCCTGATACAGTCTGTTGACGTGGGCACAGCTTTTTGAGAAAAATAAGTCTTCTTTGTGCAGATGTTTTATTGAATTGTTGGGATTTTCACCCGACAGCCCACTCCTCCTGCCAATGCCAGATAATCTTTTTAATGGGTTTGCCATTTAGACATGCTTATTTGTAGATACTGTAGACTTTAAATATGAGATAGATTGTATTGCCAACAGCAACATAAGTGGTGGAAGACTAGACTTGAGAAGCTACACAAAAGCCAAATGAGGGGCCTGGTCTGTGGGGGAAGAGAACATGCCCAGAAATATCTCTGAAATGACTGAGAGATCAAGGCCTCAAATATTACTCTTGTTGCTTCATATGCAAAGCGGATGATACAGTGTGATCGAAAACGTACACATCATGAGGGACTTACGGGGGACTATTTTACATGTTTTTAGTGTTAGGGAAACTGGAGCACCAGGAGGACACTGACGCAGGCATGAGGAGAACATGCAAACTCCACACAAAACCTGTACAACACAATTTTCTGAAAAAAAACTGAAAAGGGGCCACCTACAGTTTATCTAAATGTATCTGTGATCATTTGTTTTTGTTTCACAGACGTAAATGAATGTGAAATCGGCGCCCATAACTGCGACAGACACGCCACCTGCACCAACACGGCCGGCAGCTTCAAGTGCCAATGTGCCCCGGGATGGGTCGGAGACGGACTCAAGTGCTCAGGTAAAAACACACATAAACTCCAACTTAAACAAAGTGCTCTGATCCGTAAGGGAAATGACTTGTTCACGGTGGCTTCAGTGTTTTATGTGCCTCCTCCGGCTGGATCTTTCACTCAGCCTCAGGGATTTCATCTCTCACCAGCTCTGAAGTTAACTTTATTATTATGTCTTTGGCCATAAATCAAGGAATAATCCCAGTGACCATACAGAACTACCTTTTCACTATAGTAATCCATGAAACTGGCAATACGTACAATTGTCATTTTTACACAGAAACCAGAATACAAACAATTCATTTCATTTGTGTACAGCCCTAAATCACAACAGCACTCGTCTCAGAGTATTTTACTAATTTGTCGATTCCTCAACAACAGATAAGAAATGAGACGGTTGAAACGCAGGAAATACAATAATAAGAAACATATAGGAGCCATTGGTCCATAGGGAGCGAGATGACCACTGCTTATAAATGTCCATACATGTCCCGGATCATGACTGCCCTTAGACCCTTCTGCGAGAAAAAAAAACAAAAACAAAATCTTAATTGCTGTTGTACAAGCTACACATATAGAAAACAACAAAAATGCAAATTGAAGACACAGAAGTGAATAGAGCCACATTCTATCTCATTGTGCTATTCTAATCATATACAGTATTCTAATATTGCTGGCATCTTTCTGTGTCCCTCCCAAATGAGCACACCCCCCCCCACTTTGAGAAGCGTTGTTTCAGTATTGTGATGTGTTGAATCAAGTTCTGTGATTTCTTTAAATTATAAACCTTGAAGGTCACAAACTATGTGTACTAGATTCAAACATTCATAATATAACCTTTACCTGCAACTAGGAAGAGGAACTTGTAAAGTAGTAGTCGAAAACCTTCTTTTTGACTTAATTTTGACTTTTTTTTATCACCATGACATCAAAAATATAATATCACAGGAGAAAAAGTTCAAGAAAGATGAGTGCTTCAGTGTTTCAATTTTTGCCAGGTGCTCATCAGGGTCAGCAGTGAAAAAACACAGGTAACATTAGAGAAAGTAAGAAATCTCTTGACAGTAAATAAAAATCCTTTAATGAGCAGGGACCTCAGTTTCCACTTTGGACTTTCTTCTGGGCATTTCAAACAAAAACACTTTTAGCACAAAATTAGTCATGAAATATATATATTATTTTCCTCAGATTTGGACGAGTGCTCGAACGGGACCCACATGTGCAACAACAACGCAGACTGCATCAACACCATGGGCTCGTACCGCTGCGCCTGCAAAGAGGGATTCTCCGGGGACGGCTTCTACTGCTCAGGTCTGAAATCACACGCTTCAGTTCAGGAGCTCAACCTTAAATCCATCTTTTTCACTGTATGCATATTTTGTTTTGAGCAGACAGCGACGAGTGCGCGGAGAACGGAAACTTGTGTGAAAACGGTCACTGTCTGAACATGGCGGGAGGGTTCCGGTGCGAGTGCGACATGGGCTTTATCCCCACAGAGGACGGCAAAGCTTGTGAAGGTGAGGCTTCCCAAACGACAAGAGGTTTTTAAACGTTTGTGTTTTATTAGCCTTTGGGCAAGTCTTATTTGTATAGCACATTTCATACACAGGGCAACTCAAAGTGCTGAACAAAATAAGACAGCAACAATCAAACCAGGCATCCAAAATCCAAAAATAATCACAGTACATCAGAAGATACAATCCTTTAGTGTTATTCGCAGCAAAACTTTTTTTTGGCTTCTCTATCCAACTATGGGACTGACTTACTGTGGATTAGCGCAGTTACATAACCTCATTTGCTCTCAGTGTTGTGTCTGTCTCAAGATTTCTGGCCTAAACTTCATTTTCTAAAACACCTCTGCAGCGTGTTGCCAGATTTCCACTGTTATCCCTTAATCCTCAAATTTGACTGCTTTTCCCCTGGTCCCGCCGCCTCCGTCCAAGCCTGTACCTGTCACCCACAAAATACACGATTTTCTCTTTTTCAGATATTGATGAATGTACATTCGCTGACATCTGTGTGAACGGACGCTGCAGGAACATCCCAGGACTGTTCAGATGTGAATGTAACCTCGGGTACGAGCTGGACCGAAGCGGAGGCAACTGCACAGGTAGAACAAGCAACATCGTGCAAAGAGAGTGCACTTAATCCCAGGTGACTCAGAGTTCACTTGAGTTGGACCAGGTCTGGTTCCAAAAGCTTGTGGAGATCCAATTAAATTAAGAGCAGGAATTAATTAATAAAAAGAGAGCGGGATGACCACTGTCTATAAATGTTTATAAAGGTCCATAACTGTCCTTAAACGTCCTGGTCTCATGACTGTCCTTTGTCCTTCCTACATCAGCAAAGAACAAAGTGGCTTCATTTGCAGCTTGACTGACCATCTGTGTTTTTTGACTTAAGGTTATATTTCTAAGTCTTACCTGAGTCTTACCTACCTAGCAAATTAACATAAGCTGAAGTAAAGAGAAATGTTTTAAGCCTAGCCTTGAACATAGAGACTTTGTCTGCTTTCTTGACATGTGTTTGACACTCAGTGCTCAGTTTGGTTGATAGGACACTAATGTGTCATGGCCTTGTATGTAAAAAACAGAATCTCATACATGTATGTGATTCTATACTCCATGGGAAGCCAGTGATTTTAACACTGGAGTTATGTGTTCCCTCCTTTTAGTGCATGTTAAGATTGTTGTAGCTGTATGAATTAGGATATTATGAACTTCAAATTGAATATCCAGCAGGCACATTCAATCAGATTTACTTGATATAGGGGCTTTGTATCAGTACTAGCAGTAGTTCTGGAATATAAGATAAAATGCAATCTCCTTATGTTCAGGATATTGGTATGTATTAGTTTTTTTAGCATTTTGCATTGTTAATGTAAGATACACCCATCAATAACTCGGGCTAAGTTCTGTCACTATAAACAAATCTGTTATTAATGACACATTGTGCAGTACATTTTCTGACCTATCCAACTCCATGGCTCTAAAAATGAGTTGTTTATATCTTCATTGTATTCCCACAGATATAAATGAGTGCGCTGACCCGACCATCTGTATAAACGGAGTGTGCGAGAACATCCCAGGGAGCTACCATTGCAACTGCCCCGACGACTTCGAGCTTAACCCCACCCGGGTCGGCTGTGTGGGTGAGTAGTTTGCGTTCAGAACACGGATGTTTCATAGATACCATTTTACATAAACACAAACACACTCACTGATATTGTCGCTCACTCTCATTCTGAACAAAGCTGATGTGAACCACAGGGTTAAGGGTTCATGGGGTTCATGCTGAAGAGATACAAGATAAGCCATGATTATAAAAAAGCATACACACTTTGTTAATTATTCTTAATCACAAGTGACGTTTTGGGTAGCTCTGGTGGATATTCCCACTTGTATATAAGCTGCATCAAAATTAGAATAATTTACGTCAAAGAAGTAAGAGCAGTAGTAGAAGTGGCAGTAGTAGTAGAAGTAATATTGATAGTCATGTGACCTCAGCAAATATGTAACACAAAAATTCTTCATCTGAATTTGTGTCTTGACAAAACATCTGAAACATGACTCAATGTATTGTCATAATCCAGCAGCACTGTGACAATTCCTTAAAACTTTGTTAAAAACTAAAAGCCACTTCTCCGTATTCCTCTCACAGATACCCGGTCAGGCAGCTGTTTCCTGGACATCCGTTCCCGCGGCGATGGCTCTGATAACTTTGCTTGCACCAATGAGATCGGAGTGGGCGTGGCCAAGGCGTCCTGCTGCTGCTCCCAGGGCCGAGGCTGGGGAAACCCCTGTGAATCCTGCCCCTCGGTCAACTCCAGTAAGAATCACCTATTTCCCCCATTCATTGCGAACATTTATCATTAAGTGCCAAAACAAGATAATTGTAAATAGACAGCAGACACAAAAACAGTGAAAACACAATCCTTCAGTTTAATGCCCAGCTAAACAGAACTGTTTTTAACCTGGATTTCAGCTTTGTCAGAGTAGAAGCCTGTCTAAAGGTGACACATCTGCTTCTTGTGTTGAACCACTTAGCACTGAGCATAGACTGTAAACCTGCCCGGGGAAAAAAAACGTATCTGAAAAATATAGAATATGACAGAAGCGCAGTTGGTGTAGCGTCAGCGTCCGTGGTATTTAATACAGCGGTGGTCCGAGTTGAGTTGAGTTGTTTTATTTTTGAATGAAGAGAAGGCAGTATGTATAATGTCTTCATTTAGTTCAGTTATATTATCATTTTCTAGATATAGATTATTGAGATTTTTGTTTTTCTCCACTTTGCCCAGCCCTACTGTCAATACATACAGTACATAAAGTTGGTTTTGTTCAACACTGACTGTGGCTCCTCTGTTGGTTAAAACAAGAATGTTTCGGTCAATTGTTGAATAATTGTTCCCAGACGTAGCAGGACAGTGCAGGACTGACTCATCCTATTCTGATCAGGATGTGACATTAACTTTTTCTGTGGAGTTCTGTGAAACTGCAGTAACGTCCAGGTCACATCTGGCTCACAGCTGCCCAGAAACATAAGTCATACAATAATGACATCAAGAGATTTTCAGCATCTTTGTAAAAAATATTCAAAGGTTATAAACACTACTAATCTTCATAGAGAACAATTATATAACCGATACAGCCATCATGTATTTTAGCTGCATAAATCTGAAATACTGTTTAGTCCTGACTCTGGACACGAGCAGGAGGCTAGTCCATGTGCTCCTCAGAGTCCAAGCAGGAGGCTAGTCCCTGTGCTCCCCAAAGCTCCTCAGAGCACTAACCTTCAAACTTACACAGAGCACAGCAATAATTGTTCTTCATAGCGTTTTAGGCTCAGATATAATGGTGAAATGTGTTTTTCAGCTGAGTACAAGACCCTGTGTCCGGGAGGCGAGGGCTTCCGGCCAAACCCCATCACCGTGATCCTGGAGGACATCAACGAGTGCCAAGAGTTGCCCGGGCTGTGCCAGGGCGGCTCCTGCATCAACACCTTTGGAAGCTTCCAGTGCGAGTGCCCACGAGGCTACGCGCTCAACCCAGACTCCAGGGTCTGTGAAGGTACGGACAGAACCTCCACATGAACCTCCACATGAGAGAGGAGTCTGAGACATAAAACAAATCTATGCCATCCATCCATCCATTTTCTTCCCCTTAATCCATTTCTGGGTCAGGGGGGTGGCAGTCAGAGCTGCACCCAGTCACAGAGCACCAGCCCCTCACTGATCCTCCTGCAGGTGGTGAGTCCACAGGAGCTGAGAACTTTCAGTGGGGGCTTCAGGCAAAGTAGGGTTAAGTGTCTTGCCCAAGGACACAACGACAGCAGTCATCAGTGGGATGCCAAACTTGGCATCAAATCTATGCCAAGTTTGGGAAATTACAACAATAACAAAACTGAAGATATTTAGTCCCATTAAAATATATACTATACTCCCAAACTCGTGTTCAGGAAGTAAACAAGCATAAAGACAATTCAGATGTTATAGTTCTGAACCATGCACTATTTTAATGACTAAATTGAAGTTGAGGTTTACAAAAAGATCCAATGTATTTGTACATAAACTACAATAGAAAATATAGATATACGTGTTGTTTTAACTGCAGATACATGATTTGATATGGTCACCTATGACGCTTTTCCTTCTGTCGCCTTGGAGCTTTCAACGTGAGAGGAAATTGAATCCAGCCGTAGAGGAAGTCCAGCGAAAACAATGCAACAAAATTTCACACTGCACCCATTTAACGCAACTTTATAACTTTGTATTGATTTTATCTTTGTGACTTAGACATGAATATTTCCGATTGTATATTAAGAGATTTATACCACAGTGTTTTTGTTCTTTCTTTATTTTGTTAGTTATGGCTTTATACCATGCCATACATTACTATACCACACCATATCATACTGTACCATACCCTACCCTACCATTCTATACCCTACCATACAACACCTACACAGAAGAATGCATTTACTCCATTCTGACCAGTGCAATCCAAATGCTTACAGAATCATCTCTAACACTAAAATGATATCATATTTGAATACGTATCTTCCCTAAATGACAAAATCAATCCATAAGTGGCTTTAAATGATTCCTTCTCCTTTCGACATTCCAGGACAGTTTGACACAGATATTTATAAACGAGCGACTCCTCGAAACTAAAAAATGGGAAGACATGTACACACGTGAATCAAAAACATGTGCAGCTTACATTAGAATAGTTTACGACTGCAATGTAGCAATTTCAAATCTCCCTTTGACCTGAAAAAAGTCTCCTTTGAACTTGGGCTGATGCAGACGTAAATCCTACCTTTGTTCTTTGTAGAATCTGGTCAATTTATTGTGCTTTTTTATCATGAAAGTCCTCCCTGATTTTCAGATGTGGATGAGTGTGAGAACCCGGGCATCTGTGGTCCAGGACAGTGCTACAACACCATCGGGAACTACACCTGTATTTGCCCCGTGGACTACATGCAAGTCAACGGAGGGAACAACTGCATGGGTAAGTGGAGATACAAGTTCAAACAGCTATAAATGTGTTGGAAAAAAGTACATTTACTAAGATAAAAAGTGGTGAAACTGGGGGCTTGGCTTGTTGAACAGGATGTAGGTGCACAGTCAATAACAAACAATAATATTTAGCTTCATAAAGGAACATTAAGTGGAGTCCAAACAAACAGGTAGTACAGTATATTATAGTGCATGTAATCAAGGGCCTGCACTAGCATACCAGCTGTTTATGTTTATCTTAACCAAATAGACTTTCTATTAAAATGTATTTGCTAATAGCCCTAAGTCACAACAGCAGTCATCTCAGAGGGCTCTACAAAGTTGTCAATTAATCGACAACAGACCAGAGAATCAAACAGTTCAAAAAGTTTGGAAATGCAGTAATAACAGACATATAGGAACCATTGGTCCATAGGGAGCGGGATGACAAATGTTCATAAATGTTCATAAATGTCCTTGAATGTCCTAGATCCTCACTGTCCATAGACTGTGATAGATTAAAACTAGTTCAGTTTTGCCCTTAAATCGTACTGTATGTCTGTACAAAAGACATAAAAAAAAACAAATACAGGATTGAAACAATACAATTACTGCAGACCTCACAAAATATATTTTGCGTAATTATGATATAGTAAGTTATTGTCAAAGTTATTTTGAGTTTTACAAAGCCTAAAGGAGTAAGCACAACACAACACACTACTTATACTCCTGTTGTCTTGGTGTAATGAGTTATTTTTTTATCTTGAAAACCCGCAGATATGAGGAAGAGCTACTGCTACAGAAACTTTTACTCCGACAACCGCACGTGTGACGGAGAGCTCACCTTCAACATGACCAAGAAGATGTGCTGCTGCTCCTACAACATCGGACGCGCCTGGAACAAGCCGTGCGAGCAGTGCCCGGTCCCCAGCACCAGTGAGGACCAAGCACTTTAACGTTAATATATATATAATATCTTCTGAATAAAGCCACATTTGTCCTTTTCAGATGAGTTTGCAATCCTGTGCGGCAGTGAAAGACCCGGGTTTTATATTGACATCACAACAGGACGTGTCATTGGTAAGAGATCAGTTTAAAAAAAAATCATGCTTTAGCAGTCCTGGAGAGCTAAAAACCAAGCTGTTTTGTGTTTTATTTTGTTTTAAGAAAGGGTGCGGTAATACATGTTTTTACCCCAAGGCAAGTTTATTTGTATAGCACAGTTCATACACGAGGCAAAATAAGAAATGAGAACAAGGCATTCAAATCATAAATGATCACATTGCATTAAGTAGTGTAAATATACTGTACAATCCTACAGTTGTATGCACAGCTAAATAGAACTGTTTTTAATCTGGATTTGAATATTGTGAGAGAAGAAGTGATTTTTAGACATGTACTTGTTTATCATTTGGCATAATGGCTATATGTTTTTTTTACATTCATTCTTTCATTAAAAACTATGCGGCTAATGCTCTGGATGCTCTCGTGCTCAGACATTGACGAGTGCAGAGAGATCCCTGGGGTGTGTGAGAACGGAGTGTGCATCAACATGATCGGCAGCTTCCGGTGCGAGTGTCCGCTGGGCTTCATCTACAACGACAAACTGCTCATCTGTGAAGGTAACCTAAGCAACAACAGATTTTGGACCCACATCTTTGAGTTGCAACACTGGAATTTCCCCTTTGTGGAACCAGTGAAGTTCTGTGCTCTTGGGGTTTTCAGATGTTTTTTTTTATTATTGCATTGCTAACTTTTTTGCTCTTATATTCACTTACAGTACATTTTGCGTTACTTTTGCAAGTACAGACCACCACCTGAAACTTTACTATCGTTGTCTGTAAATAAAATACACTTGGGAGCAACATAGCTCTGCATATATATATATATATTTTTTCATATCTTGAACCTTTTTTGAATCTAGCACACTAGTTCAGGCTACTGGAATGTGCGGCCCTTATTAGAAACTAAATAAAAATTAGAAGATTAAAATGCAACGATTAAAACTGCAACTCTCAAAAAAAACATGCAATAGATCTAAAAGCATAAGAAAATTCCGTTGTCTTCTGTTTTTCACCTTCTCCATTCTCTGCTCTCAGACATTGACGAGTGCCAGAACGGCCCAGTGTGTCAGCAGAACGCAGCGTGTCTCAACATGCCGGGCAGCTACAGGTGCGAGTGCAAAGCCGGGTATCGCTTCACCTCCACGGGACAGTGTCTGGGTGAGTGCACACTGTCCTCCGCTCTTTAGCCTTTCCACTGTCATTGAACATCATTGAATTTACTGTGACATTCTATTATGTTTGATTCTATTGTACTTAAAACAGGCCTTATAAAACCACTGCATTAACTCATTGACTGCCATTTGCGCATTTGCCTGAGACTGGTGATTTCTATCAAACTTCCCTCTTTTCCACTCGGGATTACAGGACAACCAAAATAGCCAGAAACCAACTTATTTTTGCTGATCCAGACAATCCAGTTTTTCAGAATCTGGTTTCATTATTCACATAGTCATAGCCCATCATATTCTGTGGGTCTTGAAAATCAGTGAAATCATCAAAAACGACTGGCAGTGAATGAGTTAATAAGCTTGAATGAAATCTTCTATTCTCTTCACTTTTCTCAGACCGTAACGAATGCAACGAGAACCCGGGAGTGTGTAACCCCGGCCAGTGCATAGACACTCTGGGAAGTTACCGCTGCGTCTGCCCCAACGGCTTCAAGACCACCAGGGACCAGTCCATGTGTGTGGGTGAGTCCGACGGATATTAAGTCCTGCCGTGTTTATCCTGGACATTTTAGATTTATGTGAAATAATATTAAGAAGCAAATGTGTTCCCTCAGACATGGACGAGTGCGAGAGACAGCCGTGCGGGAATGGCACCTGTAAAAACACAGTGGGATCGTACAACTGTCTGTGTTACCCCGGCTTCGTCAACTCACACAACAGCGAGTGTGTTGGTATGTGCGTTTTTTATTAGGAGGAACAGAAGACTGCTTTTTAATGCTGCGTCAATGGGAAACTGCGATTGTACTAGGGGATAGGCAAAGAAAAAGTAGTCATTTGACATCTAAACTATTGTTGAGGGTTCTGTAATGGATCTTTCTTGGACAAATACGTTTAGTGGCTTTCAAAAATAATAGTATTACCTCATTTCAACGTGTTTTTGTATCACCCTAAACAACAGCAGTCGTCTGAGGACTATACAAAGCTGTTGATTCTCCAAAAACAGATCAGTGAATCAAAACAGAAAGGCAAAAATAACAAACACAGGAGTCATTTTCACCAAGGTCCACATTTGGGTCGTGGTTGTCAAAGGGCTGCTTGTAAAAAGAACTCTTATAATTCCCTAGTTTATGTATCAGAAGGTTACAGGTGAGTTCTGAATATTATAGTATATCGAATTGATTTGTATTGATTGAAGATTGTTACATTACTCCTTCAGTAAAAGAGTAAACCCTAAGTATTCAAACTTAACTCAAATGTATTTATCTGACTTATCTCAGAACCTTTCTCATTCAAGGTGATCTGCTGAGGAAAACAGATCCAGCAAATATATATGTATAGCACATAATTTGCTTCATGTTTTGTTTTTGAGCTTGAGTGTTGGAGGATTGGAGTTAAACATGTTTTTCACGGAGCGTTAACCACGTGTTCTCTATCTCAGACGTGGACGAGTGCTCGACTCAGAGAGGCCTGTGTCGAAACGGTCAGTGCACGAACACAGTGGGAGGATACTTCTGCCTCTGCAACGATGGATACGACCTCAGTCCGGACAGCCGGGCGTGCTCCGGTACGAGAACTACACACAAGACTCACTGCTGTGCTTTCTGAGACATGTTTATGCATTTAACACTAGAACTCCTAGAGCCTGTCAATGTGACGGCTTTTAGTTTTAGGTGCAGGTTCTGGTCCTGAGTCAGCTTGGTTTTCCACCAGAGAAAAGCAAGTGGTAGTTACCATAGAAACACACTGTTAGCATTTAGCTTTTCTACAAACTGTAGACGGTGTATTTATATTTATCAGTTTTAGCATTTTTAAAGTTATATATAAAAAGTGATTTATTAATTTTTTAAATTAGAGACGTCAAAGTTACTTCTTTGGGAGTTCTCGTAGTTTCTGAATTCTGGGGGTCCGAGTGTTTTGGGATGATATATATTCAACTATTGCTTGTAACAACACACCATCAGTCCTAGTAAGAGCCATTCAACTAGTTTTTCAGGAGTGAGAGTCAGCAGTTTGTACACACAGGGAAAAGTGAAGAAAGCAGAGTCTTCAGATTCAACTTTATTCATCCCATTTTGGACAATTCAAATGAGCAGCATTTGTGTATAAACAATATCGTTGAATTGCCTTTAAGTGATGGGTAATGGAGCTTGTTCCCTGTGTCAGATATCAATGAGTGTCTGGTGAACCCTGGGACCTGCGGTGCTGGGACCTGCTTGAACCTGGACGGCTCGTACAGGTGCATCTGTCCCCCGGGATACTACCTCCACGAGGAAACCTGCGAAGGTACCAACAAGACATGTTCTCCATCCAGACTCAGAATGTAGGCAACCACAGACCTCCACGCTCTGTTCAAGACATGGATCGGCTGACAAATAAGTCATTTCATTAATATTTTGTGAAATAAAATAATTAATACATACAAAACATCAGACAGGACCTAGTGATACAGCAATCACCGGGTGTTGAAAAAAGCCCGACCTATACGTTAATTGGAAATGTCGCCTCTGGTATGAAACCAACTTGGTCTAGGTTCACAAAAGGTTATTTTCTCCAAATGGTTTGCTAAAATCTTGGCAAACAGTTTGTAGTCACTGTTGAGCAAATGTATAAGCCTGTAATTATTTACCTGCAACTGGTCTTTGCCGGGTTTAGGAATGAATGTTATATTGGCAGTTCTCATTGTTGGTGGCATACATTGTTTTTTGTATTTTATGGTTGTATAAAACGGTTAGAAAGGGAGCCAATTCCTTGTATCCAACCAAAACTGAGACCAGAGTATAACATGTGTCTGAATTGGCCAGTATCAGAAAGGAGAAAGATCTTCACTGTTCTGTATTCACTTTTATTCCCTTTTCTAAGACATTTCTGGGTCAGAGGGTGGCAATCAGAGCTGCCACCCCAATGACACTGTTCCTCCTGCAGGTGGTTGGTCTGTCAGCAACAAGACGGCCTTGGTCCTACAGCAGCAGCAGATGTCGGTGGTAGTAGAGTTGGGCGACTGGCTGCTCTACCAACTGAGACACTGTGGCCACTTGTTTCAATGTCATTCCAAAAAATATGTCCACCCCTTAGATAATTTACATGTATATTTTATTACACCGAGGTGATGGTTGCTGCTTAACTACTAAATCTAGGTGTGTTGTCAGTACAAAAAAGTACAAAAAATATCAGATAAATCCTACTCTTTGGAATAATGTACTGGGTCTGTTGCTTGGTCCTAATGGAAATTCACAGCCCAGATGCAAAAACTTAACTTTGGACATCTTTGTCGAATATCGAGAGCCAGGCAGATTTTGAAATAGCAGAGCACATTTGGCCTTGTGATTTATTTTCAGTTTTTCAAATGTCTTTTAAAAAGTCATTTTTACTGTATATGTGTAGATGTTCAGACATGGCTACATCCTTCACCAACGGAAGAAAATGACGAAAGATGCAGGACTGAGATTGAAGACATGTTTAGTCGTTGGTTCACAGCATTCACATTGTTTGTTGTACCAAGACAAAATTATGGCTCCCTTCAGCATCTGTCACGGGACCAAAAGATCAGTTTGGAAAAGTGCTGACTTATTCTGTTGCAATGACCAGCTCAGTTTTAACATACAGTAATTAAAAACCCATACCCTGCTGTATGCTACATTTATTCCACTTTCTCATACAGTCCACATTAATATAAAATCACACATGCGTTCATTTCTCCTGCTATTGTCTCCGCCTTGAATTCTCATCTTGGGTTTCTCCTGTGGGTTCTGGGTAGCGCCCCTCTCTCTCACGTGGGGCCGGCCCGGAGCTCTTAGGTTGTTTATTCACTGATGAAGAGATTTTCACATTCCAGTCTGAAACCGGGAGGAGCCGCATGGACCACTTTTTAGGACAATGTTACAAGAGGGGCCACTAACATCCACCTCAGGCTGCTTCGTAGATCATCGAGAAAGCAGCTCACCTAATAACATTGAATAGTCGATCATTTAAAACACTCAGAAATAACAGAATCTCTCACATTTTGTTGTTGAATTCATGGGAAATCTTGATTATTGTATTGGTCTAATTCCATCTTACTTTATTTATTAGTGGATGAAGACTAGGAATTTGTGTATAGCTCGAAATTTGAACAACAGTCGTCTTCTCAATTCACCAATCACAAAACATTGGGAGCGGAATGACCACTATCCACAAATGTCCATTAATGTTCCGAATCATCCCTGTCCTTAGACCCTCCTGCATCGAAGAGGGTCCGTGTATTTTTCGTTCAATAGTTTTTTCAAATTAAAATTGATCAAAAAGTGGACCAAAGAGGAACAAACAAAAATGTCCATGCTTCCACTGACGAACAGGCCACATAAATAGTATTTTATCTGTCTTTGAAAAACACCAGAAGTTGTGTTCCTTCTAAAACCCTCTTCTTTCCTCGTGTCTCAGATATCGATGAGTGCTCCCAGTCTCCAGAGATGTGTCTGTTCGGGACCTGCTCCAACACAGAAGGGAGCTTCACCTGCATCTGCCCCGAAGGCTTCAAGCTGTCCTCCTCCGGCCGCAGATGTCTTGGTAAGAAACACATTTGAATAGAATCATTGAGACATATAATCATTTGTTACTAATTTGTATATTCTGGTGTACTTTAAAACCCCAAAGTAGTAAAACTATACATACAATACAATATTTCAGTTTTCAGATGCAAAAGTTAAAAAGAGAGGACCACCCTCACTCAGCCAATCAGCTCTCAGCTCAAAGTGTTAAATAGTGACTCACAGGGACCCATTTTGCCTGCTGTGAGTCAAGCCCTAATAACAGACTTTACTTTAATGAGGCTCTTTCTATTGTTTATATTTTCACATTTTCAGGAAGTCTGTAACACATTTTAGCTGTAGGCCAGTCCCTGTGCTCCTCTGTGTCCAAGCAAGAAGCCAGTCCCTGTGCTTCTCTGTGTCCAAGCATTAGGCCAGTCCCTGTGCTCCTCAGAGTCCGAGTTGGTTCATATGGCACTAACATGTCACTAATATACTTTGGTGCGAGGCCATGGAGAGACTTGTAACAAACAGATCTGCTTCAAAGTCTATCTCTGAGCCACAGGAGCCCTTACAGAGACCTAAGAACTGGACAAAAACAGCCCAGCATTGACCCTAACTCAACATTGCGTCCTATTTTTGAAGAGCTGCTGTAAATATGCGTTTATTCGAAGTGTGAGTGTGAGGGAGACAGAGCAGCAGTGCGCACTTCCAGCTGGACAGACCCAGAGGAGATGGATGTTCAGTTGCCTTGTCCTTGTGTTGTGTTGGTATGGGCCTTTGCAAACGCTGGTGTCCGTGTTTGCAGTTGTTAAAGGGAGTTTCCCGGATAACCTCTTCAGAAATGCCATGACATCATTGACTTTACGGCTTTCTCTCGTGAGCTCAGGGTCAGTGAGTGGAGTGGGTTTGGGTGGAGACTGGACAACATGTGTTTAAGTGGGACAATGCAAAACTAAGTGTTAGTGATGGAGTGCGGGATACTGTATGTCACAAGAATGTAAGATATTTATATTTTCCATGATTAATATTCAATAGTAGTGACTTACTGGTTTGACATCACAGTATTTAATTACCACTATCACAATGCAACATGACAGAAATGATTGGCTTTATATATAAAATGTTCATGCAATTGATAGTGTTAATTATTCAATGTATTTGGGAAAATAAAACCAATTGGCTCAATGCGGATGAAAACTTTTATGACATAATATCCATAGCAAGCAGCAAGAACTCTTACAGTATAAAAAAGAATAACATGAAAACTACATATAGAATGAATCAATGTGTCAATTGCATCGTAAAATAAAAAAATATGATTTCAAAATTAATGTCATCCCAACATTTAACATTTAAACTCAACAAAAGGTTGATCTAAAGTTGTGACCAAATCCAAAACTACATGCACATGAAAACTAGGGATAGAATCAAACTATTGGAACCTGTTTAGATCAAGGAAATAATTACATGGATTTTATTAGTTATTACATACTAGTTCAAGGGTTTCTGCTTGGAAAGTTACGCACCTCAGCTTTTAGTATCAATATTTCTTCCAAGCTGTAGGTTGGACCATACTAACTCCAGAGAAGCTATTCCTTAAGATAATATCATGTTTCGATTCCAGTTTAAACTTTTTGCCGATGAGAAGTATTTTAGCTTTTTGATCCCGTCATTGTACATACATACATCCACACTTTGCCAAACTCCAAACACGTGTAAGCTAACCTCTCTAAACACCTTCCCGAGTCGCTCTGAAGTCCACACAGTTCAATGAGACTTGTTCCAGATGCTTTGAGCTAATTTTTGTGTGACAGAAAGTCAAACACACTGAGCATGTGGTGGAGTGAGCATGTACCTTCACCAGACCACCGCCGACCAGCTGAGCACAGGGGCCCATAAATCTACTCCTAAAAACTCCTGACAAATCAACTTTTTATGGAGCTCTGAAATGCGAGACCGGCTGGTTTTCCCTGCGCAGGCCCAGGTGCTATCGCTAAAGCCAGGTGCAGAGAGCTACAGTAAGAAGTATGCTTATTTGTACAGTGTTTAGTGAAGGCTATTCTCCACATGTGGCACTCATTATTGCACCGAAAAGACTCTTAGCAGCAAAAAAAAGCCTGTCGAATAGCGAGCAGAAATAATTACATTGACCACTTTGTCTCTGAACTGCAAAATACTTAATAATTATTTACTTAGAAAATGTTGGAAAGTGACTGTGATTCATTTGGGGTGAGAGCAATTTCTTGGTTTTCCTGGATTTTTGCTTAAAGTGTTTTCTCAATGCGATGTTTATGATGTAATGCAAAAGTTACCGAGAAGCAAGAAGTGATGCATATGTTTAATATTGTGAGAAAAGCCAAAGTACACTAGACGAAGGATATTATTGAGCTGGAAGTCCCCATCTCCCCCGTTATTGAAATTTGGATAAAGGATGTCTTGCTTTTCAGCAGACTCGAGAAGATTAAATTTACTCTTCGTGGCTCCACATGTAATTTTTTAAAAATCTGGCAACCCTTTTTTGAGTATATTCAGACATTAAGGACCCGCAAATACCCACTTAAATAGGCTTGTATGTGGCTGATGTGTACATATATGTATATAGGTAAAATGTATATTATTGTTTAGTGGCACGTCTATATATGTGTATACACATTTGTATGTCTCTGTTGCTACTGAAATCGACTTGTGACGTGTGTGGGGCTATTTCAACTTTTAAAATATGTTTTTATTTAAGTTTTTGTTTTGTTTTGTCTTTGTTTGGTATGTCTGTTGTTGTTTAAAAAAGCCATAATTTCTGCATAACCTTTTTGTGAAAACTTTTGGAAAAACCCAATAAAATAGGTTTGAAAAAAAAAAAAAAAAAAAGCCAAAGTACACAGAAAGTACAATAATAGTAACAAACTCATATGAGCCATTGGTCCATAGGGAGCAGGATGACTGATGTCCAAATGTCCTTAAATATCCTGGATCATCACTGAGACAGAAGCTTTAGATCCAAGACTGAGGCTGTAGAACCTGTTTAAGTCTATGTAAGGTTCAGAAAATTAGTTACTAAATGAGTTGACACCTATTTGTATTATTGATTAGTCACAAATAATTGATTAACTTCTTTTCACCCTCTTTTTCTCCCGTACATTTGAAGTTTTGATCAATCCTTTAGTTATTTTCATATAACCGTGTCCTGCTGTGTTCCTCAGACGTGCGCGTGAACTACTGCTACACGAAGTTTGAAAACAGTCGCTGCACGGCTCCGAAGGCCCAGAACACGTCGAAGGCCGAATGCTGCTGCACCGCGATGGCCGGTCAGGGCTGGGGCAACCCGTGCGAGCTGTGTCCCACTAAAGCCGACAAAGGTAAAGACCCAATGTTTGAGGAGACGTGTTTTAACAGAAGGAAACACATCACCTCTGTTTCAGTGTTCCTCCACTGGCTCCCTGTGTGTTTAAAGAGCGACTAAACACCAAATCAACTTTTTTTAACTCATAAACTGCATAAGTATGTTTATTGTAGTGCTGTCTACATATCCTGGTCATTTTTTTGACATTTTAGTTCAAATTAGATAAAATATCACTTTTGAGCCAAAAAACGCTGTGTGGTGCCCTCTCAACCTTTTTGGTGGTACTACATTTGAATTTGGTTCTGGCCTCTCTATTGACTCTGAAGTTCTCTATGACATCAGTTGTTTTGTGTGACGTCAGTCTGTCAGAGCCAGTGATGTGAACCCATCCAACTCTCACACACGCCCCAGCTGCAGTTTGGAGTATTCTGGCGCCATCTAGTGGATTAAAATTAAATTACATGAGTCATTCTGAGATTATTGAGTGTGATTATGTTCAGGTGTGTAGCTTTACAATAATCTTAGTGTGTAAACAAGGGTTGAATGAGACTTTCTGGTCTGTAAACTATTGCTTTAAGCAGCAATGACAACTGTCTGTTTTTTTTTGTGTGACAAGTGAGCTGTCAATCACAGCCCAGACCACGCCCAACTCTAAGCCCCCCTTCTTGTCCCTTGGTCCTCCAGGCAACGCCCTTTTTAGAGAACATTTTCAAATCTTCATGTGGGCGGAGTAAGGGTGGGCACAGGTGTTTAGTCGCTCTTTAAGTATTGTGAATATACCAAGCTACATTCACAAACTTTAACCCCCCTTCTAGCCCCCTGGTATCAGACCTCAGGCAGGTCTTCTATGAGCCCCATCTCCCTACTTTAGATCCTCCATGTTGTATTTTACTGTTCCACATTGTCTTTGTTTTGTCTTTCTTGTTGTGTGTCCTCTATCTGCATTACGGGCTGTATTTGTTTTCTGTTCTCTCTAGTCTCTCTCGCTGGTCTCTTTCTCCCTGATCTCTCTCTGGTTTTGATTATTTCATTAATATAAATGTGTTGTATATATTATATTGACTGTCTTTATTGACTTGTATTGTTTTAGGCTGATGATGATGATGATGATTATTATTATCATAATGGAACTGGTCACTATTAAACATGACCAGCTTCAACGATCTTTGCTTGGTTTAACATTATTTCTTGATGATGTCCCAAACTATTACCTGTGAACTTGTCGTTTACACTGTTTTCCAGAGTCTTATCTTCTGCTGTGTCCCAATGAGGGCTATCAACAAGGACCAGAACACCCAATAGGTCTGTGTTTTATTATTCAATGTATTCCTAACACTTGGTCTATGTTTTGAGCTGAGATTGATCAATTAATCTGTCGTCTGATATTTCAGGCATACTGTATGTTTTTTTATATTTTGGATACAGCTTTAACTTCATCTCACCAGGCTGACATGTGACCATGGTATAGTGTAGCCAATTTTAAAGATTTTGTTTGATATACACAATATAATCATCATTATTATTTAAACATTTTACAGAAGATAAGAATATCCAAACCAATATTCATTTTAGGTAATTATTTGTTGCCTCCAAAAAAATGCCTCAATTGTATAAAAAGTATAATACACAAAAACGACCACAGTTGTAGATGACCAATACAAAGCTTTCACAAATAAAACTTTACTTTAACATAGACTTTTTCCTATTAATATCCATGTTGTAATGGCTAACCCGTGCATTAGCATTAGCATTAGCACAAACCCTTTGTAATTTCTCACCATCGTCCACATAAAACGCATTTTGATCGATCTCTAATTTTGGGAATATTCTTTAGTAAATCCTTGTGTAATGTAATTGTTTGAATGCTTCATAAATGTATTGTATTGTAATGTTTGCTTTCTCAGATATTGACGAGTGCCTGAATAATCCCTGTGAGAACGGTCAGTGCATCAACACCGACGGCTCGTTCCGCTGTGAGTGCCCCATGGGCTACAGCCTGGACACCACTGGGGTCACGTGTGAGGGTAAGAACGCTGTACTTATGTGTGGGACTTTAGACCTCTTTAATCACTCATACTCAAACTGAGTCGTGCTTTAAAGTTTACCCCCCAGATTTTTTTTATTCATTTTGGCCAGTCATCCATCCATCCATTCTCTTCCACTTTATAATAATAATAGATTTTATTTATAACGCACCTTTCATGTGCAAAGCACATCTCAAGGTGCTACATCAGAATAAAAACACATATATACAAATGTTAAAATACATTAAAACATGGGCTGCAGATCAGCAGTAGGCCTTCCTGAATAGCTCCGTTTTCAGGTGCTTTTTGAAGCACTCCACAGACTGTGGCGCCCGCAGGTCTTGGGGCAGGGCGTTCCACAGGCGTGGTGATGCGGCTGAAAAAGACCTGTCTCCCATGGAGTGAAGGCGTGTGATTGGCTGACTGAGACGGTGGGTGTTTGTGGACCGGAGGGATCGTGATGTGGACTGTAGGGTGAGGAGGTCTTGTAAGTACTCTGGGGCGTTGCTGTGGATGCATTGGTGAGTGAGAAGACAGACCTTATATTCAATACGGAGGTGTACGGGGAGCCAGTGGAGTTTACGGAGGACGGGGGTGATGTGCTCGAACTTGCGTGTCCTCGTCAGGACCCTGGCAGCACTGTTCTGAATATGCTGAAGCTTTTGAAGGCTTCTGCCAGGGATCCCGACGAGGAGGGCATTGCAATAGTCCAACCTGGAGGAGACAAAGGCGTGGACCAGCTTCTCAGCATCACAGAGGGAAAGAGAGGGGCGGAGTTTGGCAATGTTTCTTAAGTGAAAGTAAGCAGTTTTGGAGATATGTTGGATGTGTGGATGAAAAGTGAGGTGGGAGTCAAACCTGACACCGAGGTTTGTAACACAGAAGGAGGGGGTGATGGTATGACCAGAGAAATTAATGCAGTTTACAGACAGGGAACGAAGTTGGTGGGGGGTGCCAATTTGTAGAGCCTCTGTTTTAGTGCTGTTTAGCTGGAGAAAGTTTTGAGACATCCACGCCTCTATCTCCTCCAGGCAGGAGGTGAGTGCAGCGGGGGTGGATGAGGGAGAGGCTGGGTCCAGTCTCACATAGAGCTGAGTGTCATCGGCATAGCTGTGGAAGGACATGCCATGCCTGCCGATGACTTGGCCCAGGGGGAGCATATAGATGTTGAAGAGGGTCGGCCCAAGAACCGACCCCTGTGGGACTCCACAGGAGACAGTGTGAGTCTGGGATTTAGACTCCCCCAAGGCCACATACTCAGCTCTATCAGTGAGATAGGACCCAAACCATCTCAGAGTGGTGCCAGAGAGACCAATTATAGTATGAAGGCGATGAAGGAGAATTGAATGTTCTATGGTGTCGAATGCTGCTGTGAGGTCCAGGAGAAGGAGTAGTGATGGAAAGCCCTGGTCAGAGGCCAGCATGAGGTCATTGGTGACTCTGACCAGTGCTGTTTCTGTGCTATGGTGCGATCGGAAGCCTGACTGGAATTTTTCGTAGAGGTTATTGTGTTTCAAGTGGTCCTGAAGTTGGGCGGAAACAACCTTTTCCATGACCTTTGACAAGAAAGGGAGGTTCGAGATGGGGCGGTAGTGAGCCAAGATGTCGGGGTCCAGAGATGGTTTTTTAAGATGAGGCCGAATGATAGCTGTTTTTAGTGTGGGTGGGATGTGGCCGCTCTGAAGGGACTGATTTATTATGGCAGTGATAAGTGGGCTTAATGCAGAGGCATTGGATTTGATCAGAGGGGTGGGGAATGGATCAAGGGGACAAGAGGAGGGCCGCATTTTACGCACAGTTCCCTCAACTTCTCTCTCAGTAGCATTGGTGAACTGAGAGAAGCCACCTCCTGAGTCTGCTACTGCGCAGCCTCGGATGAGGTTGCCACTAGCAGAGAGTGAGGTACGGATCTTGTCTGTCTTAGAGGTGAAATGTTCCATGAATTTATTGCACTCGTGTTCTGACTGGTTATTGCCGTTCCCAGGCCAGCTGAGAGACACAGACAGGACTTTTTCTGGATTTTAGCTGCATAAATCTGACAAGCTGCCTCACTATGTTTAGTTCTTGGCTCTGGGACCAGCAGGAGGCCAGTCCCTGGGCTCCTCAGAATCCAAATTGGTTTCTCTTGTCATAAAAAAAAAAAAAATATTTTATTAGACAATATATGGTCACACACAACCATCAGGCTGAGTGGGAATACAACGTTTTGTGTCATCATTAAAGGTACACTGTGTAGTTTTTACTCCCATCTAGCATTGAGATCATATGATGTAATCTACAGTACTACGGTAGCCTTACAGGACAAAAAGTCGTCTTTGACAGTGGTCCCTAACTCACGATCAAACTCCTTTTTGTCCCTTCTCAACCACTGTATTTCAAGATGGCGCATTGACATGTAGAGTCCTCCAGCTCTCATGTACGTTTATAAGACAAATTTTAAGCCTATGACAACAATTCAAAAACATGATGGAGGTAAATATTCTTAAAAAGTCACATTTGTTATTGGTTAACACGTTTTTTCAATTGGACAGTTACATTACCTTTAAGGATCTCTGAAATATGGCCAAAACAATGACAATTTTCCCGAGGGGGTCCAAACCTTCGAGCACAACTGTATACTCTAGAACCCACCGCTCTGTTGCTCCTGTGGCCTAATGTCTCGATCTTTCTCTGACGCAGACACCAACGAGTGCGACGTTGGAAACCCCTGTGGAAACGGCACCTGCACGAACGTGGTTGGAGGGTTTGAGTGCGCGTGTGACGACGGATATGAGCCCGGCCCCATGATGACCTGTGAAGGTAAACCAAAGACAAGGGAAGGTTATTTGTATAGCACAATCCTTACACAGAGCAACGTTACGTACACAAGAGAGGAAGTCTCCAAATCAGGTAAAATAATCACAAAACATGCATTCATTTAAAGGAAAAACAGATGTAATTCAGTTGTATGCACAGCTAAGCATAAATATTTTAAACCTGGATTTGAATATTGTCAGAGTCTTATATTTTCAGGAACTTTTTTAGATTTTAGCTGCAAAAATCTGAATTGCTGACCCAATGTTTAGTCCTGACTCGGGGCACCAGCAGGAGGCCAGTCCCTGTGCTCCTCAGAGTCCCAGCAGGAGGCCAGTCCCTATGCTCCTCAGAGTCCCAGCAGGAGGCCAGTCCCTGTGCTCCTCAGAGTCCCAGCAGGAGGCCAGTCCCTGTGCTCCTCCTCCATGTAGATGTACTTTGGTGCAAGAGATATTACTAGTTGTTTGTCAAAATGCCTGCCGTTCCCCCAACTACGAGAGATTGACTGAATATTGTTTGTTTTTCTTTCTGTCAGATATCAATGAGTGTGCGCAGAACCCACTGCTGTGCGCCTTCCGCTGCGTTAACGTCATCGGCTCCTACGAGTGCAAATGTCCCACGGGTTACGTCCTACGAGAGGACAAGAGAATGTGCAGAGGTGAGACATGTTCTTTGCAATCACCAGGACGTCATCAAGCGAGAGTTACAAATGAAATGTGTATTTATTGTATGAATAAAATTCTTAATCGATTATTATTCAAATGTTCTAGACTATTACAAACCCAAGTTCATAAGATCTTGTTTATGGAGTAATGTTGATTTGACAATAAAGTAAAATCTAAAATAACATTTGCATAAGAATTAAACAGACTTAAACAAGTAAGGAAAGCTGTTAAACTCTATTGACATGCAAATGCTGCTGTGGTGCCATCTTTAATAACGTTTTTTCTGATCCTAAATAATCACAGAAATTAACCCGTCCATTAATTAATCATTGGTGGCTTGTGTTCTTCTACCTTCTCTAACACTAGGACTCCCAAAACAAACCAATGGAATTCTTAAAAAAAAAAAAAGGTAGTTTTTCACCAGTTTTGGTAAATTTCGCAAAGTAATGTATAAGGTATAAGGTTTTTTTTAAACCCATAACCCATAACTATTTTTTGATAAGGTCTAAAACTGGTGAATATAGCAATGTGTTGCTATGGTAACCAGTCCAGAACCAGCACATTGGATAGACGGGGCTTTAACTGCCATAGCATGTTTGTTACCAAGAAAGTTAGTCTGGGAGTTAAAGGTAGAACTACTCCTATTTAAGTAAAAAAAAAAAGATAATAATGAAAGTTTCAACACAGAAAAAGTTATAAAGACTGAGAATGTACATGAGCTGAATAAGCTGTCAATTTGACTGCTCTGTTAGATTCTGTCGTTTCTATCACAGCACTCACAGACCCTGCAGTGCACTTCCAGCACACACAGCCGGCCTCCTCATTAGCGTTACACAACAGATATCGTTGAGCTAATGCTATCTTAAAACACTTTTTGGACAAGCCTCTGTTTAGATTGAGTCTCGTCAGGATCTTGCGGTCTCTATGGAAACGCAGTGTTATTGGGGCGGCGTGCAGACAGCAGGGACCTCTCAGTGTCAGAAGAGTCACTGTTTATTTTACATCCCTCTAAACAGACCACCGTGGCTCCATTCTCACCGCGCTCACAGACTTCAGAGAGCCTTGCTTCACGTCATGTACAAAACACAGAACTCATGTGTCCTTCCATATGTACAAACTAGACATTTTTACAGATAGATGCTTTTGTTCTGAGCATTTTTGTACATGTTCAGAATTAAATGTAATTTAATTTTACAGATATTTAGTCAGCCAACAATTGTGCAAGTTCTCCCAATTTAAAAGATGAGAGATGTCTGTAATTTTAAGGCAAGGCAAGGCAAGTTTATTTATATAGCACAATTCATACACAAGGCAATTCAAAGTGCTGAACAAAACAAGAAAGCATTAAACTTTTAGGACTTTTATTTAGGGATGGGATAAAAATCTTAACTGCACCCATTGTGAAGAAGGAACGGAGCAGGCTGTAATAAGCAGGCTTAATGATCGATGATTATAAAACAGAATGCAATTGTGTTAGCATATTAATCTATTCAATTCAATGTTTTTGTGTATAGCCCTAAATCACAATGGCAGCCGTCTCAGAGGACTTACAGGCATGAAATCTCTGTGTAAATCAAAGTCCCAATTTATCATAAGGGTTAGAAACAAAAATCATCGTGTTTGTTCTATATCGTCTTTAAATTATTGTATGTGTGAAAATGGATTTCTTTTCTCTGTGGTTATTCTGGTGTTCATCTTACTTGTGTGTGTTTTGTTCAGACCAGAATGAGTGTGAAGACGGCATAGACGACTGCTCCAGCCGAGGCATGGCTTGTAAGAACCTGATCGGGACCTACATGTGCATCTGTGCCCCTGGGTACACACGGCAACCAGGGGGTGGCGGCTGCATAGGTGAGAGACCAGTGTGTGTGTGTGTGTGTGTGTGTGTGTGTGTGTGTGTGTGTGTGTGTGTGTGTGTGTGTGTGTGTGTGTGTGCTCGCGTTGTGATGTTAAGAGACCAATGCCCCATACAAACAGCTCACATAGGGAAATGATATGCAAGAGATGTCTGTATAGGATCAGAAAGTGAAGTGTGTGTGTGTGTGTGTGTGTGTCCTTTTTGTGCTTGTCTTTTTGTGTGCACTTGTTGAGTTGTATGTGTGAGAGGGTATGGAACCAAATCAGTCTCTACTTCATCCAACCCCTTTTTCAAACTGTGTTATTGCTCGCTTATTGTTTGATATTTCCTGTGTTTTTTATGTGTCTTTGTGCCCTATGCTACTAAAATTATTTGTCCGGTGGGATAATAAATCAGTCTGAATCTGAAATGCTGCTGTTTGTAAGAATACATTCTCATATCTGGGTATTTTATTCTCTCAGACTTGAACGAGTGCACGGCCAAACCCAGCAGCTGCAAAAATGGCCGCTGTGAGAACACCGTGGGGAGTTACCGCTGCAAATGTGACCAAGGATTCGTCGCCAACCCCACACAAACAGAATGCATCGGTATGTACGAGAATGAGTTTTAAATTGAAAAGAAAAATCATGGATATTGGGATCACGTTTCCTCTTTCGTTCCTGTTCCTACTGTCTCTGTGGACAAAAGTATTATGACTGTGTTCTAACGTTTTCAAGTTGATGCTACATTACATTCAGTCAATACAAAACTTGTTTTCAAATGATTGATGGAAAGCAAGGCAAGTTTATATGTATACCACAGTTCATACACGAGACAACTCAAACAAGATAGAAACAATCACATTTTCAGGAAGATTTTACTTGCATCTAGTCCTGACTCTGGGCACCAGCAGGAGCCTAGCCCCTGTGCTCCTCCGAGTCCCAGAAGGAGGACAGTAACATATGACAGTAACATGTCACAGATGTACTTTGGTGCTAGGACTTGTACACAAGTCCTTGCTCCAAAAGTCTAATCTCTGAGCCACAGGAAGCCAGTGCAAAGACCTGAGGACTGGACTAATGTGATAGTACTTCCTGGTTCTAGTCAGGACTCAAGTTACAGCACTTTGAATGTGGCCCCTACAGGAACCTACAGGAGACAAATGTGGGATAAGAATATCCAAGTCTGCTCTAGACACTATATTTGTGTCTGTATTTGAAAGTGCACAATCAACAGAATCAGACATGTGGTATTTTCTGTGGGAATAGAGCTGCACCAGTTTAAAGTATTTTTACCCAGTGCAAACTTTCATAGCTACATAATTTCCTGTCTGACTAGTCTTTATCGTGGCGTGGATGTGCAGAGGTGGTAAGCTGTGAGAACACCAGAGAGACGGTGGAATCTTTGACTTGGAGAAAGCCTATCTCTCTCCACAGACTTGTGGTGGTTGAACTTATCGGCACTCGTCTAGACCTGGTTTAGACCCGGTGTTAGTATCAGGGTGGGTCTCTTCTCCTTCACATCCTCCAGATAACCAGGTCCTGTTGGGGTCACTTAATCCCCTTTTTCAACAAGCTGTTGAGGTACACATGCAAACTTTGTGCACATGTTTTTGAATCTTGTCACCACTTCAATACATGTTTATGAGAAAATAATTAGACCATAGTTGATGTAGTATTGAATCTTTATTTATATAGCGCCTTTATTAAAGCACTTTGAATAGTGCTGAGAGATGAGATAGAGATGAAGTTTGAGGGGGTCCTCAGCATTTTCCCCTGACTCCACAGAGTGATGGGCGCGAGGTGGGCAACAGGAGGGACATGCCAGATATGCGTCATGCTTTTAGTGGTAGGGGAAATTGGAACACCCCCAGGAAACATCTGCATGTTCTCCCACTGTCTGTGTGTATGGGGAGAACATGCGAACCACACAGACGAAAATGTGGAATATTGTGATTCATATTTCAGGTGGACTGGCCGATTATTTGCTCGAAACGAAGACTAGCCTGAATGTGGACACTGTAGTTTTACCAAGAAGATTCCTGTGTTTAAATCCTGTTATCTTTCCCCTACAGATAACCGTGAGGGCTTCTGCTACACCGAGGTGTTGACCACGCTCTGCCAGATGACCTCCAGTACCAGGGTCCAGGTGACTAAGTCTGAGTGCTGCTGTGACGGAGGCCGCGGCTGGGGCAACAACTGTGAGCTGTGCCCCCTCCCTGGAACCACGCACTACAAGAAGATGTGTCCGCTCGGCCCCGGATTCACCACCGACGGAAGAGGTACCAGTGAATTACCACTGTCAAACCTGGCAACCCTCTTTCTAATGTTTAATACTGGTGTCAAAGACCAGAACACATTTCCTTTGTATTTGGACTGAAAGTCGTGTCACTGCGCATGCCTGGGTCGGCAAAAATACTTGTGACTTGTATTTTGTGCTGATGAGTGCAGGCGTTGGTGTACGGTGTGCACACTCCAGGTTTCTAGAAAAGGGGCCAATCTGAAATCCGCCAACTCTGCAAACTGCAACTCCCACACACACACCACTGCGCGAGCTTTTCAGAATCACAATCATTTTTATTTCCATGTAAAAAAACAAAAATTGCTTTGGCTGTCGGTGCAAACAAGAATAGAGAATTGAATAAGGCATCTACATACATTTCTAAAATAAAACATTCAAATTATTACAAATATTACTATATACAAGTGCACACAATAGACAGTAAGCAGTGCAGTAAGGTGACGGCAGTAAAGTGACTTATAAAAGGCAAGGGGACAAGGTCATGAAGTGTGTCCAACAGCAGAGGGAAAGAAACTGTTGTTATGGCGGGAGGTTCTGGTCCGAATGGGCCGAAGCCTCCTGCCTGAATTTGGAACCGACCATGTGCAGGGTGAGAGGGGTCAGCAGTGATACGACCAGCCCGGTCTCGAGCTCAGCAAACCACACGGTGATGGAGGAGGTGAGGATGGACTCGATGATGGCCGTGTAGAACTGCACCAACATCTGTGCAGGCAGCTTGGCTTTCAAAAGATGTGTTTAATGTGTAGGGGACTTTAGATCGTCCGGACCTGTGGAGAAATAGAACTGTCTGCATTCTAACGAGATGACTATGACACTTGGGAAATTCAGAATGATGTACAATGTCATACGAAATGTGTCTAATTAACGACATAACTTTAGCTGTAAGATTGTAAGATCTGATATAATGATATTTTAAATTATGTAATATTTTTGTCTCAGATATTGACGAGTGTCGTGTGATGGGGAACCTGTGCAAAAACGGACAGTGCGTCAACACTCTGGGCTCCTACAGCTGCATCTGTAACCAGGGCTACGCCCCAGACATCAGTGGCACGCAGTGTGTGGGTAAGGAGCAGGACTGGGACGGGTCTGAACTGGGACTGAACCAGGACTGAACCAGGATTAAACCAGGACTGAAACAAGGACTGAAACAAGGACTGAACCAGGACTTAACCAGGACTTAACCAGGACTTAAACAGGACTGAACAGAACTAAATCATGACTGAACCAGGACTAAACCAGGACTGAACCTGGATTGATAATTGACTGGACCGGGACTAAACCAGGACTGGACGAGTACTGAAATGTTGCACATTGTTTTCAGTCAATCTCTGATAATCTGGCCTCATTCTAAAGCACAACACCTACAGAGTGGATCTGTGTGTGGGCAGGAGCTGGGCACTTAAACTTTATGTTCTGTTTTACGTCCTGCTCCTCCCTGCGTCGTCCAGAGTGTTGTAAACATAGCTCTGAGTTTGAATCCTCAGCTCCTCGTCTGGAATGTCTGGCCTTCAGATCAAAGCCGTTTCTCTCTTTCTCTCTAGACGTGGACGAGTGCATCCAGGCTCCAAAGCCGTGTAACTTCATCTGCAAGAACACGGAGGGAGGATACCAGTGCTCCTGTCCTCGTGGCTACATCCTTCAGGAGGACGGCAAGAGCTGCAGAGGTGAACACACAAATGCACACGACCGCTGAGGCACTGGACCCAGGAGACGACCAGGCTGCATCCAAATCCAGCAGAAATATCTCAAATTTACCTCCAAGTTTGGTCGATTTCAATTAAATTAAATTTATTTTGTATAGCCCTAAATCTCCACAGCGTCGTCTCTGAAGACTTTAATCTGTATTGGTGAACCGACAATTTCTTAGAGAATCAAACCGTTCAAACACAGGACATGCATTACTGACACATATGAGGGGGCAGATGAACAATGTCCACAGGATCCTTCCTTGTCAGATATTGTCAGATATTGGTCTTATCCCTCACAAATCCCCTTTTTACAATATTTCAATGCCACGTAGGTGAACGAAAAAGAGGAAAATGAAAGGGGAATTTGGATGCAGCAATTGTCCTTGTTTTGCAAGTCTTTGATCGGGTTCGGGGCATGAAGGCTTTATGTGTGAATGCAAAACTGCCATTTTTCCCCTAAGTGTATACCAGTCTGTAAGTATTACAACCATAAGCTCTCTAAGGTGATCTATCCATGACCGTAAGGCGGATAATATGGAACCACTTAGAGCGGGAAATTGTTAGTTTATTCTGTCAATTAGATGAATGTAATACAGACTAAAGTACGATGTGTCTTCCTAAAATAAATAGTTTTAAATTCTCAACAGATCAATTCTGTGGTCTCTGTCTGTATTCCACGTTTGTGTAGCTCTCTGTGGGACACATCTGCAGCTCATCTGTGATTGTGACATGTTTGTGTGTCTAAACAACTGTTGTTCATATTTCAGACGCTCTTTCATCTTTATTTGTACAAGACTTTAGTTTCCCTCTTTGTTCAGCCTCAGACACAGCCATTTCTGGGTCAATGACAGAGAACGACTCAAAAGTACATCTATTTGTGCCAAGTTTTGAGCATGATGCTTGAGCATCATGCTCAAAACTTGGTTTTCAGATTGTAAAACCAAACAAGAAACAAGGCATTCAAATCATAAATATTAAAAATACAGAGCTGCTTTAAAGTCTGTTCTTGTGGCGTTTCCCTTTGACCCTCACGTTTACTTGTCAGGTCTTTTTTTTTTTTCAGATCTGGACGAATGCTCGACAAAGCAGCACAACTGTCAGTTCCTGTGCGTTAACACCATCGGAGGCTTCACCTGTAAATGTCCTCCAGGCTTCACCCAACACCACACGGCCTGCATCGGTGAGCGCCACTCCTACTGTTACTCAGGATCATACAACAGTTCTCTTCACTCAGTCCAGGAAGTGGGATGACCACGGCACAGAAGTGTTAATAAATAAATGTCCCGGATTATCACAGTCCTTGGACCCTCCTACTTCGGCAAGGAACCACTCAGAGAGAAACCTGATCTCTTTCTTATCAGTGTCTGTGTGTAACGTCCTCTGCTCGCGGTCTTATGTTTTTTTTTTTCTCTTCCACAGACAACAATGAATGCGCCTCTGACCCCAATCTGTGCGGCTCCAACGGCGCCTGCCAGAACACCCCCGGCAGCTTCAACTGTGACTGTCAGCGCGGCTTCACCCTGGACTCCAACGGACAGAGCTGCGAAGGTCAGGGGGCTTTTGGAAAAGGCATAATGTCCTTCCTTCAGTTTTGTGCTGAGGGTCAGGGGTCGTGTTGAACTGGTGGTTACTGCACAAGTCTAGTGCATACCCCACCGTCCAGTAGCGTCCATTCAATGTTGGCGTGAAAAAAATATATATATACTGAATGTGGAAGAAGGTAATGAAAGCTGATTACATGAGCAGGATTGTGAACCTAGCAACAACCTAGCAACCAAAGAGCCAATCGGGAGCGGCGTGGGTCAGTTCCTGACATACAGACTATTACTAGCTCTGTTTCCACTCTCTATACTTGACTACCTGGTTGTGCTTCAATTAAGCTTTAGTATCTGGTATTGTATCCCACCTACCCAGGGTCGAGCCGAGTAGAGTAGATTAGGGCAGATGCAATTACTGGGAGACAAAGCTGCTGATTGGTCCGCTGTCATAGGGCTCATAACTGAATGTACAAAGACATTATCAACATAAAAACACCAGGATCATGCAAATACCACAGATTTTAAAACTCAAAACGTTGAATGTGACACAGAGGAAGAGGAGTTTACTTTTCAATGTAAGTCAATGCACTTCCCAATTAGACGTCATTGAGCTAGCAGGTTAGCATTGTCCTTCTATACACAGTCTCTGATACTAACAGTAAATACATGAAGTACTGAAGCATTGTTTGTACCTCCTTCAGACGCCGATGAGTGCGACGGGAACCACAGATGTCAACACGGCTGTCAGAACCTGGTGGGAGGGTACCGCTGCAGCTGCCCTCAGGGGTACCTCCAGCACTACCAGTGGAACCAGTGTGTGGGTGAGTGCAGCTTTTACATTAGGCGCAAAAATCACATCAATATTTTTTCATAACAGACACAGCGTTTTGTAGATGTTGTTGCCAGGGGAAATTATTAACACTAGAACTCCCAGAGCAGTCAATCTGACAGATTTTAGCATTTGATGTGTAATTACTCAGCACATTTATACTTTTGGTTTTCTGAATTGTTTTGTTTTTCTTTATGTCATATTTTTTAAATGTGAAAACGTCAATTTTAGGTTGCTTGGTAAGGGAAGGCAAGTTCATTTGTATAGCACAGTTCATACACAAGACAACTCAAAGTGCTGGACAAAACAATATATAAACAATAATGCATTAACATAATAAAAAATCTCAGTACATCATAAATAGTAAATATAAAATCCCTCAGTTGTATGCACATCTACAACTGCTTTTTAACCTGGATTTGAAAAGGCCTGTCTCACATTTTCAGGCAGACTGTTCCAGATTGTAGAATTAATCTGAAATTCTGCCTCCCCATGTTTAGAGTTGGTTCGTATGGAGATACTTGTACACGCCTAATCTCTGAGCCACATGAAGCCAGTGCAGAGACCTGGGCACTGTACTAGTATCATTTGTAGTTGTTCTCAGAGCATTTAAAAACTCTACTTTCCGCAACTGTTTCACAATCCCCTTTATAATAACACAACTGTCCAGTACTGTCTTTTCCTGTCGCTGCTCTGACCTGTGTCGTTTGCTTCTTGCGTTGGGTCCCAGATGAGAACGAGTGCCTGAACTCCCAGGTCTGTGGCGGGGCGTCCTGCCACAACACTCTGGGCAGTTTCCGCTGCCTCTGTCCCACCGGGTTCAACTACGAGCAAACGTCCGGAGGCTGCAGCGACGTCAACGAGTGCTCCGTCTCCCAGAACCCCTGCAAGTTCGGCTGCTCCAACACGGACGGCGGCTACCTCTGCGGCTGCCCCCCTGGGTACTTCCGCGCGGGACAGGGGTACGTACATGGATCCTGTGTGTATGGAGGGACAGAGTGGCTATTGGGCTTTTGAGGGCATCTGTAAGAACCTGGTGTGTGTGTTCTGTATGTGTGTGTGTGTGTGTTCTGTATGTGTGTGTGTGTGTGTGTGTGTAAGTATGACTGTCTCTCTCCCTTAATGTGTGTGTTTGTCTCTGTCTCTTGCTCTGTGTGTGTGTCTGTTTGTGTGTGAGTGAGTGTTTGCTTGTGTACGACTGTGTTGCCAAAGACAAGTTCACACACACACATTTCAACTGTTACATAGCTGTGTGTGTGCATGTGTGAGGGACTATTTGTATGTGTGTGTGTCTCTATAAGTGTGTATAATTACTGTTATTTTCCCCGTAAATAACCTTAGCATTAACAAACCCAGACTTAATATAAGTTAAACGGTGCATGAATGGGAACAGGAAACCACAAACATTCATTGGATGTGAAACTGCTACAATATGGTACCAGGGGTTCTGTCTCTTCTAAAATGTCCGCCACACGCACCTGAAGTAACTGGTGTTGGTTTGCAGACACTGTGTTTCTGGACTTGCACTCTCCGGTGGGACTGGACCAGAGGAAGAGGACGACGAGAACTCTCTGTCCCCTGAGGCCTGCTACGAGTGCAAGATCAACGGGTTTCCCAAGAAGGGACGCCAACGCCGAAGCACCAACTCCACCGAGGCAAATGAGGTGAGCGCAAAACATTAGGCAAGGAATGTTTATTTGTATTGTACAGTTCATACACAAGGCAACTTGAAGTGCTTAACAAAACAAGATAGAAACACTCACACAAGGTATAAATAATCACAGTGCATACAATCCTTCAGTCGTATGCACAGTTAAACAGAACTGTTTTAAACCTGGATTTGAAGCCTGTCTCACATTTGCAGGAAGACTGTTCCAGATTTTAGCTGTATAAATCTGAAAGGCTGCATTCCCAGTTGTTTCATATGGCACTAACATGTCACAGATGCACTTTCGTGCATGGAGAGATTTATACACAAGCAGAGCTTATGGACAAGCAGAGGTGCATAGGGAGCGGGATGACCACTGTCCATAAATGTTCTTAAATGTCCAAAATCATCGCTGTCCTTAGACCGTCCTGCATCCTCTGGCTGTCTGTCTTAAGCCAAGTTTGTAAAAGCATAATTAAACATTGTGTTATTGTGTGTCTCTGCAGCTGCCTGTTTCCGAGCTGCTGAGCCTGGACAGTGTGGACGTGGATGATCCTCTCCACTTCCACCTGAACATCAGCGATCTGAGCAACAAGGCCCACATCCTGGAGTTCACCCCCGCACTGTCAGCCCTGTCTGACCACGTCCGCTACACCATCGACTACGGCAACGAAGACGGCTTTTTCCGGATCAACCAGCGCGACGGCGTCAGTTTCTTACACCTGTCCAAGAGAAAGGCCCTGCTCCCCGGGGCCTACTCGCTCCAAATCAGCAGCGCTCCTCTGTACAAGAAGAAAGAGCTGGTGGAACTGGAGGACCACCACGATAAAGACTACCTCACAGGAGAGATCGGGGACGTACTAAAGATGAAAGTGCAAATCATCCTGCATTAACCTTACCCAGGGGACACACAAGCAGATGTTGCCAGCACTTGCTAACCCAAAGAAACATTATTTTTTAAGAAATTGCCAAAGTTATTGTCCGAAGATGGGCTTGAATTGGCGGGACATCTTGCTTTGCACAGACAGGGAAGAGCTTTCCACCAAAAAAAGACTAGTTTTTGTTTTGTGAAGGAGGACTGCCTCATTCCATCGCCAAAGACGAGTTCACACACACACACACAAGTCAACGGTGACATAGCTGAAATATATGGGTTTTTTATCTTTTTTTAACACAATCGTGAACGCCAGCTGACGCCCAGTTGAGTAAATTATATGTGGGATGGATGCTACTTTCTGAAAGGCATAAGGACTGCAGGGTTTTGAGATTAGCAGTAGTCTAATACATTCATTTTCTCTCCTCTCTCGGTGGACTGAACATACCTGGATACATTTAGGCTTTTTTGCGTCTTAATTTAACGGTAGAATTGTTTCAAAAAGGAGAGAAAAGGAACGCACTGTGGACTATTGAGATGTAGCCATGTCATGATCGAGAATGTCTCCTGCTGCCTATTTAAAACTTGCTTTCCAATCTTTTTTTTCTGACTAAAGCCCTGTTTCCACCAGCCCCTACTTGGCCCAATTGGCCTTACTGTACCTGGTTTCCTTTACGGTTTAGTATCTCCGACTGTATCTTAGCAACTTACCAACAAACCAGTATTCAGGGAAATTCCTTGGAAACCATGGCCTCCAGCAGCACTCTGGCCAATCACTGTCAGAACATTCTAAGCCCCATTTCCACCAGCCCTACTTACTCCTACTCTACTCTACTTTACCTGGTTGCATTTCCATTACATTTTATCATCTGGTACCGTATCCTAGCAACTTACCTAGCAATCCTAGCAATCCGTGGAAATTCTGTGGTGACCATGGCTTCCAGCAGCACTCTGGCCAATCACTGTCAGTTAGAACTCTTTCATACCAGCTCAGCCTAGATAGAACCAGGGCCAAGAGGGACTAAAGAAGTACCTGCTACTGGTTAAACAGGGCTGGTAGAAATGCTTCCAATTGGGGGAGAGTAGAGAAGAGTAGGGTCAAGTAAGGCAGGTGGAAACGGGGCTCAAGTTTATATTTACTGGTGCTAGCAACAAAACCACGTAGACGAATTCTGAATGCACTGTTCTTTACACAAGTGGACGAGATATTACTTTTCCATTTGCCAATTTAGGAAAACGTTTCATTGTCGTAGCATCCGCAACAGCTCGCTTCAAAGCCTCTCTGCCCTTTCTATGTAAATTGTTTATACTGTAATACCACTTTTAATCTATGAGGAAATGTAAACTAGAGAAAGTCCTTTCTGAAACAAGGGCTTTGTAATGGTGCTTATAAGACCAACTACTACACGCACACTCAGACACACAAACATGGATGATGACAATCTTTATGAATGATGTTGATGCACTGAGGTCTACACGGACCAAACAATCTCCCATAATTCAGTGCTGCCTTTCCCCAGACCTGCCTGTCTGAGGGCCGAGTTGTACATTCACAATAAAACATACTTTTGGTCTAAATGTATTCACTGTTGTTTTTATCGGGGAGTGGTTTTAATTTCATTTCAATGTGTGTGTATCGCCCTAAATCAAACAGTCGTCATCTCTTCATCTCGTCAACTTTACAAAGTTGTCAATTCACTAATTACTGATCAAAAACTTAAACATATAGGCATTAATGAGCAGAATGACCACTGTCCAGAAATTAATTATAAAGTATTAATAGATATCTGTAAAAGTCCCTGATCATCATAGTTTTACTTATTGGTGGACTTTGGTCACAATGTATACCCAGGTCTGGAAGCCTTTTTAACCTGGAACCTGGAACTGACATTGTATTTCCAACCCTGTTTCCACCAGCTCCTCTTGGCCCCATTCTACTTGGCCTGGTTCCATCCAAGCTAAGCGGGGACAAAAAAAAAAATACCTGGTACTTCTAAGTACCAGAAGTAATTGCGTTTACTAATGAGTAAACGCAATTAGAAACGGGACCAAAGAGTCCTTGGGAACGGTTTCACAATGCCTTTAAAACTACACAAACGTGATCATTTAGCTAGCATGAGTGGGAACATAAAAAAACAAAAACAAAACAAGATCATTCAGGGACAGGCTTACTTCCTTGTCCTTACTAAATCTTTGATACATGGTGAAAAGCTGCCCTTGGCCAGACTGACAGAAGTGAGGCAACCAGCAAATGTCATAGACCCATTCAGACACAGAACACTTATACAGGCAATGTGGGTGAAGCATCTTGCCCAAGGACACAACGAAAGTTTGGCACATTACAGCCGCAATTATTTTGAATGAGAAATTATAGTAAAATTCAAAAGCGCTTTTTAAGTTTAGTCTGGTATTGTGCTGCCCTCGTGTGGACAATTTGTGAATTACATGATAATACGCTATCGTGTGACGTTTCACGAATTTTCAACCCGTGATTTTCTACAATCTTGTGGTACATCTTGTGGTATAATATAATATATATATATATATATATATATATATATATATATATATATATATATATATATACACACATATACATATATATATACATATATATATACATATATATACATATATATATATATATATATATACACACACATATATATACATATATTCAATAATATCTAATATTAATGACTTAAATTCCAAAAAATCTACATCACATGTACAAAAAAATTGACCTTTATTATTGATATTATAAACACAAATATATTTTCTCTTAAAAAGTAGATTTCAGTTGCGTCCAGTGGATCCAAAGCCTCCTGCGCCTCGCTCAGTCTCATCAAGCGTCTGCAGAAGCCAAAAGAACGTTTGAATTCATGGAATGTTGAAATATCAGAATCAAAATGAAACTGAGTTGTACTAAAACAGTTACCTCCAGCTCCTGTAGATCGGGGTAACAGATCCTCTCACAGACCAGCTGGGCCACTCTGTCGCCTTTTTTCACTGTAGTAAAAGACAAGCATATTATTTTTTCTTTTTTCGATGGAACTAAACAACCACCACCACCACATGATCCGATTGATACTGAGCACTTTAACATTGAGCTGCAGGATGTCAAAATGCCCTCTGCAATAAAGCCAAACATAAGCCACGGTCCTGACAAGACATGTGGTCGCTTACTCAAATCCTGTGTGCCTTGAGTAGGCCCTATTTTGTATTTCATTTCAGATAAATCTTTACAGTTACAGCAGGTCACTAGAATTAGGAAGGACGTTGTAGTTGTCCCTATTCCAAGGTCAAGCTGCACCAAAACCCTGAATGACTTTTGCCCAGTGGCATGTACATCTATTGTGATGACAAACTTTGAAAAACTTGTACAATTTGAGCTCCTAAAGCAAACACGAGACTCTCTGGATGCTTTACAGTTTGCGAATAGGCCACAGAGGGGAGTAGAGGTTGCTACTGCCACTCTGCTGAACTTTCCTTTTAAAACACCTGGATTTAAAATGGGACACATGCCAGGCTCTTATTTGTTGATTTATGTCCAGCTTTTAATACAATTCAACCGCACATCTTGATAAAAAGGCTGCAGAAACAGTTTGGTTTGTGCAAAAGTTTATTGGGATGGATCCAGGGCTGGACTGGGACAAAAAAACGGCCCGGGCATTTTTTCCTTCTTACCGGCCCAGGCATGTTTTTGTCACGTTTTTTACAGTTTGTTTATACCAGGGATCGGCAACTCAAAAGGTTCAAAGAGCCATATTTGACAAAAAATACTAAAAACATCTGTCTGGAGCCGCAAAAAAATAACAGCCTTGTATAAAGCTTATATGAAGGTTACACAATGTAGCTACATTAGCCTATTATCTAAATGACCAAGTAAAGGCTACAAATACATGATTAGCATTCATGATTGTCAAATGTGTGTTTTCACTGCAGCGTGTCCTGGAGAGAATGACGCACCATGTGATGACTCTGCTTTAACTTTGACTTCCATTTTTTTGCCTTCATGCAACTGAAGAAATACAGTAAATAAATCTGCTTTTTGGCTCAAAGGTCACACACCTGCAATGTCCGCTCATATCGATTACGTCACAGGCTGAAGTTTGCTGGAGCTGAATGTCCTTAATGGCCTTTTCTTTCACAGTCTTTGCGGAGGTTTTTGAAGTCTGAAAAAGGTGCTCCGGATTTTGTATGAAAGAATCCTTCACGTAATCCCTGTGAACGGTATTTAGTGCTTCATTGTTCCTCGTGTTGCAACAAAACTTCCTATTACATCGCAAACATGAAGCAGTCCTTCCTCATTGACTGAAAGCAAATGTTCAGTCTTGTTCTTAGTCCAGTCTTATTATCGACTCGTTCTCTTTTTATCTTTGGGATCCGTGCGCACACGCCGGTTTGTTTACAGCAGCGGCCGTCTGCCGCGGGGCCGCGCCACAGGATATGACTCACTACGTTGACAGAAATGTTGAAATTGAATATTACTTATACACATTTTTACAGCATTGAAATACGTTAGGAATGTTTTTCCTCCTACAGAAACCACATTCAAATTAGGAATAAAATATAGCCCTCCCACTCCATTTTCAGACATTTTTGAAAAGGCTCCAGGAGCCACTGGAGGAGCACTAAAGGTTGCCGACCCCTGGTTTATACAGTATGTGGAAGCATACTGTAGAGGATCAGGATGTCTACAGTTTCAACAAAAAAATAAAGTGCAATAGTCTACATTACAAGAGTAATAAACATGTCTCAGAGTGAGGGAGGTGACACAGACAACACTGTTGTTTGTTACAGGGATGAGAATTGGTCAAAAAAGTCTGAAATGCATAATGTCAGCCATTGGCTGGCTCTAAATCTGTTTAATTTTTTCACAACATTTTACTTTTGGGCTCAAACATGAACTTTTAATGCAATGGGAAATTTAGGCACCCGAGCTTTAATTTAGTCGCACTTCGAGAGGAGAGGGGAGACGCGGACTGTTTCCTGCAGCGGCGTATTTATTGGGTGCACAAATTACGCAAAGACACGCATGGTCCTGTGCACGTTTATGGTCTTGGGTATATGGTCACGTTGCGGCTACGCGCTCACCGTGTTGTGTTGTGAGCGGCTCCCGGTGAGCGGTTCCCGCGTCCAGCTCAGAGCCGCTGGATGCCGGAACACTGCGGCCGCTGAGGTGGTGGAATCCCGTTCCAGTACATACAGCAGGAGCCCGCGGACACGCGCGCCCCCTCGAACAGTTCTCAACGGATTTACACTTTTCACAAACATGTTTTTTGTATGAGGCAAACAGACCGGCCCAAATATGGGCATCGGCCCTTCTGGCATTGCCCGGTACGCCCGATGGCCAGTCCAGCCCTGGATGGATCAACAGGACTCAAGAGTGAATAGTACCCTCTGACAAAAAGTGTCTTTCTACTGGATCTCCACAAGGGTGCGCTCTTTCTCCGATTGCATGCATTCTGTATACAAACATGTGTCAAAGCAAATATGAAGATGGAATAATCAAATATGCTGAAGACTCAGTCATTGCCTCGTCCAGTTGTGGAGGACTTTGTGGACTGGTGTGAGAGATCCTACCAACAGCTAAAAGTAGCTAAAACAAGAGACAAGGTGGTGGATTTCAGAAAGGGAACACACAGGCACCACAGCACTTTAATGGAGGGTCAGTCTATCGAGCAAGTGCCATCCTTGGGACAATCATTGATGATAAAGTTTGAAGAGAACAGTGAGGTTGTGTGTAAAAAAGGGTCCGCAGCAACTCCAGTTTGAGGAAGCTGGCACACTCATATAAAATGAGTATCTCATTTTAATTTATTAATTTTGTTGTCTATTATCTGAAATAATAGACTAATTTGATGTGTGCAATCTGAGTGCTCTTATTTCCTCTCTGCTGTAATGTGCGCAACAATGACACTGACATTTCTCCACTGTGAGACTAAAAAGGTTTATCTTATCTCATATTGACCGATCCCTCGTGACCATGTTTTATCATGCTTTTAATGAATTGATTTTATCTTCCCCTTTATTGTCATTGTTTGGACAGTCTTCCTTGAAACAGAAAAAAAATCTTTGGCCCAGAATATTTTGGGTTTTTACGCCGCAGTCCTGATATTAAACCTTTTTGACCACTTTTACCTTATTTTCTTTACTTATCTGTTGTGTTTTTATTGTTATTTTTGTATTTATAAATGTGATTTTATGATTATTTTTGTATAGATGCAAAGTCTGTTTTTTAACTGCACAAAGAATCTACCCATGGGTACAAATGAAGTCACCTTGAACCTATGAATGAACCTATGAACCTATGAACCTGTTGAACCTATGAATGTTCCTCTATAAAAAGGACACATTGAAAGTCCAGGTACAATTTGTTTGTCCTAAATTAAATATTTTTCGTCATTAGAGGGTTAAGGGTTAAACATGTTTTGTATACTTTTCAGTAGTATTTAAGTGAAATTAGTACATTTCACAAGGGAAGGATGCAGCGTCTGAAGTGATCTGGGAAATGATCAAAAGGTCGAGATTGCAGAAAGAAGTGGCGCACATGAAAATCCTCCGGAGGGCGCCCTCTTATTGCATTTCTTGTGTTGGATTCTCTGACCTGTGTTGGTGAATTTGACTGCTAGTTTCCGTGATTTAGGGCTATACAAGAATATATTGAATTCAAATGCCTTAGAAGTGCACAGACCTTCAAAGGGTTCCTTGTTGAAGTTGAAGAGCACGACTCCGACGTTCCCTCTGTAATCCTCATCGACCACACCAGCTGATTATAGAGAAATCACACAAAATTCACACTTTTTAGTTTTAAATGTATGGAATAATACAGTCATCTCTAACTGCTGATAACTCACCTCCAACATCGATGAAGTGTTTAGCCGCCAGCCCAGACCTGGGAGCTGAGGGGGACAAGAACAACAGTTAAATGGAGAGCAGGGATTTCAAGCAGCGACTGGTTCAGAATAGATTTCACTCACCCACTCTACCGTAGTGACCAGGAGGAACTGCTATCTGGATGTCTGTCTTTACAATGGCCTTGTCCATGGGTCCAACAAGGTAGTCGTATGCACTGCAATCAACAAGAAAACAGTTTATAGCACTGTGTCCTATCATAACTATGCAGACGACACTCAGATCTATGTCTCACTGACTGCAGGAGAACATGGACCAGTGGACTCACTCCTTCACTGTATCCAACAGATCAGTGAGTGGATGCAAAACAACTTCCTTCAGCTAAACACAGACAAAACTGAAATGATTGTCTTTGGTCCCCAGAAACAAAGAGAGCGTCATCTGTCACCTACAGTCTCTCTCCCTAAAACCCTCAAACAAGGTCAGAAATCTAGGGGTAATACTGGACTCAGACTTAAATTTTAATAGCCACATCAAATCAGTGACATCAGCAGCTTTTTACCATCTAAAAAACATTGCCAGGATCAAAAACATAGTGTCTAAAGCAGACTTGGAGATTCTTATCCATGCATTTGTCTCCAGTAGGTTAGACTACTGCAATGGCCTGCTCACAGGTCTGTCCAAACAGGCTGTAAAACAGCTGCAGTACATTCAAAATGCAGCAGCTCGAGTCCCGACTAGAACCAGGAAGTATGACCACATTAGTCCAGTTCTCAGGTCTCTGCACTGGCTTCCTGTGGCTCAGAGAATAAAACAGCTCTGCTTGTGTACAAGTCTCTCTATGGCCTCGCACCAAAATATATTAGTGACATGTTAGTCCCATATGAACCAGCCCGGACTCTGAGGAGCTCAGGGACTGGACTCCTGTTAGTGCCCAGAGTCAGAACTAAACATGGGGAGGCTGCTTTTCAGATTCATGCTGCTAAAATCTAGAACAATCTTCCTGAAGATGTAAGACAGGACTCCTCTCTGACAATGTTTAGGACGAGGTTGAAAACAGTCCTGTTTAGCTGTGCATACAACTGAGGGATTTTATATTTTTTATTTTATCTTTCTTTTTAATGTACTGTGATTATGATTTTAATGCTATCTTTTAATATTGTTCAGCACTTTGAATTGCCTTGTGTATGAATTATGCTATACAAATAAACTTGTCTTGCCTTGGTGGGGGGAATTAAAAAAATATATATTCTATTCGGTATTGCGATATCTTGCACATGATATTGAATAAATACAGTTGAGCAACAAATTGTGACATTTAATTAAATAATTATATGTTTTTCCTTCGTGTTTTACTTTTGTAATTCACACCTGAAGTTTGTTACTCAATTATGTCAGCTTTTTGCAAATTTCATCCATTGTATTTTGATTTGTGCTGGGAGCTCACCCTTCAGTCCTCTCCTGTAGTAAGGTCTTGTGTCCTGAATGTTCAAGGATAACGTTTCTTGCACTTAACTAATTTACTGACTGATAAAAAAGTGGGAAACTCGTATGTCATATTAATTGTTCCTTGCCGATACAGAAGACGATCTGGGACTTTTATAGAAATAGATCATCCCATTCTCCATGGACCAATGGATTCTGGGCGTTTGTTATTATTGCATTTTCAGTGTTTGAACTGTTCCCAACTTTACACAAACACATTTAAGTGAGACGAACCTGTAGAGGTCGTATCCCGCCGCTTTGGCCGATCCCCGGGTCGGTGTGGTCGCATGTTCCGAGAGTTTGGCGAACCTCAGCACGACCCTGTCCTCCTGCTGCAGTCTCGCCTTCTTTGATGGAGAAATGGCAGAAGCGTCTATCACGTCTAGAGCGGGCATTTTTGTGCAAAGTTACAAACTACTCCGGCTAAAATACGTGATAAAAAATAACAGAAAGAAGGCAAGAGTCAAGACAAGGAGCACAAGTATCTGGCGCGGGCTTTGAAAGACTTTCCCGCGTGGATATATAAACTCCGCCCAGGAACGATTGTAGTTTTTTCCCCACAACAAATTCTGGACAAGATTCATCGTCCAAAGCCATACCAGTGACCATATGATAGTTACAACAAATAAAAATAATAATAACCTGAAATATTTACCGTGAAATTATTAATATTAAAAAGCGATAGACTGTTTACTTTTAATAATACAAATTGTAAAAAGTGTTGGGGAAAATATGACTCGCCTCAGAGAGCAAGAACATACGTCACTACGCACTTTACTGCTCACACAAAATGAATATAAAATTATAGATAAGGTACTTTTTGAATGGCATACTCTCCAAATAAAAACAAATAGACAGAATTTTAAAAACAAGAAGTTAAATCTACGACTACGCAAACAATATCAAAATGCTAAGGGCTAACAGTCTGTAATGCTAACACAACAACAATAAGCTACATAATTCATCAAATAGGCTGATGACAAACAAAATATCACACACAATATGTCCGTATTAGTGTTGGAAATCCAAATATATGCACCACTAGTAGTAAAGCCGTATGTAATTCATAATAAAAATCCATCTTTACTCGATCACCATCCGCGTTCTAAAATGTAAACATGCCTCGTCCTTGCCTTTGTTTTGGTTGTTCATCCGAGAGGAAAACTGCCTTCCCAAGACAAACAGATTCGTGTCAAATAGAGACGTGCATGGTAAACCTGTCTTATCCCAGAGTCTTCGTAATAAACGAGTCATGTTATTCCATGGGCTGACAGCTGAGAGCGCTCTCTACATCCTCATTCATTCAAAACATACCATCACGTGACCAGTTTCAGAGGTACACGCCCACACAAGAAGGCAACTCAGAAACATACAAACCATAAATGATCACAATGCATTGAAAAGAATGAAGATACAATCCTGTGGGACGAATAAAGGATCTCTTAATCTTGATCTTAACACAACTGTTTTAACCTGGTTTGTAAAATTGTCAGAGTATAACCAGTCCCATAATTTCAAGGTGACTGTTACAAATTTTAGCTGGAATTTATTTTGGAATTTCTAATTACTTTATTTAATTTGTGCATTAACTGTACATGCATAGTTGTGTCAACAGTATGTGTCATGGGGAGGCTGCATTTCAGTTTATGCTGCTAGAATCTGAGACAGTCTTCCTGAAAATGTGAGACAAGCTTGTTCTCTGACAATGTTCAAATCCAGTTTAAAAACAGTTCTCTTTAGCAGTGCATTCAACTGAGGGAATTTAACTTCACTCTTTTTAATGTTCTGTGATTATGATTTTAATGCCTTGTATCTTATTTTTTTCAGCAGAAAGTTTAACCGAAGGGGTGCGGTTGCCTCCTTCAGTTAAAGTTGAGTTGCCTTGTGTATGAATTGTGTTATACAGATACACTTGCCTTGATTTGCTTTGCCTTGGATTAAGTGAATACTTTTTATGGCAGGACAGAACCATCAGAGTCTAGTGACAGTTTGTAACAAAGCTAAAGAAAACAAAAGCCTGGGTCCTGGATCTAAAGCTTTTCTGTCTGAGGGAGCGGATCTCTTCCTCTATGTAGGCCTCCCTGAGGTTTCGCTTTTTTCTCACTGTTATTTTTTTAGTTGTTCCTTGCCGATGCAGTAACGTCTATGAAGGGTGATAACTCATTAAATAGATCAGTTCGGGAGAAATTACACATAAAGAACACAAATTAAGTAACAAACTTTATTTAAATTAATTGTTCAATCAGAAAGTTGTATAAATAAGAATTAGCAAAATAAATTAATCTTTTACAAATATGACCTTGAAAGTAACCCACAGTATAATATTTAAAATTGTAAATAGCATTTCAAAAATAGAACTTTTGCATTTATATAATAGACAACAGATCTTAAAGCATTGTAATGTCAATATTGAGATTTAGGTTTATATATCATGTTATATCTATCTATTTACATGTACTTTACACTCACACACAACAGATGGCAGTGGTCCTGGTGCTTATTCTGATTTTGAACAAATAAATACTAACATCATTTGATATAAATAATCTGGTTTGGATTTTACAATGGGTAATCCTACTAAACCACCATGATGCCATACTATAATTTATACTGCCGATCTATGTCTCACAAAGTATCGCAGAGTGTGTGGAAGATGGAATAACTGGTGCGGTTGCCTCCTTCGGTTTGAGTGAAGGTTGGTCAGCTCGCGTGGGGCTCACGAGTAGAACGTGAGCACGCTCTTGTGGTTTCCTCTAATCAGCAAAGTGGGAGGAAGGTTTTGTGTCAAACTGTCGAGCCACGCCATGTACAGGCAGTCAGACACGGAGTCCTTACGCGCTATGGGCATGCTCCTGGAAGAGAGGGAAACAGGGGTGAGCTTTCAAGCATCAGTGCTGCAGAGTATAGAGCTGCATCTAAAGAAAAATCGGAGCGAAATGTTTCAAATGTTCAAAATGCTCTGGGAGAATTCATAGTTGAGGGAAAACAGAAAGAAATGAGCTGTTTGTGGAAGTGAGTTGTATATGGTTCAGACAAGTCAAGTCTCTGATGATGATTTTTCATAGGTCTTTCATTGAGTCTGTTCTGCCTTTTAGTTTTGCTCCCTTTTGGGAAACTGTCCAAAACAGAAGTCGTTTGGGTAAAACTGAGTCAGAGGCCCATCAAATAGTCGGCCAAGGGCAGTCTTGTCCATCTGTGACCAACCCTTGAATTTCCCAGGGTCAGAACAAACGATTTTAAATGTTGATTTGTGGTCTGTGGCAGTTTTTGGTCTTTTGACACATTTACTATTCATTTAATTCATCCTTTCCTTTTACTTCATATTAAGTTCAAACAAAGTAGACTCTGATGGAATATGGCCAAAATATGCTTGATTTGTGTAGATGTGACAGGGCCATCAACAATACCATTACACTAACCATCACATGCAATCCTTAATAACACCTAATACTGCAAAACCACATTATTAAAATACTACTATTACTATGCTACAATGACATCTTCTACTAGTTATTTATTCTGGATCTGGAAGAATCCCAAAGCATTCACAGGCCAGCTGAGAGACATTAGTCCTTCCAAAGTGTCCTGGGACGCGTCGCCGAAGCATCCAAAATTGCCCAAGCCACCTCAACTGGCTCCTCTGTACGTGGAGAAGCAGCGACTCTACTCCGAGCCCCCATCATGTGACTGAGTTCCTCACCCCATCTCTAAGGGAGCCCAGCCACTCTGCGAAGAAAACTCATGTGGACTAACTTTTGGTCATTACCCCAAGCTCATTACCAGAGGTGAGGGAGGGAATGTATTACAATAGTTGGATAGAGCTCTGGGTTGGACCTCGGAGAATCTTGCGCAGGACGCAGCTCCAGATGCTATTACTACACATTCTGTCACTTTCTATAACTATTATGAGCTGGATTCACTTACACAATGATAAGATTAGCCGATTTGGAGTGTTCCTGGAGGAGCTCATTCAGCCGCACCTGCAGGTTGGTCTGTAATGAGAGTTGAATTCATACATTTTATTAAAACATAGCCACATACATGTAGTTTATTTCATTCCTTCATTTTCATCCCCTTTATTAAACCATTCCTGGGTCGGGGGAGTGGCAATCAGAGCGTCCACCCCAAAACTATTATTATATATAATTCAAGGTTATTTCATACTTTCTAATGAACATCTAGCTCTTTGGTCAGATGACTTATTTAATATACAATAGGAAAATAAAATGTATTATAGACATATTTTATGGTATTTCCTATTTCCAACGTTGGTGTTCTCACCTTCTCTTCAAACGTGCTGAGCTCCTCGTCTGTAATCTTCCAGGGAAACTGTTTGTGAAGAGTTTCCGCAGAGCCCCTGGAGTCCTCTTTCAGACGGAACGGGGCAATCATTTCATCCAACTTCTTAAGACTGGAGTCAGAGGTACCAGAAGAAGTGTTAAAAGAGTGGTAAGTGCAGTTTCCCCAGCCCTACTTGGTCCTACTTAAGTCTAATCAGCTCTATACTCTACCATGATTGGGAGCTTTTAAACCAACCCACTTTAACTGGCACCAGGTTCTACTTCAGTCCCTCTTGTCCCTGGTTCTATCCAGGCTGAGCTGGTACTATTGTTCTAACTGACAGAAATTGGCCAGAGTGCGACTTGAAGGCATGGTTAACAAAGAATTTGCCCGGATACTGCTTTGTTGTGGGTGCAAGTGTAATGGAAAGGGAACCCAGTGGAGTAGAGCAGAGTAGAGTAAAGCTAAGTAGGGTTGGTGGAAACATGTTTTTTATCACAATGAATAAATATTATCTATGTTGACTATGAGCATAACAATTAAATTCAAATAATTTTTGTATAGTCCTAAATCTCAACAGCAAAAAATACAGTGAGAAAAAAGTGAGAAGCCTCGGGAAGTCCAACATTGAATTGAACATATTGAATGAGCAGAACAAAATCTCACCTCTCAGATCTGGGGCTGATGTGGAGGTCGTCAATGACTGTGATGTCACTGCAGTTTATTCTGAATTTAACCAACAGAGACTTCATCCTAAGGAAAAATGTCAACAAATCAAAAACTGTAAGATGCATTTAAAAAGCTACAATACTACTAAACACATTTTCACCACAAACACTTAAAGCTGGGGTACCTAACTTTTAAATCGCAAACAAAAGATGTATACATAATACATATACATATACATGCATCTATCTACAGATGTATACATCACGTGTATACATCTGTATACATAAGAGTAGAGAGCATTGTTACAGTGCCTTGCGAAATTATTCAGCCCCCTTGAACCTTTCAACATTTCGCCACATTTCAGGCTTCAAACACGAAGATATAAAATAAAAAATTGTAGTCATGAATTAACAACAAGTGGGACACAATCGTGAAGTGGAACGAAATGTATTGGATAATTAAAACTTTTTTAACAAATAAAAAACTGAAAAGTGGGGCGTGCAATATTATTCGGCCCCTTTACTTTCAGTGCAGCAAACTCAGTCCAGAAGTTCAGTGAGGATCTTTGAATGATCCAATGTTGTCCTAAATGACTGATGATGATAAATAGAATGCACCTGTGTGTAATCAAGTCTCCGTATAAATGCACCTGCTCTTTGATAGTCTCAGGGTTCTGTTTAAAGCGCAGAGAGAACCATGAAGACAAAGGAACACACCAGGCAGGTCCGAGATACTGTTGTGGAGAAGTTTTAAAGCCGGATTCGGATACAAAAAGATTTCCCAAGCTTTAAACATCTCAAGGAGCAGTGTGCAAGCAATTATATTGAAATGGAAGGAGTATCAGACCACTGCAAATCTACCAAGACCCGGCCGTCCCTTCAAACTTTCATCTCAAACAAGGAGAAGACTGATCAGAGATGCAGCCAAGAGGCCCATGATCACTCTGGATGAACTGCAGATAACTACAGCTGAGGTGGGAGAGTCTGTCCATAGGACAACGATCAGTCGTGCACTGCACAAATCTGGCCTTTATGGAAGAGTGCCATTTCTCAAAGATATCCATAAAAAGTCTTGTTTAAAGTTTGCCACAAGCCACCTGGGAGACACACCAAACATGTGGAAGAAGGTGCTCTGGTCAGATGAAACCAAAATCGAACTTTTTGGCCACAATGCAAAACGATATGTTTTGCGTAAAAGCAACACAGCTCATCATCCTGAACACACCATCCCCACTGTCAAACATGGTGGTGGCAGCATCATGATTTGGGCCTGCTTTTCTTCAGCAGGAACAGGGAAGATGGCTAAAATGGATGGGAAGATGGATGGAGCCAAATACAGGACCATTCTGGAAGAAAACTTGTTGGAGTCTGCAAAAGACCTGAGACTGGGACGGAGATTTATCTTCCAACAGGACAATGATCCAAAACATACAGCCAAATCTACAATGGAAGGAAGACTGCTGTTCACAAACGCTCTCCATCCAACCTCACTGAGCTCGAGCTGTTTTGCAAGGAAGAATGGGAAAGAATTCCAGTCTCTCGATGTGCAAAACTGATAGAGACATACCCCTAGCGACTTGCAGCTGTAATTGCAGCAAAAGGTGGCGCTACAAAGTATTAGCGCAAGGGGGCCGAATAATATCGCACGCCCCACTTTTCAGTTTTTTATTTGTTAAAAAAGTTTAAATTATCCAATAAATTTCGTTCCACTTCACGATTGTGTCCCACTTGTTGTTGATTCTTGACAAAACATTTTTTTTTAATATCTTTATGTTTGAAGCCTGAAATGTGGCAAAATGTTGAAAGGTTCAAGGGGGCCGAATACTTATGTGTTTGCTTTATCAAGCCAAAGAAATATTGGATTTTTCAGACCTACTTCAAAACTGGCACAGGGCACATAAAGTATTTTCAATATTGCTGTCACTCACTCAATCTTGTCTTGCTCGGTGCGTCCCGGCTGTCCAGCGATGAAGATCCGGAGTTTGCTGTCCTTCCACTTCTTTCGTGTGGTCAAGATGTACGGCAGCAGCAGAGTCAGACCTGCACCAGACAGAGATGGGCTTTCTTTAGGATTTTGGTTCATCTCTGGTTGCGCGTTTTAAAATTACGAACCTTTTTGTATCAAAAACCTCTGTAATCTCACACTCTTGCTGAAAAACCAATCCAGGCATTGCTATTTCTACTGCTGTCTCTGCTCTGTCTCTTTTGCCAGTCTCTCAAACAGAAATCATCACCTTCCTTTGAATCCAGACTTCCAGATATGTCGCTTCACAATAAAATGACGTCGTGGTCGAGTGAGAAAACATAGTGTCACCACGAGTTCATCATGTCATCTATCCAGAATGGCACAGAACGCAACTTTAGGAGAATTTCCACTAGACCTGTTTAACCAGGTACATCTATTAACCTCTTGGTGCTGTTCTATTCAGGCCGAGCTGTTCTAACCGACAGTGATTGGTCAAAAAGCTGAACCAAGGAATATCCCCAGATACCAGATACTAAAGCACAATGAAAACACAATATTAGTTTATTCCACAATGTGAAAAAAACACATTTAAAGACATATTATACATATTTTTTGCCATTAGAAAATGACAATTAATTTACTTTGTCAATTCAAGCTTTAGAATGAATGTGAAATAATATCGAAAGTAGAAAATATGTGGTGATGCGTTACTCTCTAAGACAACATCAGAGTTCATTACCAGCAGACATCACAGTAAAGATCATTATTTCCAAAACAAATAAATGGGCATTAGAGTGTGATGTCATGATGGTAAAGTTACATCAAAATACAGGACTGAGACTGGAGCTTTTAGACAGAAGGGGCGGAGCTAAATGTTTGTGCCATGAGGGCCTGTTTGATATTGGCATGGATGAGTGTCACCACAATTCCAGGTCAGTTTTTGATGAGGAACAATGTTGTAGCTTGTTTAAAAGCTCAAAGAAGACGGTTTTCATAATATTTCATACATAGATTCAACATACTCTTCTTCATCTTGCTCCAGTTAAGTTTTTCTTTAGTCATCATTTACTTTACCTACAGAATAAACAGTAGCTGCTCGGATAATGCGTTATCCATAAATGATTAGAGTATGATTATTTAATGAGAATGTTTGCAGCGGTGTGGTGAGATCTGAGCCTTGAGTTAAACCGGTGTGAAATCTTTTGAAGGACTGTCTGTGTGCATTTGTCTCCCACAGTCAAGACGCAGGATCTTTGCTCCAGGGAAAAGTCTACTGAACACAACTCAAGGTATAACGCCAAAATATCTTCTGTCAGAGTTCCCCCCAAAGGCACCGCTGCCCATTCTATTAGTATATTTTGAAAATATATGCACACTGTACGTCAAACTGTCCAAGAATGCTAATGTGGACAATCCCAGTAGAAGTGAAGACCTGATTTATGTTTTAAGCTTACGCCGGTGACTGAAAATAACAAAACTACAGCAATACCTCTGGAAAGCATTTGGCAATAGATTTGGCATTGAGGCTGCAAATTCATGAAAATATAACAACAATAATAAGATTTCCGTTTATTTTTGTATAGCCTTAAATCACAACAGAAGGACTTTCCCCCCGTCTTTTGGCTTTCCCTTAGTTCAAATGCAAAAAAATGCCTAAATAATGAAAAACACATATGGGCCTTTCTGTGTGGAGTGGAGAATTTGTAATGCATTTCTTTATTTTTTTTGTGTGCATTCGTTTTTCTCTATATTAAAGAAGACATTTTATGAATTATCTTTCAGCTATTGAAAATGATAACGAGATGTTTTACTTTGTCATTTCATCTCTTAGAATGTGAAATGACATCTTAAGTAGAACATATACAATGAAACAATTTTAGAGGGTAAAAAAAAAAAATACTTTCTGTCTGTAACTCCATATGCTACCACCAGAGGGAGTAGTAGAATCTGTTTTACTTTTGTTCAATTTGGGAAAAACCACGACAATGCATGGGAAGAGCAGCGGATAAGAATGAACCTTCCAAAACTATTGAAAAGGAGGAGCTGTAAGTAACGAGAGGACAATGTTGTTTGAGCAATAGTTAAAACTAAATATTATTCTTGGTGAGAGGTAAGGTACTTAATTTTCAAACCACAAAAAAGGAACCAGGTAATAAAATCCATCTAGTGCTTTGTTGTGAATACAGATTGGTCCTACGGTAGCTTTAGTTTTAACATCAACATATTTTTGGCTGCGCTCTGGGCCCAAAGCATCTAATAGTGACTCACAGGGTTCTTTCAGACAACTGTTCAAAAAATAACTTGTTATGCTCTGATCTCACCACACAAATTGCACAAAAATAGAGTAAAAAATAAGTGACTCAAGCTGTAAATGGTTATATATATAATATTACATCGACAGAAAGGCCCAATAGAACCAGATTAAATTGTTTCCTGGATCAGTTCGGTTCATGGCTTGTCCTGTGTCACTGCTACACATTCTATTCAACAATGTCATTTTGTGAACTCACCGCCGTCGTCGAACAGCCACCACACGTCGATGGTTCCTTTGGGCTGCTTCTTCTTAAACTGGTTACTGGCCAGCACTAGTTTCTCATTCATCTTAGCCACCTGCGGAGGAGGGGGAGCGCACACCGACACTAGAGGGGGCAGATAACACAGGCACAATCAGGGAAAAGTACAAAAACAGATGGAGGAGAGAGAAGCGATAACATTAGTTTTATTTAAGTCCAGTTACATGGACTGAGTTGGAAGATAAATGACCCAATTTATAAGGAGACAGATGAGGATGTCTTCTAAGTATTGACTTCATGGGAATAATTGTGTTTTCTTGTATGTGGCGGCACCACCTGAGAGCCAGATCCTGTCAGACTTCTAAGCAGGGCAGGGCCTGGGTAGTACTGTGATGGGAGATTCCTGGGAACACTTGGTCTTTGGCAAGACACTTCACCCACATTGTCTAGAATGAGTCTGGTGTGTGCTCGTGAGTAGTTGGTGGTGGTGGGAAGAATAATGACATGTCCAAACCAGCGTTGTATGAAACTGATCGTTATTATTATCATTAGTAGTAGTAGTAGTAGTAGTAATAGTAGTAGTAGTAAGGAGCTGCCAAGTCCCCATAAGTTTTGATAAATCCAATTATTGCTACTACTGAAAAAGGCTCATTAAAAACTTTTGCCTGAATTTGGATTATATATTATAATGATGCCTCAGTTTTATACTGTATCTTTCTGGACGTTCAAAGACGCTTCACATGTTATTATTCATTCACTCCATACACAGTGGTGATAAACTATTGCTGTAGCCACAGCTGCCCTGGGGCACAATGACAGAAGAAAGGCAACCAGTATGTGCCATCAGCTTCTCCCACCACCGACCAGAAGTGTCCTACCGAAGAACACAACCACAGTTTGGTGCCGTGGCACCTAAATTTCCCAGAGGTCTCCCATCACTGCAGTAAGTAGGCCCTGCACTACTTAGTTCCAGATGTCAGACGGGTTCTGGCTTTCACCTGCAGGAGGCACCACTGATCAGCCCTTTCAGCCTTTTCTGAGGGGATTTTAAATGTATTTGTGACAGCTCCACTGCTGATGAATCATAATCCTCTTTATTCATTATATCTACGATTCATTTCTATGTAAATTAGAATAAAACAAAGGGAAAAATCAAAAGTATGTCTTAGCTGCATTATATTTGGTAATCACTTGGCAACGAGTTTGAGACTTCATGTACAGTACAACACTATCCAGTGTGTGTCGTACTCATAATAATAATAATAGTAATAATATTGATATTATTATTATTAATAATAATAATACAAAATAAATAATATAATAGATCCACAATCGTACCTCTGGTGGTTAGCACTTGCTGTGAGGAGTTCCTGGACTTCCGGAAGAGTCCTTTGGCTTTTCCTCCGTTGGGCGTCATCTCCTCCTCCAGAGCCTGCTGCTCCTTCGCCGCCTTCAACATCTCATCTGCAGAACACAAAAGGTCAGTTGATGAAATATGTCCATTTTAAATATATTTCGATGTATTAAAAAAATCTAATGTGCATTTACTTATTTGTTTTCTTTTTAACGTTGGATAAAAGTGAAACAATACAGGAGTTTAGATAAGATTTAGTTTGGATGTTTTTATTTCAAACCTGCAGAACACAAATTCTGTGGAGGAGCATCTCGACTGCAATTGTTTTCGGTCACTGGCCGAAAGTTAAAGCATAATTATTTTAGAATCTTATCTTATCTGCAGGAAACAAATCTCAGAGCAGAGTGTATCTCTGTTATCTCTATTGTTTTATTCAATGGTGTAGGTTTGGTTCCAATCTTGGTGGGGACATTCACTACGACCTGAGTCTACACCCATTGGCACGCGGTCCAGAGTTTCTCCCCCAGAATTTGTTGTGTAATCACACACTATATTTGCAATAGTGTGTTGCCTTCTACACTAAACTCAGCTGTAGACTGAATGAGAAGCAGTTAAGGATTTTTTCTAATAGTTAAAACAAAATCAATTGGATCAGAGCTTCTGAGTTTTGTGTTGCGTTCATTCTATACTGACTTAAACCTAATCCAAATCTACATAATAGCCCTCACCTGAGGCTCTAACAGTTCAGGAACTGCTCTCGATACTTGAAATAAATCATGCTCTGATCTTTCAATTTCCTATAATAAATAAAAACAGAGGAGAAAATATTGAATTAGAATCTACAGTGAGTATCTCACTACATTGTTTGACATATACGATCAATCTCTAAAAACAATTCATAGTCCCATGCATACCTACAAAATTCCAACCTCACCTGATGCACTGAAGGGCCTGTTGTTTCTACCTCAACATTCCCTATATTGTTCTCTCTTGTTGGTTGAGTTTCCTATGTATGTTAACAGAAGATTAATCATCACAATTCATAATTTGCTATTACTTGTGCTTTCTCTTACTTACTTTCCAACTGTTAAAAAAGCTCCTGATATCTTTTATCTTTTTTTGTGGAGGTGGCATTTTTTCTAAATTATATAAGAAGGTATAGACCAGGGGTGTCAAACTCATTTTGGTCCGGGGACCACATAAAACCTAATCTGATCTCAAGTGGGCCGGACCAGGAGATGCTCTACAAAAATATCCAAAAACGGTACAAAGTCCAACTTTTTGTGCACATAAACACATTTATTTAAAACTTCCTTTAAAACACTATCCTTTAATACTCAGTTTTCTGTTACAAACTTAAATGTAACGGTGAGTTTTTACGTATTTACAATATTACATTGTAAATGGTATTTCACAATATGTATATTAATATTTGTGTGTTAGCTTTGTTTTAAGGCTCATTACAGAGAAAACCTGCTCACAAAGGTAAAGTAGATAGAAAAAAGCACTAAAACGCAGCACCTCAGCTTAATCATCTTCAGTGTGGTAAGGTCCATGGTTATGTTATTATCACATTAACCATCTTCAGTGTGGTAAGGTCCATGGTTATGTTATTATCACATTAACCATCTTCAGTGTGGTAAGGTCCATGGTTATGTTATTATCACATTAACCATCTTCAGTGTGGTAAGGTCCATGGTTATGTTATTATCACATTAACCATCTTCAGTGTGGTAAGGTCCATGGTTATGTTATTATCACATTAACCATCTTCAGTGTGGTAAGGTCCATGGTTATGTTATTATCACATTAACCATCTTCAGTGTGGTAAGGTCCATGGTTATGTTATTATCACATTAACCATCTTCAGTGTGGTACGGTCCATGGTTATGTTATTATCACATTAACCATCTTCAGTGTGTAAGGTCCATGGTTATGTTATTATCACATTAACCATCTTCAGTGTGGTCAGGTCCATGGTTATGTTATTATCACATTAACCATCTTCAGTGTGTAAGGTCCATGGTTATGTTATTATCACATTAACCATCTTCAGTGTGGTACGGTCCATGGTTATGTTATTGTCACATTAACCATCTTCAGTGTGGTACGGTCCATGGTTATGTTATTATCACATTAACCATCTTCAGTGTGGTAAGGTCCATGGTTATGTTATTATCACAGAGAAAGCATCAAACTGACCATGATTCACTTGAAATGAACAAAACAACTTCCATAACGTGATCCAATCTTAACGACTGCAGCAGTGTCTCTGTGTAAAATACAGTCAAATGTCCAAAAATCATCACCTCCATTTGCAGCTTTGTCACTACACCTGTTTTTACCGTCGGTACCAGTCCACACTGTCCAACACACCAGCAACAACAGCAGAACCAGCAGCAGCACCAGCAGCAGCGCTCAAAACTCCTCTGATAGTTTCAGTAACACCACAAATGAATATGTGACATCAGTAACATCAGTCTCTTATCAATGGCAACATGTTGGTAAAAGCGAGTGGTTTCTCAGACCATGTCTGCAGCCTGTGAGAGTTTAACAAACTCTCTCTCACTGTGCGGCTGCGATGCTAATGCTAATGTTGTTAGCACAGGTAGCTTCCCTTCACAGCAGCAGAACTAACCTCTCGCTCTGGGCACAAACAGACTGCTGTGTCTTCAGGGCCAGACAGGTTTATCTTCTGTTTTCTCAATTCTTCGCTCAAAGTGCCGTATTTTTTGCCGAGTCTTGTAGTTTAAGATGTTATTCCTTCAGCACCGCTCTGGTGGAGCCACTACAGACGCACTGGACTCACCCCTGAGCGCGGCGCTGCGGCGTCGCGTCGCGGAGCCTCGCGTCGCGGAGCGGCTTTTTAAAATGTATTTTTATTATATTTTTACATAAATGAGCCACGGGCCGTGTCAAATCTCTTGGCGGCCGGTTCCGGCCCGCGGGCCGTATGAATGACACCCCTGGTGTAGGTTTCCGGGACAAATCCGGGAGTGACAGGCGCGACGTGTGCACAAACGGACCGTCCGGGTCACGGGACATCATGTCATTTTGGTGGGGACTTTTAGTCCTCACCAAATATTGGTGGGGACATGTCCCCATGGTCCCCACGCAAACCTACGCCCTTGGTTTTATTATTGCTGTTGTAATTGGAATGCTTTAGGTCGAGACGCTTATGTGAGTGACTTTTGTAATCTGTGTGTACGTAAAGCAGAAGATATCCGTTATGTTATTTGTTTTGGTCAATCTAAATGATATTCTAAAGCAGACCGAGGCCACATGCGGCCTACTTCACGTTTCTATGAGGCCCTGGACCTTCTCCTATGCACACATGTCATCCTGTCTCCCCTCTAAATGAACGGGATTCACTGCTCAGTGAATGTTTGCAGCTTCATGTGCTAGAATGGCATGTTATACCTCATAATAACACACAACTAAGCCTTCTTCAACTTTGGTCCAGCTTTGGTTCAATTCAAGAAAAAAGTGAAATCTAAAAACAACTAAAAATACAATCCATATTTAATTGAAAAAAATAATAATTAAATGTTAAAACAAAACTACAGCTGCAGATGTAAAAGATGAGCTAACACAATTTACACAAACATAAAGATGACACTGGGTCTTCAGGTTTCCTTCTCTTCCGCAAATGTGTTTTTATAATAGTTGCCTCCTCCCGCTCAAATGGGAAACATATAACATCCTATTCTGTCCTATTTTAGTTCTGTAACATTGCCACTTGACGATAAGCCATATCTTTAAAGGGCCATTTATGATCCTATTCATTTTCCAGCTGACAAATCTTTATGACATATTGTGCCGGAAACCTTTTTAACATTGCATAAAGCATATCTTATCATTGGACAAAGAAAAACAAGTCTGTCACAAAAAACCAACATGACAAACTGATGCGTTCAGTAATATACACATTTTGGAATCTGAATCTATGTTTTTGTACGGCAGACTAACCCGGCAAACTTCAGATGCGGCCCAAATCACAATTCTATGCTGCCCCCGGACCCTTCCCGGCTAATAATCTCATACTGTCCACTCCACGCCGATACCATTAACCGTAAAAAACCAAAATGTGAAAAGGTTAGAAAATAACAATCAACAATATCCACGGTTGCTGTAGATGAACAGACAAAACACAGGATATTTTGGCTCCATGTTTCCCTTCACTTCTTTTTAGATAATTGTATAACTGCTTATACAGAGAATAGCAAATGTTTTACTAAATTGAAATAAATGTTAACCGTGTGAAAACTAATCGGCCCTCCACAAAATGACGATAACCCCCCCCCCGTTGAACAAGGTAAAACAAATCTCACCTTCTGCTTCGACGATGTGGCCCACGTCTAATCCCTCGTCCATCCTCAGCAATACCATCCCGTACTCAAAATCAAAGGCATCACTGGAAAAACAGATGCACAGGTCAAAAAGTGTATAGTTAAGGTAAGACAATGCAAGTTTATTTGTATAGGACAGTTCATACACAAGGCTGTGGATAGATGGATAGATGTTTATGTCATACAGGACATAAACATCATAAATAATCACAGTACATTATAAAGAGTGAGTGACAGAAGATGCAAGTTGTGCGCACAGCTAAACAGAACATTGTCAGAGTGTTAAGTTATATAAACGCTGCCACCCCATGTTGAGTTCAGACTCCGGGCCAAGCCCTGTGCTACTCAGAGTCCGAGTTGGTTATTGTGGCAATAACACATGAATGTACTTTGGTGCAAGGCCAAGATTAAAAATCCAACAATATTAGTCAAATGTATTTATTTCATACTCAAGGGTAATTGGTCTATATCTAAAGAAAAGCAACACAATTATGACTTCCCTTTTAACTTTTTTATTGCTTGGCTCAGGTTAGGGCTCCTCATAGTCAGGACTAAATGTGAGGAAGCAGTGTTTCAGATTCATGCAGCTCAGATCCGTGAAATGTAAAAAATACACAAATATAGTCTTTGTCCAACAAGTGGTAGACAAAAAGGCTGTTAAAGACTATTTACTGTTTCATTACTGATATTGCTGTGTTTCAGAAGCCGTTACTAATATAAAGACACAAACAATAACAGAAACTATATAGTAATAAAAACTATATTTTAGCAGCTATAGGGTTAACATAGTATTGACTTTGAATACGGGTGGTCATTCAGTATGGATGTGGCTAATACAGTATGGATGTACTTACTGGAGCAGTCCCACATAGTTCTGCACGGCCTCAGCTCCAGCCGTTCTCCAGTTTGTCTTAAATCCCATCATCAGAGTGTTCGGCTTCATTCTCCCCAGACCTGTCGCCTGTGGAGAAGAAAACATAATCACACATAGGTCAATATACTGAAGAGAGATCTGATCATTGCCCACAGATCATATCTATTTTGGTCTTTTTGGTTGTGGATTTTTGGTCTTTCATCCTGGTCAAAATTGACACGATGTGGAACACACAGGGCTCGGACCAGAGCACAGGTGAGCTCCAGCTCCGGACCAAAATTAGTTTGACATCCCTGATCTTGGATCTGGGGCCAAAAATCAAAGTAACAAATCTTGAACATTGTCCCTTTAGAATCTTATATAAGAGACAGAAATAACACAGTAACTCAGCTCCTATGACATAATATCAATGTTGAAGCTCCGCCGAGAGGCGCAGAAACGAGACCTCAACACAACTTTGTATCAACGTAATTTCAATGGGACTGAACGGAGCGAAACGAGCTCGTCCCAGTTTTGATGTTTCTTGTTTACAAACTGGGATCTGACAGTCTAACATTTGTAACAAAAGTTGAATTCAACCTCAAGAGTGACATGTTATAAAGACATCTAAAATCAAAACATAAATAAAAGATTAGATCTGAGCTGCTTCCTTTAACACGTTGAGTTTTGTCGAGCAGAATTGAGACATTCTGAATAACAGTTGTAAAGCAACAACTGTTTCAGAGCTACTTGGGACTTACTGCTGTTTCCAGCGCGTTCAAAAGTAAACTATCACATTCAGACCTAATATACATGTATTTGGTGGTAGGGAAAACCGGAGCACCTGGAGAAAAACAACACAGACACAGGGAGAACTTTCGAACTCCAGACAGAAAGGCCTGTAGGTGGAATCGAACACAAGACCTTCTATGCCACAGTGCAAATCTAAAGCTGTCACAGAAGATAAAAAATGAGAAATGGGAGATAATAAGTGATGAGCAGAGACTGTTAAGGGAGATAATTGAATTCAGGTCTATAATTTCACCCTTTGTAAATCAGATACCTCATCTTCAGGTCAATGGAAAGTAGCAGCTGTTTTAGTCTCCTCAGTGAATGAATGTCCACAATAGATTATATTATGAGAAGTCACGCTCGTATCGCTCTAAAGAAACGCTTACAGTCTTGTGTTAATCAATTACAGCTCTTAATCCAGCGTTAGGTCTGAAGTATGTGATCTCTGACAACGAGCCCAGGCCTTATCTTCACACTAAGATGCCGCGCTGGTTATAAAAGGTTTTCTGTTCGGCATTAACTTTGACGTTTTACACCTGAAGTCCCGACAGACGCAACACGCTGCTCGTAAACTGACAATAGATACCAGAGAGAGAAATGGGCTGCCAGATTTAGCTGCAAAGCATAATCACTGCAAGTCCAATAAAGTCTGTTATTTTCTTGAGTGTGTGAGATGGAGCCTTATTCATGGTTATGAAGTGTAAATAAAAAACAAGAATTTGCGATTATAAGGTGTTTTGTGGACTAATTGATTATGATATGGGAGAATAGACCCTACAACTACGCTAGAACTGATTCAAATAGGCAAAAACAAAAAATCTGACACTCCAGCAGATGGCAGTGTTGAGCATTCTAGTTATCTCTAATAGCATAATTCCCATCATGTGGCACCCCCTGTGTGCGAAAGCCAGATCCTGTCAGACCTCTGTAGCTAAGCAGGGCAGGGTCTGGTTAGTACTATGATGGAAGACCTCGGGGAAAACCAAGCAGGTGTGAAGTGAAAAAAAACTGTTGTTGCGTCCTTAGGCAAGACACTTAACCCATATGGCCTAAAATGAGTATGGTGTGTGTGATCGGAGGGGCCGATGGCACACACCTGTTGCATTGCCGTTAGTAGAAATAGTGGAGTGACTGAATAATATTACAAAAACCAAAGCATTATTATTATCCTCATTACGATTTTCTACATCATGCCTCTGTAGATTAGTTACTTTAATTATACATTTCTATCATATTCCTGATTACTTCTGTGTTTTTAAAGTGATGAACTGTCGAGTTTTTGCACACACCTGCAGGAGGGCGACCGCTCCTTCTCTGAAGTCTTCACAGACCACTCCGGTGTAGAAAGCCTTTCTCTTGGCCTTGCGCAGGTACAGCTGGTTCTTCTCCATGTTGGCGTTCATCTCCTCCAGAGCCTCTGATCTTGGACCCTGTGTGGAGAAGGCTGTTGGTATTCCAGTCACGCTTTCACCCTGGTGTGAGGTAGCCTGCTTTTCCCCAATGTTTCCCCTGCTTAATATTCCCTTACATTTATACATCTGTACTCATTTGAATCTGTGTGATGTGCAAATAGGGTTTTAAATGAAGTGCTGATATTTCAAGAGTAAAGTAACTAGTTGTAGACATTTGTATGCAGTCAAAAGGCTGGTAAAAAGTCAGTGTGCGGAAATCTGTACTCATCCCAAAAAGATTGATTTACAGATTTGGATTTACAAAACAGACTCTACTACATATGTGTTTTATATGATTAAAATGACTTCTGTCTGATTAACAAACACTAGAGGGATAATGCAGTAAAATGACAGATACAAACACATTTGGTACTCAGAAACAGAAAGAGCTTTTGAGTTTTGCGCATCTTAAGCCCTGTTTCCACCAGCCCTACTCTGCTCGATTCTACTCTATCTGGTTGCGTATCTATTACGCTTTTATATCTAGTACCCAATCCTAGCAACATACCCGCAACAAACCAGTATCCAGAGAAATTCCAGCAGCAAGTCAGTTAGAATACTTCAGTGCCAGCTCGGTCTGGATCGAACCAGAGTAGAGTAGAGTAGAGTAGAGTAGAGTAGAGTAGAGTAGAGTAGAGTAGAGTAGAGTAGAGTAGAGTAGAGTAGGCCAAAATAGTGCTGGTGGAAACAGGGCTTTAGTGGTATCAAACCTCCAAAAATGTAGGATTTTACTACAATACATCCAAACAGTAATTTTGCCAATATGTTGAAAACTATTTATAATGACAAAAGACCTCATTGGCAAATGTAGTGTCTAGGGTTCGTTAATGTAACATAAAAAATCTAAAATGCATCATTTTTATTATATTTGCCCCTTGGCCATCGTTGGGAGAGTGTTTAGGAAGCCCGGGCCCATTGTACCTATAGTTCAATTTTCTATATAACATGGTGGTGATAATGTTATTATAATGTTAACATTCCTTACCACGAACACTTCGCACGTGAGACACATGCCGAAGGACTTAGTAAAGGAGTGAGCCAAGTCCAGAAGAGCTGGTCTGGTCCGAACCGAAGCCGTCAGAACCAAGATTTGAGGTCTGAAAATAGAATAATGGGGATACTTGAGATATGTATTTATGCCTAAAAGTAAGCAATACAAAACACAAGCAACCATAATACGATGTGACTACTGCATCCGTCATCACTGCTCCTGGGCTCCTGGAAGAAGCCAGAAGAATGCTAAACAGGAGGTGAGTCAGGGGAAAAATCACTCGCACAAAGCAAAAGCAGACAAGTTGATCCACAAATAAAATTGAGACAAAACTATTTGGCCATACAGCAGCGATGGAACAACTTTTAACAGGTCCTCTCCGCGAGCTCCCGGAAAGTTGTTTTTCAAAGCTGTTTTCAGTAATAAATGAAATGCGATTTGAAGTGAAGTTGTGGGACTACTTTTCTCCAGCAAAATATGTAACTGCTTTGCCTTGAGTGCAATATTCTACCGTTTTACATTCCCTGAGAAAAATAAATGAGGAGTATTTTCAAGCAATTGTTGTGGCCATAAAAAATATTGATAATTGAAAATACTGCGTGCAACTTTAATGCCTACAGGTTCTCAAGTCCATTCATTCATGTTTTTGTAAAGCCCAAAACCACAACAGCTATTGTCTCTGAGGACTTTACAAAGTTGGTGATTTCTCAACAACAGATCCAAGGATAAAACTGTTCGGACCCAGAAAATGCAATAATAACAAACACCTTGGAGCCATTGGTCAATAGGGAGCGGAATGACCACTGTCCATAAATGTTAAACTTGACTTGTTGCTTCTATTTTATATGTCTTCTTCTAATGTCCAGATAAGAAAAGATAAGGGCAAAAAGTTGCTGACAAAGGATAGATCCAGATCAAAGCAGGTACTAAAGAAAGACCTGGTACCGGTTAAACAGGGCCAGTGGAAAGGCTCCCAATCGGTACAGAGTAGAGTATAGATAGGGCCAAATGGGGCTGGAGGAAAGAAGGCTATAAAGCATCAAAACTTCAAAAATTACTTAATTTCATTAGATTTTTATAAATGTGCTTGATGAACCTAGACTATTATTTCAGACTGCTATCAAGATGTTTCACACACTACTTATTTCTTTAGTGGGCCTTGTCCACTCACTCCACACAGAGATGGGAGCGAGGTGGCCATACAGGAGGCGCATGCTAGACCTATTGTACATGTTTGAATGGTAGGGGAAACCGGAGCACCCAGAGGTGACACGGGGAAAACATACAAACGCCGCACAGAAAAGTAAATTCATTATATTATTGATGTCTGATTTGAATACCTGATATGTGTTCTTTAAATCCAGCAATAAGCACAAACAAATAAGATATGTACCTGAAGTTCTTGACGTGCTCATTGACCCCGGACAGAGAGAGAGCGTTGTTCACTGCACTAACATAAGTCACAGCTTGAGTCGAAGATCCCCAATTCACATCTGTAGACATCAGGGTCATTAAACACAACACAGCCACAGAGAGCGCACCTGCACACGTGTATTTCATCTCTTTCACAGCTCACCGGGTTTATTGACAGTGACATAAATGTATAGCAGGATCTCGATGCCGTAGGTGAGCAGAGCGGCCCACCAATTTATCACAAACATCACAGCGCAGCACAGGATGGCCCCCAGCAGAGACAGCCACATGTTGTAGAATTTGTAAGCTGGTCTCCACCCTGAACGAGCAGACACAAGGAGATGAGAGAGACGATAGACAACACAAGATAACTGAATATTAAGTGTTGCACAACTTAAAAACATAGAATATAATCTCTATGTTTAGCTTACTAAAGAAACAAAGTATAAAAAGTTAAGCATATGAACCAGTGTACACAAGTGAAAAGAAATATATAGGCTCCTTAAAAGGTATGGATTTATAGATAAATCTGTAATATACTTAAGTGCAAGAGTATTGAAGTAATGCTGTACGTCCTCAGCTCTGGGGTAAATGTAAAGATGCACTTTATTTATCCCTGTATGGCTTTTCATCCTCTGCATTTGACCCATCCTGATGTTGCTAGGGCAATCGTCACAATAGTACAGCGCCCGGGGACCCATCCCCAGATGTTGCTCGGTTTGGTCACGACTACCGTAGCTGGAGAATTTTACGTACTGTGCATGTTTTTAGTGGTAAAATACAAGTGTATCTTCTGCAAGCTTGTACAAAAGAGCCTTGACTATTTGTACTTCTTGAACGCTTTACGGTGAGAGCTGATTGAGGGTGGTCCTCTCTTTTTCAGTAAAAAGCTGATCTATAGATGTGACAGAGGACTTTTGAGATAAAGGTAACATGGATACATAGCTAATGTTTTGTGGCTTTTAAATCAGGTGCTTTAGCTTTGATAGTGGGGTAAACAAATTGGTCAACAAATAATAGCACTGCTTTGCTTGATTTACAGTAATAATGGTTTTGATTACGCCTTCAAAAGTACTTAAGTAGACTGCATGAATATTACTACAATGGAACCATGACTTACCGGGTGATTTGGCCCAGGATGCATGGAAGCAGGAGAAGTTAATGAGAGCGTATGAAGCAAGGAAGAAGTTAGAGATGATTGGAGCGATGGTGTTCAGGTCGCCTGTATGTAAATGAGGAATCATTAGAGAAATAATATAAACTGGTAAATGCCAAAAGTGACACAAGCATTGTACTGACCAATGAGAATAAAGGCCACAGAGATGATGAAAGTGAGGATGTAGCCGCGGATCGGTTCGTCGTTCTTGCCGTGTCCTTTGGCAAAAAAGTGCAGGATTTTGTAGATGTTGTCTTTGCAAAGAGCCTAAAACAAAATGATGTTCCAATGCAGTTAATAACATGATATACATGTTGTATCTCTTGGTTAATTATCTGAAAAATTTATGAGTATATTTATACTATATAATAAATAAAGTAATCTAAATTGGACATGGTCTTTGTTTTTAGTAGTACCGACCTGGAAAACTTTGGGGGCGCTGACAAGAGAGGCCAGAGCGGAGGAAAGTGTGGCAGAAAATGTCCCGGCGATGATCAAGGGACCGAATCCAGAGACCATGGTCATAACCTGGATCACAGACACAAATAGTAATGTATAGTATAGTAATGAGCATGTGAGAGTGTGACACTACTGTACGTGTTAGCAGCATGTGATACTACTGTACATGTTAGCAGCATGTGATACTACTGTACATGTTAACAGCATGTGATACTACTGTACATGTTAGCAGCATGTGTTACTACTGTACATGTTAACAGCATGTGTTACTACTGTACATGTTAACAGCATGTGTTACTACTGTACATGTTAGCAGCATGTGATACTACTGTACATGTTAGCATGTGATACTACTGTACATGTTAGCAGCATGTGATACTACTGTACATGTTAGCAGCATGTGATACTACTGTACATGTTAGCAGCATGTGTTACTACTGTACATGTTAACAGCATGTGATACCACTGTACATGTTAGCAGCATGTGTTACTACTGTACATGTTAGCAGCATGTGTTACTACTGTACATGTTAACAGCATGTGATACTACTGTACATATTAGCAGCATGTGATACTACTGTACATGTTAGCAGCATGTGTTACTACTGTACATGTTAACAGCATGTGTTACTACTGTACATGTTAGCAGCATGTGATACTACTGTACATGTTAGCATGTGATACTACTGTACATGTTAGCATGTGATACTACTGTACATGTTAGCAGCATGTGATACTACTGTACATGTTAGCAGCATGTGATACTACTGTACATGTTAGCAGCATGTGATACTACTGTACATGTTAGCAGCATGTGATACTACTGTACATGTTAGCAGCATGTGATACTACTGTACATGTTAGCAGCATGTGATACTACTGTACATGTTAACAGCATGTGTTACTACTGTACATGTTAGCAGCATGTGATACTACTGTACATGTTAGCAGCATGTGATACTACTGTACATATTAGCAGCATGTGATACTACTGTACATGTTAGCAGCATGTGATACTACTGTACATGTTAGCAGCATGTGATACTACTGTACATGTTAGCAGCATGTGATACTACTGTACATGTTAGCAGCATGTGTTACTACTGTACATGTTAGCAGCATGTGATACTACTGTACATGTTAGCAGCATGTGATACTACTGTACATGTTAGCAGCATGTGATACTACTGTACATGTTAGCAGCATGTGATACTACTGTACATGTTAGCAGCATGTGATACTACTGTACATGTTAGCAGCATGTGATACTACTGTACATATTAGCAGCATGTGTTACTACTGTACATGTTAGTAGCATGTGATACTGTGATATATGTGATATATGTTCTTTTTTTAATGCATCTAAAACATGAAATGACAGCGTAATAAGTCTCTTTATTGTTTTGAATGGCCAAAGAGCATCATATGTCTTCTTTAAACTAATCTTCTTTTGTATATTTACCTGGAAGTTGTTCATGAGCCCATATTTACAAGCCGTAACTGCGCAAGAGGTGAAGTTGTAGCCCAGCTCACACGCAGCGACCGCGGTGCTGCCAATACACTCCATGTCTCCGGCTGTGATGTTATCAAACACATTTCCAGTGGCATCCCTCACCACAGTGGCAGCTGGAGACATCAAATACATACAACTATTATATACACATCCAGTTTTAAACAGTGAAATGAAGGAAATTTAGCTTGGAAGAACTAAGCTCCCTGTGGTCAAGTTCTCCCTTCATTCATGCAGCAACCCTCCTCCTCCCCGTCACCACCTCATTGTATGTGCTTATTCATTAGAAACATACAATTCTAATAAACCCTTTCTCCAGATTGAATTGTACTTACAGACGACGAGAGCCACTCCGAGGTACGTGACACCAGTGATTGCAATCGCCAACAAGGTTCCTTTAGGGAGGGCAGCTTGAGCGTCCTAGAAATCATAATATTTGTTTTGATGATTACATTTTTGACTGGATGGGGTGCACACCTGAAGAAGGATTGAGTGATAAAGTTTTGTTTGTAAAAGTTAATTTAAGTACAAATTTAAATTCCTTTAATCCATTTCTGGGTCAGGGGGGTGGCAATCAGAGATGCCACCCAGGTCTCATAGCACCAGCCCCTCACTGACCCTCTGCAGGTGGTGAGTCCACAGGAGGACAGCTGCTCTCTGAGTGTGAGCATAGCCTTGATCTTTCAGTGGGGGCTTTGGGCAAAGTGGGGTTAAGTGTCTTGCCCAAGGACACAACGACAGCAGTCATCAGTGGGAGTCGATGGAGCGGGTGCAGAGGTGGGAATTGAACCCACGACCTTCTGGCCTTAAGGCCAATGCTCTACCAACTGAGCTACTGTCGCCCCTATGAATTATTTAATAATAATATGACTATTCATATTATCATTATTAGTATTATTATCAGTAGTAGTAGTAGATTTATTTTAGTCAAAAACCACTTCTTACTTTCAAATCTCCAGAAATATTTGCCCCTGCGAGGATCCCAGTGGCAGCAGGGAAAAAGATGGAGAAGACTGTGAAGAAATTCTCTGGTCCTCGGAAATCCGGGGCAAAATTCTCCATGAATATCCGCACTGCAAAAGAAACACCATCATGATTTGATGAACGTCCGTCAATGTAAACCTTTGCTTGTTTAATGAGTCCATTCTCACAGTCGTAGTTGAAGAATCCCTGAGATTTCTTGCTCTCGGTTGCAGGAATGACGGTCCCCACAAATACGTTGACAATGGCCACTAACAGGACGACGAGGAGGACGAGCTGAGCCTGAGGAGGCAGAAACAAACAGTGGTGTTGACCAATAAATAATCTATCTATCTATCTATCTATCTATCTATTGTTAATTGTTAGGGGACAGAACGTAACAATTACATTTCAAAGTATTTGGATTGTTCAGCACCCTATGTACCAACGGTTCCTATGTAAGTAAGTAAATTCATTTATTTGCCATTTGTAGTGAAACCACATTGGAAGACATCCGAAAAGTCCCCAGTGTGCACTCGACAAGCACGTAAATATAACAGATTGAAAATACATAAAACAGGAAACACTGTGACATTGATTGACTAAAACAGTTTTAATACAAGTGCAAGATAATTAAAGTGCTCTGTTCAAACTGATATTAGCTTGTGGAAAGAAGCTGTTAGCATGTCGAGATGTCCTGCATCTCAGAGAACGATATCTTCTGCCAGTAGGAAGAAGCTGGAACATGGCTTTTCTAGGGTGGCCAGAAAAGTCATAATCTTCATGTCTATTATTATCTTTATTCATAAAGTGCATTTCACAGACCAATGTCACACAAAGAGCTATACAATGTTGTGGAGTACAGCTATTGTACCGTCTCTTGAACTGTTCGAAATGTTTGTTTATCTGATCTGTTGTTGGCGAATCAACAACTTTGTAAAGTCCTCTGAGACGACTGCTAATGTACGGAGCCCTGCAAGGGCCAGGGGTAAAAAAATAAATAAACTGTGCGCACAGATTATTAAACTGTGCGCACAGATTGTTAAACTGTGCGCACAGATTATTAAACTGTGCGCACAGATTGTTAAACTGTGCGCACAGATTACTAAACTGTGCGCACAGATTACTAAACTGTGCGCACAGTTTAACAATCTGTGCGCACAGTTTAGTAATCTGTGCGCACAGTTTATTTATTTTTTTACCCCTGGCCCTTGCAGGGCTCCGTACTAATGTGATTTAGGGTTGTACAACAAAACAATTAATTAAGCCCCATCAGTGAACTAATCTTCCTGAAGTCCATCACCATAATTACAATCAGCAAAACTATTTAAAAACTATCAGCAATGACACAACCTTGGTCTTTGTTCAGCTGGGGCTTCAGGCAGAGGCGGGGTTAAAGTGTGTTGCTCAAGGACACAATCACAGCCGATATTAGTGTGAGTAGGTCTTCAGGATCAAACCCACGACCATGGGACCAGAAGACACGATACTGTTAGTGTCATGGTCTAGGTTTATTTCCTATTTTATTTTGTATCTTATGAGCTCTGGGTCTTCCTCAGTTCCACTTCCTGTTGCCCCGCCCTCATGTGTCTCACCTGTGTCTCGTTAGTCGGTAGTGTATTTAAACCCTGTGTGTTCCTTCACTTCCTGTTCCATCATTGTCAATGCCATGTCTCTTTCAATTCTTGTTGTCCCTGTTTTGGTTACTTTGTGTTGTCTACCCTGGATTTTGTATTATTAAATGTAAAATTTTTTGCAGTTCAGCATTTTGGGTTTTGTTCTTTTTGACAAATGACATAAAGTTTTTCCATCCGTTGTGATGTATTAAAAAGACGAGAGCGAGACTTTCTGCTGGGTGTCACATCATTGATATATGTTCGACAACGCGATTAGAGGCCTCTCACCTTTGCCTCCCATTCCATCCCTGCCACAGAAATGCCCAGGAGCAGAACCACAGTGATGCAGCCCACGATGCGGATGTCGTTCAGAGGGTCCACCATCAGAGCGTTGTTGTCCTGGATACAGCGTTAAGACAGATGTATTGATTGATTACACATCAGCAATGCAATCCTCTCAAGACCGCAGTAACACTCTGACTCCCAGAAATCTGAAACTACATGAACGCCCAGAGACGCCCTTTTGACTGCTCCCATTCAGATCAAATGAAATCTTGAGTTTTTCCATCAGTTTTATATTTGAAGTAAGTACCGTAAGTGTTCATCTTTTCTCACTTTTAATATGTGCTAGAACTGGTTAATATGACTTGAAATACAGCAAAAAACAGTTTGATTAAAGGCTATAAAATGCTGACTGGTAACGAGTAAACACTGTGTTGCTATGGTAACCAGTGCTGACTCTTCTCCGGTGAAATCCATGGGAGCCTGGGAGATAAAGGGATAACTACTCTAATCTAAAAAAAAAATCAACTATGTAAACAAAAATGTGCATTAGCTGAGTAATTACACAAAATTAAAATCCGGCGAAATGACTGCTCTGGGAGTTCTAGAGCAGTCACATTGATGGGGTTCTATCTATTTTTCTGAAGTTACACACCCCAGCTTTAAAGTTCTGATGTAGAGTGTAAGTGTGTGTCTCATAATGTCAGTGGGAATATTTTAGCAGTGCTTTGTTAGGGACTTTTCCAGTACTTTAAAGGACTTAAGTACTCTAAAGTTGGTAAGATACGATAACTTTAACTTTGTTTCCTCACCAGCAGTATTTCCACCACAGTTTCTGCAAAGCCCACCACGTACATAGCCACCGCCACTGCGTTGGCAAAGGCAAAAATCAGACCGATGGATCCTCCGAACTCTGGCCCCAAACTTCGGGAAATGAGGTAATACGCTCCGCCTGAAAAAAACGAAATAAATGAAGGTGGTGTTTGTATCCGCAGGACAGGACAGATGAATGAACTCATCACTGTCTCATTGATCTGATGTCTGAGGACAAAGTATCAAGCTGCAGTTTGGGTCAATACACACAATACACACAATACTCTTAGCACTAAAACTCCCAGAGCGGCCATTTATTTGTTTGTTATTACTCAGCTAAGGTACATCTTTGGTACATCCAAGTCATGTTAGAACCATTTGAACCAACTTGGACTCTGAGGAGCACAGGGACTGGCCTCCTGCTGGTCCCAGAGTCGGGACTAAACATGGACAGTGTTTCAGATATGCAGCTAAATCTGGGGCAGTCTCCCTGAAAGTGTGAAACAGGCATCTTCAAATCCAGATTAAAAATGTATCTGTTTAGCTGTTCATGCAACTGAAGGATTGTATCTTATTTGGACCCAATTCAGCTATAGCTGAAGTACAATACTTAATGCGTTCACAAATAAAACAGTTATCAGAATACAGACATGCCTAACTTGTAGAGTAGACTGCAAATACAAAGTATAGAATTTCATAATATAAAACAACATCTATTCTATTCATCTATTTGTAGAACTTGGCAAGAGCTCTGGTGTGTGTCGTCTCTGTCTGGCGCACACCGGGGTAGTCTTGCACAGTTTTTCCAATGTGGTTTTACTGCAAATGGCAAATAAATGAATCTGAATCTGAACTTTTGTCAAGTGAAAAGTAAAAAAATATATACCGACATCTATTGTTTTAAAGTCTGGGGTGACCTTACCTCCTCTGACCACTCCGTTGGTGCAAATGGCCGACATCGAGAGAGAGGTGGTGGTGGTAACAACACAACTCAGAGCGATTACGACGATTCCCAAACCTGAAGCACAAACAAATCATGTTAAACGAATAGTAAGTGTTAGATACAAAATAAACATGAGCTATGAGTCCACAGATAATGCTAAAGTTTACTCTTTCAGTATAGTAAAACTTTTTGGTGAAATCCTCTTGGAGAAAAGAGGCTGTCATTGAATGTTGGTTGCCCAACGAGTTGAATTTTATACTCAAATGAATGGATTATTTTTGTATTAATTATTAATTATTAAAATATAATTTAATACAAATAGTTATGATTAGCAGAAGTGTACATACTAACATACACTGACTAATTATACTCCCAAACCAAACGCTGTCGGTGTGACTGCTGTGGGCTTTGGTGGACAAAGATAAGCAAATTCTCACTTGAATTGAGAAAGAAATTGCCTGCTAATTTTTCAGATTTTTTTTTTAGGACAGCCACAAACTTCTTCAATCAAGCATTTTCTTCTGTTTTTTTCCGAGCTCCAAACCCCTGTTTTGTGCATTGCTTATCTGCTGAAAACCATTTAGTAACGCTGCCGGCGAGACAGTTTGAATCAATAGCCTTTTAAACTCTCCCCTCACACGTGAACCGCACCATAATCTCACACACAGACTAACTGCTGCAATCTGACCCACAAAACTCCTCCAGCTTCTTCGGATCATGATACCAACTCCGTGCTCAGTTCCATTAACTTGGCTAATTGTAGTTCAGAGATACAGTATGCTGAGAGCCAGGGATGACAAGTCCGCTGCAAGGACTGTGACTGAAACTACAGTAGCAGCAGATTTTAATTGAAAAAAAGCATTCAGTGAGAAAGCCTTCCTCCAACACACAGCACCAGTATAATTGTGTTTGTGACCTTTAAAGAGGCTATATGGAAGTTTCACCACTAAAATTTCTTCCACATACATTCTACGTCATGGTGCTACGTCCCTTAGGACTTCGCTAGTGGGATATCACTCGTGACCCCCAGGTCACACGCCAGAGAGATCAAAATAATTTGCTCCAATCACCAGCCACCCTCCTCTATAAATGCCCCTGCACAAGGCCGCACCCCCTCTTTCACTCTGGCGCCGTTTGAGATCTACCACAGTACTTACTTCATTCTGAGATGTCTTCCTTGTTCGTCCGAGTTCCCTTCGCCCTCCGGCGTCGGACGTCGTCACTGGATCCAGACGGTGGAGGACTTCACCTCTGTGGGTGCCACCACTCGAGGAAGGAGGAGGATGCAACCCACGTTGTGCCCGCGGATGGACCCGTTCGTCCATTACGCGACACGTGAGTGGCCTAAGCCCCTAGCAGCCAAGAGGCCTGCTCTGGGGTACGACATATACTGCAGCGGGCAGGACTGGTCCTGGACCGGTGATCGAGGATTCAGTCCGCATGGCCCTGCAGCCCTCCGCATCCGTGTGGCCCGGCACCAGACCTCTCCTTCCCTCCGAGCGGGACAGGATGTCTTGCCGATGCTGGACAGATGTTATGCCAATGCGGCACAGGTCGTCACATTGGCTAACAACATGACTTTCATCACGGGGGCCCTGGATAGGTCGCTCTCCTCTGGCCAGGCGCTCAGTGGAGACCTAAGGTCACAGGCGAGGACCACCTCGGCGGCGATCCTGCGCATGTGCCAGACGCTAGCCGTGGATGGTGGCCCGGACACCGAGGATCCAGTCCGCATGGCCCTGCAGCCCTCCGCATCCGTGTGGCCCGGCACCAGACCTCTCCTTCCCTCCGAGCGGGACAGGATGTCTTGGCGATGCTGGATAGATGTTATGCCAATGCAGCACAGGTCCTCGCATTGACTAACAACATGGCATTCATCACGGGGGCCCTGGATATGTCGCTCTCTTCTGGCCAGGCGCTCAGTGGAGACCTCCTGTCACAGGCGAGGACCACCTCGGCGGCGACTCTGCGCATGTGCCAGACGCTAGCTGTGGATGGTGGCCGCTCCATGGCAGCAGCCCAAGTCGGGGCCAGGTACCTTTGGCTTGGGCTGGCTAACAACAGGGAGGCGGAGAGGAGGCAGCTGCTGGACCTGCCCATCTCTCAGATGTCCCTCTTCGGCCCGGACATGCAGGCCTTGGTGGCGAGACTGGAGTCTGCAGCTAAAGACTCGGCTAGGCTAGCCCCGCACCTAGCACCGAGGCGCGAGGCCCACCAGCCATTACGGAGCCGGGACAGAGGCAGAGAGCGTTCGCCCGGGAGGCGCCCTGACCCGTATCCGCGCTCTGTTGTCCATCGTCCCCCCTCGACGAGGCCCCCGGGTCCAGACAGGCCCATGGGTGGCTCGCGGGAGCAACGCACCCACCGCCGACCTCCCTATGGCAGAGGAGGTCGGGGTGGAAAGTTTTCCTTCAATAAAGGCCGACCGGCATTTCATCATTACTTGTTTCTGAGTCTCATTTGGGGGTATGTAACATGTCAAATAATGTGAATTCTGATTGTGTTACTTCCCGAGCACATAACGTTGCTCCGCTAGGCCTGCAGCCCCCAGAGCAGGGTGTGCAGTGCGCTACGCGAGCTACGAGCTCCGGTTCTCTGGTTCATGCTATGCCCTCCCAGAGAGAGGTCAGGCGGAGGGATCTGGTGAGTAATGATGTGTGTGCTTCGGCCGAACGCGTGTTAGCATCTCTGAGCTACAAGGCTAACACGGGGTCTCCCACTCCAGGGGCTCGCCCCCCCCTCCATGAGGCAAGAGCCAGGGGGGGCACAGCAGCCGAGTCACGTGGGATGAGCAGTCCCGTACTTATGACGTCGGGCCTGCAGGACACGTGACCGCCCCCGGCGCTCACGGTGTGACGCAGGGGGCCCCCCCGGCCCTTTCGTCCACCCCCCCTCCCTGCTAAGAACACCAGGAGAGGGCGGGGCCGTGACGTCTCGTGTTCCAGCTCCCGTTCCGCCCCTCACAGACTTCTACAGCATCTGGAGGGAGCAAGGTTGCTGACAGATTTATGGCTGGAGAAAACATTGCGCAGGGGTTGCGCACTGCAATTCTCCCGAAAGCCACCACCATTCCGAGGCGTACGGGCAGCACGCTCTCAGGTACGGGGATCATTAGAGGCACTGCAAGCGGAGGTCTCCTCCCTGCTGAGTCGAGGCGCAGCAGTGGAGGTAGACCCGCAGGACGCCACCAGGGGGCTGTACTCCCCTTACTTCTTAGTGCCAAAGAAGTCAGGCGGGGTGCGTCCCATTTTGGATCTGCGCGTGTTGAACGAGTGCATTTCCAAACGGCAGTTTCGGATGCTGCCCACAAAGCAGCTCCTCGAGTGTGTCAGGCAGGGAGATTGGATATCCTCCATAGACCTGACAGATGCGTACTTCCACGTGCCGATAGTGCCGGAACACAGGAGGTTTCTGCGCTTCGCAGTGGGAGAGAGGAATTACGGTTACTGCCGTCTCCCCTTGGGCTACGCACTCGCGCCTCGCACTTTTTCCAAGTGCGTGGAGGCAGCACTGGAGCCGCTCAGACGCGCAGGGGTAAGAATTTTAACCTACATAGACGACGGGTTAATTCTGGCCGTGAGTCATACGCACTGGGTCCTGTCCCACATACAGCGTCTGGGCTTTGTGGTAAACAGGGAGAAATGCAAGCTGCAGCCGGCTCAGCGCATGATTTATCTCGGTCTGCAGTTAGACTCTGTGACATTCTCTCTCGGGCCAACACGGAGACGCTGATGCATGCTTTTATAACCAGTCGCATTGACTACTGTAATGCCCTGCTCTCTGGTCTTCCCAAAAAGAACATTTCAGGTTTACAATTACTCCAAAACTCGGCCGCACGTGTCCTGACTAAGACCAGGGGGCGGGACCACATTACACCGGTTTTAAAATCGCTGCATTGGCTCCCCGTGTGTTTCAGGATTGATTTTAAGGTTCTCCTAATGGTTTTCAAATGTCTTAATGGTCTTGGGCCTTCTTATCTTTCAGAACTGCTTTTATCCTATGAACCCTCCCGGCCCCTGCGCTCCTCCGGCAGCAGACTCCTAACCATTCCAAAAGTCAGGACACACACTCACGGTGAGGCGTCTTTCCAACACTACGGCCCCCGTCTCTGGAACAGTCTGCCGGAGGAGCTCAGGGTCGCAGAGAACATTCATATTTTTAAAGCCAGGCTCAAGACACACCTTTTTAGATTAGCTTTTGATTAGTATTTATTAGTCCATTTTTATATATTCTATTTATCCTTTATTATTTATTATATTGCTATTGCTTTTATTCATGTTTTGTGTGATAGTTCCTTTCAGGCTCACATTTTAGTGTTTTACTTATTGTATTGTTTTTAAGTATCCCCAGTGTTTCCTCTGGAGGAGCCCTCTGCGCTGGGAGCGGTGGTTGGCTGTGGCTGTGGGGGTCGGACTCTTGGACCTGGTGGGGGCCCGGGGCCTCGGTTTTGGGTCCCCTCTGGGTCCTGTGTCGTCCCCTTTGGCTATGGGCGGCTCTCTGCTCCTGGCGCTGACGGCTCCTTGGATGGCGTTTCTTCAGCCGGTTGCATCTGAACCCTGCCAAGTCTCTTATCATCGTTTTATTGTTTTATCGGTGCGTGTGTGTGTGCGCGTGTGTGTGTGTGTGGGGGGGGGGGGGGGGGGGGGGGTTTTGCTTGTGGTCTGGGGAGGGTCTGTTGAGCGGTCGGGGGGAGGGCATGGGCAGGATTGTTTTTTAGCCAAACTGTAAAGCACTTTGTGTTGCATCTGTTGTATGAAAAAGCGCTTTATAAATAAACTTTGATTGATTGATTCCGTGCTGCATTGTCCGTGGACAGACGGATGAACACTACCCGTCTGCCCAGGGAGGTTCTGGCGGGCCCCAGAGTCCCCGCTCGGCGCCTCAGGTCCCTGCTGGGAATGATGGCGGCGGCTCATGCTGTGGTGCGGCTAGGCCTTCTCCACATGAGGAATTTTCAGAGGTGGTTCTCACGCCTCAGGCTTCACCCCTCCCGGGACGGGGGGAGGCTGATCTGGG